TCCTCCTCCTCCTCCTCCTCCTCCTCCTCCTCCTTCTCTTCGTGCCCCGTCTACAAGTGTCCACTACCGCTCCCCCTCCGGCCTGTGTGTCGGGTTCGTATTCGGTTCTCAGAGACCCATCCACGCCGTCTTCGCGACGCATTCCACCCCGGGCTTGCGCTTGCTCGGCTTAATCAGGCCCAAGTGCCGCAGGTCCGCCAGCGCGCGGTAGAACAGGGCCAGGGTCTGCCTCTCGTCACTGCTGACGACCTGATCGTCCTTGGTCTCGTCCTTGTTCTCATCATTATCGTCGTCGTCGTTATTGTCCTCGTCAAGTTCATCCGCCTCGGCTTCGGTGTCCTCCTCCCCATCAGGCCGCGAATCCCTGCTGCGCGACGCGAGCGTGTCCCGAAACGCATCCCACAGGTCCCGCACGTTGACCACCGCGCCCGCTTCGTTGAGCATGCTCAGCAGCAGGCTCGTGGGTGGGAGGCGCGCCTTGTTGTCCGGTCCCGGTACATCATGGCGTCCTCCTACAGTGCCTGCGTTGCTGTGAGACACCGCGCAGCATGAGCAGCCAAGGTAGTCTCCGGGGCGAGTCAGGGCGCGCTCGATGCAGTGGCGCGGTTGTGGGTGGATGGTTTGGGAGAGCGGGGACTTTTGCGTCATGGTGTATGCCTCGGCCAGGAAGTGGCGGAAGGGGTTGAGATTGAGGTGGTCGACGCAATGGGATGATGAGGAGGATGTTCGGGTTTCGATGTATCCGCGCAGGATGGCTAGGACTTTTTCCGCGGCAGAAGCGGGTGGATCGGTCTCTGGTTCTGCCTCCGTCTCTGATCCTTGTGCAGAGGACCGCTGGTAGACTCGCAGATCCTCCAGTTCTGGGGCACCCTCCTCGAGCATTTGAGCGACGGGCGTCCCAGACGGGGGGCTTTTGAGTTTGTCTTCGATGGCCTCGAAGATTTCTGATCGAGTCAGGTCAGGCAGGGAGTGCAGGAGATGCATTTCGCTCTCCCACGTCGTGTACGCTTCCAGCTTGAGTGTGCAGTGGTAGATGTATCTCAGGGTGGAGATTGCGGACAGACTTGATCGCATGATTCGTTTCCCTGATTCCATTGCTTGGACAGCTGCCTTTTCAAGTTCATCGTCGGACGCAAGCAGGCGCCGGACGGCCTCCCGCTGCGTCTTGTCGCCGCCATTTGCCACCAGCGCTTCGCAGTAAGACCGGAAGCTGGCGAGGTTGCGGATAGCTTGGCACAGCGCCGGGCTCCATGATGGCGACTTCGTCCTGGTTTCGGTGGACAATATTGAGAGAGGGTTCGCGAAGAAGTGACACATGTGAGCGTATTTGATGGCCCGAGCGAATGTTGTCGGTGTGGTGCCTTGGTCTTCAGCCAATGCGGCCAGCACGTTGACGACCGACGGACCAAGGAACACTTCTGCATTTTGGTCGTGCTGTATTGTGGAGTACAACTTGAAAAGGCCATCTTCCAAGTTAAAGTCTGGGCTCGGTTCAAAGATTTGAGCATCGAGCATTGAAACCGTCAATCTAGATAGTCGAGACTCAAACAGTTCAATCGTCGTCGATATGCCGATGAAAAGCACAATCGGAATTCGGTCTGACCAGGACTGCAAAGTCGAGATCAGTTCAGAAAGGACAGCGTTGTCGAATCCCTCGGCATCCATGATGGATATCACCACTCGCTCGACGTGGTGACGCTGGACGTACCGCTGCAGCAACTCCAGATCGAAGGGCATGGGGATAAGGGATTTGTGCTCGTTCAGAAATTCTGTGTACTTCTCAACTCCGTCTCGTCCAGACATCGCCGATCTGACGAGGTTCTTCAATGCAGTCTGAATGTTCGGGCAGTGAGCCGGTTGCAGAGTGACGAGCAACTCCGGTTCGTCTTGCACGTTCCCTTTCGTTGTGCTTTTCCATATCTTGTGAAGGTCATGGTGATGGTTTCTGCTTGGGCCCAAGGCAAGCAACGCAGTCTTCAGTCTCTTGTGCTTCCGAAGACTACCTGCACCCTGGGTGCGCGCAAATCTTATGACAGGCCCAACAAACCTTTCGTCTACCACCTCGACAATGCTGTTGATTTTCTCCTCTTGTTTGGCCCATACCGACTCAAACTGGAGTTTTCGCAGTGCGGCAGCATCCTCAGACTCTTGCCCGCTCAGCAATCGTGGCCATGAGTATTCTTCTTGGACAGGACCCTTCGAAGGGACTTTGCTCAACTTCCGCCTCTTCTGCGGTCTCCCATCGATCTCTTCGGTCGCTTGACTTGTGGGTTTGAAGATGTAGCAGGTCTACCATATATTAACGGGTGGTACAGAAAAAGGGCTGTCTTCAGCTTACCGTGTGGGTTTCGTCGTCCATCTGGGGGTCGCTGTACTCAATAGGCCCTCGGTCTTGTTTGGGCCAGCTCACCTTGCAGGATGAGGTCGAGACGCGCTCCGGTTGAGTCGCGTCGCGAATGGGAATGGGTTTTGTCTGACAGAAGAACTCTTTCAAATTGTCGTTAGCAGTTTTAGTCAGACAGATATTTAATTACAGGCCGCCTATTCCATCACAGTGCTTTACAGCCTTACCTTGACATGTTTCATTCACTCCAACCTCTTTCGAAGGACATGCAAAATTTATTGAGGTTAAGCAAGCAGCTAAGAGGACCTCCAAGATGTCCTTCCAACTCACATCATACTGAGTCAGCTCGAAATGTTTCATCATTACTGATCTGCTGTGCATTGATAGGAGATGAAGATCAGTCTGTCAAGAACCACGTTCCTAACGACCGGCTTCACTAGTTCACTCACATACCCAATGTGATGAACAAGCCACGAGGCTATAAGGCTCGTCATTCGTTGGAGAAGGCTGTTGAGACTATTTATGGCCTCGATGCAGGCGATTTGCTTCTATGCCCTCTGGCCCAGATCCAAGACACAGATCTGAGACTATGGCGACTGAGATTATCATGCACACCACTTCTGACAGGCGTCCACCATCCAATAGAACACTTTGACAAGCTCGACCAGCAGCTCTCAGTCTTTCTGCAGCGCCCTGATAGCTTTGTCAGGGATACCTCGCACAGGGATGGCGCGCTTTTCCATGATATGTGTTCCAAGGCGGAAAAGCTACTCGCCCGGCTACCAGAAGTTCCGCAGCGTAGTTTCTCGCTGCCTCTGAACAATGGTATCAGGCGGAAGCAAGGCACGACGCTGTGGGACAGTATCAAAAATGGCAAATGGGCAACAAAGTATATTGTGCCAGAGGCGCAGTTTCACTTCCAGCTGCAGAGCTCAGAAGATGCCGACTCAGTGCTCACCCTGCTATCCAAGTTGCAGAACCTCGCCTGGGATAATTTCTACGTGACCACGCACATTGACACCAACTCCTTGATACTGGCGGCTGTATTCGCGAATCAAGGCTCTGTCCCGGACCTGCGTCTTGCTCGAAACTCGCTCGAATATGTGAACTTGCTCTCCGAATTGTTTGACGAATATCAAAGCATGTGCGACGCCGTATCTTTCGGGATCCAGGCCCCGTTCGAGGATGACTCGGACGAAGGTCGTGCGCTAAAGGACGCCCTGTTTCCTCAGGAGCGTGATGACCATGAACAGGCAATGACGATCGTCAAAGTTTTCCTCTGGTCGGCATGGCAACGGTCTGTGATGCTTCATTTCTACTATGTGGTTGGAGTTCAACTCGCTCATGGGTATTCGTCTACCTGGAACACCTTCCTGGCCATTCGCGGCGTACACGAACTAGAATCTCTTTCTAGAGACGCGTATCGCGGCAAGTGCACCGATTACCTCTGTAATTGGGCCTTTGAGCTTCTGAGGACCAGTCGTACATCTGTCGGGCTTGATTTTCGCCGCATGATTTCGAGGTTTGATGCTCAGTTCCATGGACGGCATGGACGATGCATCAGGGATTCGACTTCTACCTGTGAAGGTGGACAGCCAGAGACATGCCAGAGATTTACTGCAGCAGAGGCGGCCGCGCAATCAGCACATTCGCCTGGCTGTAATGGGCATTGTTCGAGAATTTTGTGGAATGCACCGTCATACTTTGAGTGTCGAAAGCCAGCAGCTATCGCGGCGATTGAAAATTCTGCATATTTGAACTATTCTCCTGTATCTTGTCAGACCCTTGCAATCTCTCACGTCTGGAGTCATGGACAAGGCGGCCGTCCTGAGACGGGTATCAACACCTGTCTGCATCACCGATATTGCCGCTTGGCCCGTCAGTTTGGGTGCGACACGTATTGGATCGACGCCGCGTGTATCCCAAGCGAGACCACTCTACGACGACAGGCCATCGATAGCATCAACGAAATCTTCGCCGCGTCAAAGGTAACCCTGGTTATCGACATGGATGTCCAATCCGTCGATGTGACTCTACCAGATCCCAGCATTGCAGAAATTGAGACGCTGGTCTCAACACTATTGGTGAGTGATTGGACTGTCCGTGGCTGGACATTGCTGGAAGCGATGCGTGGCAGTCGTGCGATCTGGCTGCTTTGCAAGAATGATGGAGTAATGAATCTTCGTCATGCTCTTACCATATTACATGAGCGCGGTGGGATCGACATTGGTGTTCTGCTTGGGAGCGCGCAGCATCTGATCCCCCATTCAGACCCAGCCTCGAAGAAAACCGTCGAGGAAGCAGGTTTTCTCCTCAGTCAACGCCACACGTCCTGGCCCGAAGATGTAATAATTTGCTGGTCTTTGCTCATCAACGCACCCGTGCGAAAAGAGGCGGCTGGTCTCTGGCGGAACCAGACTCGAGTCAGAAGCGGCTACATATTATCGAGCGCTCCGCGCGTCGGCACGATGAAAGGCTTTGGTTGGGCGCCTAGCACACCGTATGTTCGACCAATTAAAAGGTCTGTTGGTCTTGAGAACGGTAGGAGTCAAGAGTACAGCGTGAGATTCCCATCATATGATGGAGAGGGTAGCCTCCCCGTCAATATCACGGAACACGGATTGCGTGGAAAGTGGCGTGTTGTGGAGGTCGATCGCTCGCTCCTGGAAAGTACTAAGGACTTGTGCTGCGAGTTGACACCCTTTCCTTACGTATACGAGGATGACGAAATGGCTTTCGAAACCCCCCAGTTGATATATGCTCACCCCGACGACGCATTGGCCTGGCTTACCATCGTCGACTTACTTGACCATGGAGCCCGGGTAAGGCTTGTCAGAGCAGTGGCTGAAGATGGTATATCTCCGGCTGTCGGCACTAGCCAGCGAGGGGAAGGGTTTGGGCTGATTGCGGCGCTTTGTGCCAGCCTCAATGGAGGATTGTCATGGGAATGGAAAGGGGTATATTCCTGGCAAGAGAGTGAGAATTACGAGGGTTGGGAGGTTGTTGAGATGTTGATCACGTAGATTCCAGTCTATTTGACCGTGGAATTTGAGTGCGCTGTACAACGATGCAATCTTGCTCCCCTGACATTGTTGACGACGTGTTTTAGAGGTCGATGAGAATAGTCGTCGAAAGGAGACGAGGCTGAGATGCGCGGTTGATCCTCGGCTAAACTTGAACTGGCGAGGCGGCTGCGTGACTTTTTCTCTCGCCGCAGTCCATCAACTACAGAGTACGCTGGAACCATTCTTCGAGTGTCTGATCATTGTGCAAATAGGGATCCGTTGATTTCTCTATGCGCAGCATCTGCCAGCTGTCTCGAAGATGGCACCAACAATTCTGTCTGTCTCCGAGTTTCGCGGGACATCAACTCTGCCTGCAACATCTCCAACCGGTGCGACAGTATCGCCAAACCGCTCGCTCACGTCCTCTTCCTCCGCGCAAGCCGCCGACCGCGTCTCTGGCGCAGGCAGATATTCATGAATTCGAACAACAGGGCGAGGATGCGTCCACCAGACTTCCGGTCCGCGACCTTCTAGACGACGAGACACATGCCTTGAAGGCAGAGTTGGACAAACTGGATCGCGAACTCGCGGTCATGCGAGAAGGGCCTTTCGGTCGGAACAGCGAGTTCATGCGATCTTTCCCCGTCGACGAGAGGGAAGAACTGCTGAAAGCACTGGAAGAAGAGGGTGTCATGCCTCCTGAGGATCTGGATCTGGTATCTGAGGAAGATTTGGATGAGTTGGCAAAAGAGGAGGAAGGGAAGAAACAAGCCACGATGCCGAAATCCGCTCTCAAGGTTACCCTTAGCATCCCTGTCAGAGACAAGATATACGTCAAGCGATTCAACACCGCATTGGAATCAGCACAACAGAAGGTTGATGAGAAGGCCTATTTCACCCTGTGGAAATGGTATCTACGGTGCCAGCAGCATGTTTCCAACTTTGCCTTGATACTGCCTGAGGATGTCTGGCATTTCCTCTGGAAGTCACAAAGCACGATCTATTACAGGCCCAAACACCTCCAAATGTTGGGCAAGGATATGATGAAAGCAGATGTGCCGCTGGAAGACAAAGAGTGGATTGAATATATCGATGCGCTGCAGGCTACAGGGAATATCGCCGCCGCTGCAGAAGCCTGGGAAGCGCAGAGGCCCAGATTGGGCCTTAAAGAGGATCTTGCGGGGCTGTTCTGGATCACCGGTGTTCGGCTCTATGTGCAACTTGGGAGGCCGCAAAAGGCGCAGCGTTTAGCATTTGAATGCTATGACCACACGACAATGATCGACCCCGAAGTCCTTGTCATGGTCATCTCTGCCTGGGCCAAAAGTCAAAGCCCTTCTGCCGACTCCAAGACGTGGTTTTGCTACCTGGAGCTGCGGAAGAGGCTCGAGGGCAGGGAAGACCAGAAGACGACGGTAGACGTCCTGGGTCGACTTAGTAGTGCCCTACTTGATGCTGGCCGTACTGATCTTGCTCTGTCGGTCTTTAAAGATATGTTCATGCTTACAGCCAAGTCGCCAACCGACTCACTGAGGATCTTCAGGGAGCTTAGCAAAGAGGCGAGTCAATCTCAGTCACCCAGTGAGCAACTCGTCAATCAGATTGGGTTGTCTTCCCTAGCCCTCTTCCCCCGCAGGTTCCACAACAAATATTTCTTTGCAGCGTGGATCAAATGGCTCCTTGGTGAGGGAAGAACCGACGAGGCTGCCGTGGTCGTTGACCTTATGTATGAGCGTGGAATTCGACCCGATGCTGGGCCATTGAATGGCCTTATAGCGGCTTGGTTCCGTCAAGGCTCGCCAACTACCCGTCAAAAGGCCGAGGAGACCGCATGGGCCATGATACAATCCCGGGTTGAAGTGGTTCAGAAGCGGCTTTCGAAGGCAGACAATACCGGTACTACCAATCTCGCCTCCTCGATTGAGGGTCGGCGGACCCCTTTTTTCCTCAAACGAGGGGCGCCGGTTGCAACAATTGAGACGTTCTCCATCTTGCTACAACATTACACTCGCCGCTCAGATCTGGCCAATGCCAGTCATCTCACCGACGTCATGACTGGTTCGGCTCAGATCAAACCAAATTCATTCATCATGAACCATTGGCTTTATGCTTCGCTGCGATCGGGCCAGATCCCGGATGTCTGGAGCAAATATTCGACCTTGAAGCAATCTATCTCCCCTGACCTCGAGACGTTCGCGGCGCTATGGGATACCGCCAAGCAATGTTATTCATTCCCTCACCGACATCAGGGCGGGTTTCCTCACGCTCGAATGCTCTTTGCGGAGATGCAGGAATGGTTTGGTGGCCTCGACCGCAAGAGGAAAACCGCCGCCCAAGCGGACTTTTCTTCTGAATTGTACGAACAGATCATCCGCTGTTTCTGCCTCTCCTCCGACCCCTTGGGTACTCTCTGCGCGCTCCACGGCCTCCGCGAGTCTTTCAACATGTTGCCGCACGAGGAAGTCAGCCGCTTGATAATCATGCAGGTCGCGCGTTCTTTCGCCTCCGACTTCGCGCCACTCAAAACCCGCGCTCCTCGCGGCCTGCGAATGAAGAAGAACCTCCAGTACCAAAGCGCGGTCAAGACGCTCACGGAGATCGTCGTCGCCATCAGCGACAAAATGGTGCAAGAAAAGGACATCGTCAACCCCGAGGCCGTGGAGCAGATTGAAAGCCAGCCCGCGAAAGAGCTCAGGCTCGATGTGTTGTCGGCTTTTTTGTGTCTTGTCATTGAGAAGAGAATGAAAAGTGCGGCGACGACTCAGGGAGAGGGAGTCCTGGCGCAAGAGATCGCAAGGGTTGCGGACCAGATGAGGACGAAGGTCCCGTCTGAGGCGCTGGTGCAGCGGGACTGGAGCGACGTGGAGGTTTCAATGTAACATTAACAACAACAATATGGTCATTCTGGCCCGGGGAGGCGAGTTATGGTCAGGAGGAGTGATCATCCCATCTCCCATTGGGTGTGCTGTTCAACATCTACATATAATCTGTATCATAACACATTTAGAGAGAGCATGATGAGCCCACTCACTCACTCAACCACTCCGCCAAAGAGATCTTCGCCTGTTTCCTTTAAGAAAAAAAGGCGCATCCTTTACTTTGCAACATGGAAATGCTCGATTCGTTCTTGCTAATGCATCCATTGCACCTCCCATTCCTCATAAGTTAAGACTCCAAACTTTGTAACAGAAAAATATCCCTGGCCAGAAAAGCGTGTTGGGGGAATCAAATAGGTATCGTACAATGCACGGGGGCCTTCCGGAGCTCACTTTACTTCTTCCCTTTCTTCTTCTTCTGCTTGCCGCCCCCAGTGCCAGTGGACAAAACCTCGGCGGCTGGCGTTTCAACAATGACTCCATCCTCATCACTGCTGACCGTGGCGGCTTTTGGGGCCGTCGCTGTCTTTTCTGCAGCGGCTGGAGAAGTTGCAGATGCAGACGCAGGAGTAGTAGAAGCGGTAGGCTTATCACCAATACCCACCACTGCTGCTGCTGCTGCTCCTGCCGCCGCATCCTCGCCGCCGCCCATTAACTCCCGCCTTGCCATCTCTCTCTGATTATCCCACCTCTCCTTCTCCTCCGGCAGGGTCTTCTTGATGGCGTCGAGTTTCTCCCTCAGGATCTGGTTCTGCACCATCTCGTTTGCGCTCTGGAAGATGGTCTGTCCCCACGTCCCTGGCGTTCCTCCAGAGCCGGATCCGCTCAGCGCGTTGGCCTCGGCGACCACGTCCTTGAGTTCGAGCTCGAGTTCCTGCTCGGCGCGCTGCAGCCGCTGGAAGATCTCGTCGCCGACCACCCCACGTTGGAGGAGTGCCGCCAGTGCGGGCTTGCGCATCCGCACCTCCATGATGCGTCGGATGTCGTCGCACGCCCGTGCCAAAAGCGCCGCCCGTAATACTGAATCAGGTACTTTTGTGTTTCCGTCGTCTTGCAGGTGTAATAAGGAGAGGTAGATATTGCGGGTTGTGTGGGGAGGGAAATAGGGTGCTAGACGGAGTTTCTTCTTCACTTGTCTTTGCCGGTAGAGGTGAGAGAAGGTCGCCATGCTGCCGATCAGGATTGAGAGGTATGCGATGGGAATGAGGAGTGAGAGTGTGAGAAACTTCATCTTGAGATCAATTGTCCGGTGCGTTCACCGTGAGTGGCAGGCGTGCAAGTTTATGGTGGAGGGCGGGCGGGCACCGGTAGTGTTCCCCTTATATTTGTGTTCATGAATTGGAGGGTTGGTTTGTGGACTTTTGTGCCAGGTTGGCCTTGACAATGTATGTTTACCCAGGGCAAAGCGGGATGAAGACCAGTAGCAAATGCACTCCGAGGAGGAGGAGGTAGAGAAGGTCGGGGGGGCTGAACTTGGGAGGGCCACACAAGTCATCCGCGAAAGAGGACACTCGTGCAACTTTGGAAAACTGCGGTAGACGAGCAAGGGATCCTTATCGATAACGGGCGGAAAATCTTGGCAAAGGTTGTTCCGTTCAATCGGATACCTACCTAGGTAGTCCCTGGTAGAGGCGAGTACAGAATACAGAGTAGCAGCATTGAGGAAATAGATTCTGTAATAAATGAAAACTAGACGCAGCCCTTGAGCGGCCCTTCCGTAAACGCTTGCCAGTTCTCCTCCTGCGCTATAAACCAGTCTGATCCCTAGCCTGTCTTCCCATACCACTTCAAGAACTGGTCCCATGTATCCTCCCAATAAACCCTGTTTGGGTTCAATCGGTCAGTGCAGCCGCTAGGCTAGGATGGCGGGATCGAGGGCGGTAAAGGCATGGGGGTCAGGTATCTCATGGAGCTCGCAGAGGACGCGGTAGAAGGGCAGGACCTGGGACAATATAGGCCGCCATCATCTGGCCGATCCTACGCTGCAGGTTAAGTACTCGTTATCTCGAAACTTTGGCAGTAATGGCGGCACTGAACGCAATTGCCTCGACTCGATGTCGCTGTTGGGTCACAAAGGAAAGAGACACGTTGTTCATTCGTGAGACGTCGATTGGGCTCAGTCCGAAGGCCAACTGAGGCCCACGTTGATGCGGCGTTGAGATCGCTCGCCTGGAAGCCTATCAACGTCGCTGAATTTGTTGCGAATGGCGAGATCTGCGTTGCGAGACATTCTAGCAAGGCGAGAGATCGCTGAGAATAGAAGGTTTGAGGCGATAGGCGTTGTTTAATCGATCGGTCTAGTTTGGTGTTGTAAAGCGTTTGTAGGTGCCAATGTGAACGGTTTTACGCGTCTTAGGCTCATTCTAGTATCACCCAGTAGAGACCATACAGAGAGCCTTCTCTGGTGACGGTGTATTCCTGAACCTGTGCTCAATCGCGTCTAGGCGCCGGAATGGCAAGATCGCTTCATCGCTTAGATCGTCGAAGTTGAAGATGAATGATTTGTATGGGATAAGTGGCCGCTTAGGTTGCGGCCGACGCGCTTTCTTGCGTGTCCTGCGTCTTTTGACTGTGGTTAAACAGTCCCAGTATGTGGCACGCCAGTCCTTCTTTCCTCGGAAAGCGAGGTCGATCCCACAGACGTGGATCGATATTCGAAGGCGTGCCATATACTGCCAATCCGTCTCCGTTCGAGCAAGATTCTCGTTATGGTAGGGACGCCACGATGGACTGGGCATATGTAGGCGGTCGACCTACGTCCATACTTCGCGCCGTGCAGGAACCGATGAATGGCCCCTAGGGCTATTTGTGTGCCTGCAGCGTGCAAGTCGTCCAGCTCGTCCTTGTAGCCGTCCGACATCTCTGTGGTTTTGCGGCAAAGAGTGCACCGAAACCGTAGCTTCCTGAACGCCCCGTGTAACTGTACCACACCCTGAGCCGGTCGTTTGTACCTCTCTGAGTACTCGTGAAGAATACTGGGCCTATTCTCGGAAAGTGGACATTGAGACCTGATAAAATCCAGGCGGTTTGCCTGTAAGTAGCCCAAGCTCGAAACTGACCCTGACCACTGCTACAGCTGTCTCGGGGTCTGACATGTCTCCAACGTAATCCTCTATCTCCTTTTGTCCACAGCCATGGCGAAAAGGAGCGGAGGAGACTTTATGTATGTATGTATAAATGGGTAGTTCAATCGGTCAGGGCAGCCACTAGGCTATGAGGATGGCGAGATCGAGGGCGGTAAAGGGGCACTGAGGGAGAACATTTTGCTCGCGTTGAGACGATAGTATAGTGCCGAATTTGTGGCAACTGAGGTACTTTTGCGTGTGGGCCTTTCCCTCGATCTTTGAAATGGATCTTCTTGTGAAGGGGTGTGGACGTTGGCGAGACGTAGTCGCCGCCACTGGTGTATCTTAGACGGGGGTCCTTGTGTAGACCCGACAGAAAAAAATTGCCAAAGCACTATGGAAGTTCTAGTTTCGATATAGACTTCCAGGGCTTAGTAGTAGTAGTAATAGTAGAATAAGAGGACAGTTGTTGGCGATATCAGTAAGATTCGCCTTGTTGCAGACGATAAAGGGATTTCGAAACATTTCGATCACATGTTGACCGAAGGACCATCTGACAGCTCGTGGCTGATGATGCCTCGCAGCACGTACTGGGTCTGCTCCCACTTTGGCTGCGAGTCTTGCAACAAAAGCTCCAGCTTCTGCCGCAAGTCCTCTCTGTCTGAATGAGTTCAGAAGTCCAGCATAGTGGGAATAGACCTAGAGGCATCCAGTAACGAGATAGATCGATATTGGAAGATGTTCCAGGACGAGGAATAACCTCCATAGGCTCTTAAAGTTGTAGTGGTCGTAGTATAGTACGACCCGTTGGACTGTCTCCAGCTGGGCAATCCAAAGGTTGTCGAAGTTCTGGTGCTGAAGCTACCTTGAAAATAGCTTCTTCGTCGTTATTCGACCGATTCAGATATATATGAGCAGAAATACTGCGACTTTGTCCGAACGCTGTCAAGGGTTGTAGACAGATCCTCGGAGCATCCGGCGGAAAGGCCGATCGCCATTCTCCATGTAAAAGTAGCGGCGACGAGTGGATTGAGTCCTGTACGCCCTCATATATGTCCGGATGTCTTAAAATATTATGTATGTATGTATGTATAAATGGGTACCATGCTTGAGACTGTTGATTCTGTCGCAACCGAGACTTGACAGGGCCGAGGCCGTCAAGTACACTTCTCAGCCATGTGTATATCGTCCTCTTTCAGGAAGTTCCTCGGAGCAGTAGATCTTCGCAATTTCATGCAACGACAAGGCGGAGGCCCTGGGAAAAGCTATTGTAGCGATCGAGTATCGGATAGTCAATCAAGGCATGGTCATTGTAGCGGAGGTGATATGGTTGGTCTTAGGAGCCGTCGGCCTTCCCTCTGGCTCATATCGTAAGTTATGATATGTGGGTAGTCATATCCCGAGACGACTCGTAAGTCAGCTCTCAGAGCGCAAGATCTGTGCCCTCGGGCTGAATGGTAGTCATAATAGGGAGCAGTCGACGGCATTGTCGGTGGAAGAGCTCTTAGCTTCCTCCTGAGTTCTGCTCAACGAGGAGGTCTTGAAGAGCATTCTCTGGAGTACTGACATCCTGCACCACGTGAAGGTGGCTCTCCTGCGCAGGATATTGATTTCGACAGGTGTTGAGGAGCGATGAACGCGTTGCAAAGTGCAGCTGAGGAGATAGAAGTACTCGGGACAACTGGCGCCCAGCGAGCCAGACTGGTAAATTGAGTTCGCGTAAGAGTGGGGACAAGGGATAATAAAGGAGGCATTACCCGATTTAAGTATCGCTCCAGGGGGATCCTCCATTGCCGCTAAAATGCGATGATTACCTCGTATTACTCCGTACTCGGTATATCTAATCTCCCTCAGGCCATCGTCGTATGCACCATCCGATAAGTGTCACTATCACAGGCCAGTGGTTAAATTGGTCCTACACGCCTCATTTTTCAAAACCCAGCCTCGAGAATTCTGCAGTGGTCTCCCGTCCTCGTGCGTTTCTTGGACTGTAGCGGGTTCAGAACCCTCCTGAATCTTTCAGCCTTGCCGCACGGGCCTCAGAGCGCCCACAAATTCCTTCGACAGGGTTGGACCCCATAGATTCAGGCTCTTCTTGGCTGGTAAGGCTTCCAGCTCCCAACTCGAAGACAATATTATTCAGCCAGTCTCTGAACTACAGCCCCGTAACACGAAGCGACAAGTATCAAGAATGCCCCGTACCGTTCTCATCACTGGCTGCTCCGACGGCGGTCTTGGAGCTGCCCTTGCCGTAGCCTTCCACAAACACGGCGACCATGTCATCGCGACCGCTAGAAACCCTGCGAAAATGGCCTCTCTCAAGGCTATGGGTATCGATACTCTGCAGCTTGACGTCTTATCAGAAGATTCGATCAAAGCAGCAGTTCAGGCCACTTCCAAGATGACAAACAATTCCCTCGACATACTAGTCAATAATGCAGGAAAAGGCTATAGCACTCCGCTGATGGACGCCTCGACATCTGAAGTCTCCAAGCTGTTTGAACTGAATACTATATCTGCTCTCCGCGTTACTCAAAATTTCTTCCCTCTCCTGCGCAACTGCAAGGACGGCGCCTTAGTTGTGAATAACACTTCATGCGCAAGCGTCATGCCCGTACCTCTTCAAGGCCCATACAGCGCCACAAAGGCTGCCCTTGCGTCCTTTTCGGATGCCCTTCGACAGGAGCTACAGCCCTTCAATATCAAAGTCGTCGATTTGAAGACCGGCACTGTGAAGTCGAACTTTTTCGCAAATGCCTCGTCGTCGGGGGGCTCTGCAGATGGTAGTTTGAGACTGCCCAAGGACTCGCTCTATCTGCCTGGCAGGGAACCGGTGGAGAAATTTATGCGGACAGATATCGACATTCCTGTAATGCCGGCGGATGAGTGGGCTATGAAGGTTGTTCGAGACTTGTCAAAGCGAAACCCTCCCTTGCATGTATGGCACGGCGGTAATGCGTTCCAAGTATGGCTGAGTTCCTTCTTGCCTGTAGGCATGCTCGACTCGACATTGAGGAAGATGACGGGATTAGATGTCGTGGAGCGCTACTACCGTGGTTTGAGGGAACAGAAGACGAAATAGACGGACATTGGGTACACATCGATCTTTTCTCTCTCAGCAGCATTGCGAACAAGGTAGAAAAGCTTCTTGATTGTTGCAAGGAAGAGAGAATCTTGGCACTATTCCCTTGCCACAAGCGAACGAGGCGATGATCCCGGTGCTATGGTGTCACACCTATTTCACCGTAAACAAGCGTTATTGGACTCGCCCGAGTCTAAATTGTCTCATCAGCCGACTAGAAGTTCGACGGGTTACTTTTGTGTAATTCAGAGAAGGCGCAGCGGGAACCTAGCCTCGCGTGCCTCGGAGGGTCGATAACTCAGCCTCGTCCCTCGGCACACCTTCCTCGTCTTTAAATCGTCGAAACTTTTTTGGGCTGCAGCGACTCAATCTCAAAAGTCCCAGTGCGTACTCTCTCTGCGCAAGTCGGAAATGGCGCCGTCGCAGCTCAAGCAGCTGAAAGCCTCGCTGCATGAGAGCGGCGTTCTTGGCCCTCAGAAATCCAAGAAACAGCGAAAGCTGACCTCCAAAGATGCGCAAAAGCGGGCGCAGCGTAATGCCGCACTTGAGGGCATTCGAGAACGATTCAATCCCTTCGAGGTCAAGGCACCTGCCCGAAAAGCGAAGTATGAATTTGTAAATGCAAAAACTACCAAAGCCACAGTTGGCCGGCCGGGTGTCACACGCGGCTTGGGTGAAGAGCGGCGGCGGGAGACGTTGCTGAAGGAGATACAAAGCCGCAATAAGGTGGGCGGGTTGCTTGATCGACGGTTTGGAGAGAATGACCCCACGATGACGCCCGAGCAACGAGCAGCCGAGCGGTTTGCGCGTCAGAACGAGCGCAAAACAAAGAAGAGTTCCATGTTCAACCTTGAAGACGACAGCGAGGAGGAGATGACGCTCACGCATGGTGGAAGATCACTCAACTTGGGGGGCATTGTCGAAGATGACTTTGATGAAGATGATATAAATGGCTCGGACAATGCAGACGGAGATTTTAATCAGGATGACAGGCCTCGGAAAAAGATGCGTCTCGCCGAAACCGAAGACGTCGATCCCGAAGAGGAGGACGAGGAAGGTCTACCGCCGAGGAGGAAGACGAAAAATGAGGTGATGAAAGAGATTATCGCAAAGTCAAAGATGTACAAGGCGGAGCGTCAAGCTGCAAAAGCAGACGACGATGATCTTCGAGCCGAGCTGGACAAAGGCATGGTCGAGTTCTACGAAGCGCTTCGAGTGCACAAGCCGCCAGAGAAGGAAACTCTACCACCATCAACTTCAAACGCCGAGCCGCACATGGATCCCTCTCGCGCTGCAATGCTGGCAGGGAAGAGCAGGGAGGAGGCAGAAAAAGAGTACGAGTCCAATCTTAGAAAGTTAAAATTGGAGGCTCGGTCGAAACCGACTGTACGGACCAAAACTGACGAAGAGAGGGCTGCTGAGGAGGCTGCTCGACTTGAAGAGCTTGAGCGCAAGAGGATCCGCAGGATGAAGGGCGAGGCAGAAAGCTCTGAAGACGACGAAGAAGAGGAACAGGAGCCAGGGCCAGATGCCGATGTTGATGTCGACGACGCCGAGGCATTCGGTCTCTCTGCTCCTGAGTTCGACACTGTCCCGAGGAAAGAACTTGATGTTGAAGATGAAGACGAATTCCTTCTTGATGACGATCTTATTGCTTCGGATTCTGAACCTGAGATGGCAAGCGACCAAGATTCCGAAGAATCCGAGTCTGAAAGCGAGGTTGAGGACGATGGTGATGACGATTTCATCAACGGGCTGGTCTTGCCACGGGAAACACAGACCACACCGAAAACAGCCGCAAAGACTCCAGTCAGCAATAACCTAGCTTATACTTTCCCGTGCCCTCAGACGCACGAAGCATTCTTGGAAGTGGTCAACGACTCTGAAGTCGCCGACTTGCCCACGATCGTGCAGAGAATTCGCGCACTCTATCACAAAGGTCTCGCCGAGGGCAATCAAGAAAAGCTTGACACGTTCGCTGGCGTGCTGACCCAGCATGTTGCGTTTCTTGGGGACACCAACGGCGATGTCCCGTTTTCTGTTCATGAGAGCCTCCTTCGACACTTACATTCGATGGCAAAGTCGTCGCCGGAAGCCGTTGGCGCTGCTTTCCGCAGACATCTGCAGGAAATCGCTGACAAAAGACCGCTTCAGCTGTCTCCAGGGGATCTTATCATTCTGACGGGTATCTCGACCATCTTCCCAACTTCAGATCATTTCCACTCCGTAGTCACGCCTGCCACTCTCACCATTGGACGATATCTCGGGCAAAGCTCGATCCAATCTCTGCGGGACCTCAGCACAGGCGCTTACTGCTGTTCGCTTGCCCTTCGATACCAGCGCCTTGCAAAAAGATATGTTCCAGAAGTGGTCACTTACATTACCAATGCTTTGGCCACCCTTTCGCCGTCACCCCTATCTGAACAAGACGAAGACGGCAATCCGTTGAATGTCCCGATCAGGTTGCCTGCAACACCGCTGCGGTTGAAATCGACATCTGCGGCTGTGTCAGAGAAGCTATCGTTCAAAGATTTCATCATGAATCGAACTGAGGACTACGGATCTTCACAAGGCGTTGCTCTTCTGCATGCCTTCATCCGCCTAACAACACAAGCTGCCTCACTTTGGAGCCACAAGTCCTCATTCCCCGAACTTGCTCGGCCTTTCGTCCACGCCCTTACCCACTTATCTCATCAACACAAGAAGCTCCCATCACAAACTCTCACGCTAAACAACACCAATCTCTCCGCTCTTCTCACCCTTCAGTCTGCTTCGATCAAATCACGTCTCCCCCTACTCTTACACAACCATCGCCCGCTCGCTATAAAAACTTCCTTACCTTCATTCATCGAGAATTACAACCCTGACCGACACTATGATCCAGACCGCCAACGTGCTGAGCTCTCCAAATTGAAGGCCGAGCATAAGAAGGAGAGGAAGGGAGCGATGAGAGAACTGCGCAAGGATGCCAACTTCGTTGCAAGACAGCAGTTGCAAGAGAAGAAGAGGAAAGATGAAGAATATGAAAAGAAATACAAGAGGTTGGTGGCAGAGATTCAGGGGGAGGAAGGGCACGAAGCGAAAGCTTATGAGAGAGAGAGGAGGAAGAGAAAAGGGAAATTCTAAAGAGAGAGAAGAGCTGGAAGGATTGAGGTCTTGTTGTATAGCCAGCTTCTTCAGCCGTCGGGCTGAACAAGAGACTTTTACGATCCCTTGCCAAACCAGATGTGATATACCTCAACGCCTTCCAGTCAATCCCAGATGTTACAAATACCAAAAGTCGTCGTTACGCCGATATCCTCTCGGTGCACATGTCGCTGCTGTCTCGGCAAGCCATGCGAAGCACGCGTCTATGTTGTCCTTGTGGACTGCGTCAACACATAACAGTTAACAACTTCGAGGTAAATATTCAGTAACGGGTATGGACTGTCGTGCCAAGCGGAACGCAAGCATTTCATCGCGACAATGGATTGATGCACGGAAATGAGAGCCAGGACCACTTCCTATTAACGGCGTGGAATGTTTCAAGAGAAGGCTACTACAACGCCTAGAAATTCGGGCTATAGACGTTCCTCGACATGGATCACAGCTTAGGGAAATCAATGACGGTGTGGGTATTCCATGTTCACGTTGACGGGCCGTGGCTCTCTGAGCGGTAGTGAGTGGGCACAGTATCAAATCTCAGTATGAACACATCCACTCTTTGAGTAGTATATGAATACATCGTGGCAGCTTACTGCACAAAAATATATTTGAACTCGATGCCAAAAAGAGATCAATTGTACGAGGTATATAATGCTGAAAAGGTAAAAAAGAAGTTGATCCTGGCGAGACTTGAACTCGCGACTTTCGCATTCCTCGAAAGAAGTCATACTGGATGCTACAGGGAGCATACAATATAAGAACGACACGCTAACCACTGCGTCACAGGCTTGAGAATAGTTAGCGTTGGGCGCCAACTCTGTAACTGACAGTTAAAACTCACATCATTAAAAGTGTCCAGAGAAGCGAGGAAATTTTCGGGACAATTTCAAGGCCAGTTTTACTGGGGTTCTTAATATATAACTTGCATTTTGTGCACGTGATTACCTCCATCAAAATTCCTTTGCAGCGGTACCTACAAGAACAGCCGCTCTCTCTTCCATACTGCACTGCGCAGACGACATACCAACTGTGGGCAGTTGAGCCTTTAATGACCCTGCATTCCGACGGTAAGAAGCATACGGACAAAAGATTGTCATTCTCACCCATCTCTATTTGCTCTCCCGGGTAGGGTTCTCGCACCTTCCGGACGTATAGAAGGGATTTGTTACAGCAGACAATCTTTTTGGCGTAGGATATTGACCTTGCGCCAGATCTGCTTCAGCGGCCTCTGACTTTCAAACTCGCGCAACTTGCAATCCCACGTTTCCAAAATGGGCTCCGAGGCCGCGAGCAACGATGACGAGGACGATTACATGAACATGACCTTCGAAGAAGACGCGGCGGCACACTCCTCCTCAAAGAAGAACGAAACCCTGACACAACGGAAAAAGCGGCTCGCCCGGGAAGCCGAGATCAAAGGCCGGCCGAAGTCCAAGGCCGAACTCGCACAGGAGGAGCGCAAGAAGCGCGAGTCGGCACTGAATACCACTACATTGGACACTAGCAACAGAGGGTTCAAGATGATGGCTGCACTGGGCTACAAGCCAGGAAGCGCCCTGGGCGCATCTCGTGGTGAGAAAGACGGTGAGAAAGATGACCGTCTTCTCGAACCCATCGGTCTGGAGATGCGAGAGACCCGGTCTGGAATAGGCGCCGACGCTGAAAAGAAGCGCAAGTTTAGAGAAGAGGTGGAGGCGCAGCAGGAGGCAGACAAGAAGAGGAAGGTCGAGGCCGGCGAGTTCCGAGAGCGGCAGCAGAAAGAACGTGAAGAGAAGAAGATGGAGGGTCAAATGTGGGCGGCGATGAAGGTTTGCGAAAGGCTGGACGAAGAGGATGACGAACTGGGACAACAGTCCGTCGAGGATCGCAAGGTCGACGAGACTACTGCACAGCCAAGAAGAAGGTCGAAGCCGTTGAAGAGCGTCAACGTCTTGTGGCGCAGCCTCCTCAAGCAGAGAGCCATCAATGAACGGGATCGAAGGATGAGGTACGACCTCCATCAGTCGCTGTCGAGACGGCCAGACTACATCGATCCCGATGAAGAGAAAGAGGATCAAATGGCAATGGGGAAGAACAAAGCGGAAGTGGAGGAGGTCGATGTCGACCTGGACGAGGAAGACGAAGAGCTCACGGAGTTCGAGGCCCTCGAGGTGTCGGAGAGGTTGTCGAAGCTCGTGGCGTACCTCCGCGAGAGGTGGAACTATTGCTTCTGGTGCAAATACAAATACCCGGACGAAAAGATGGAGGGATGTCCTGGGTTGACGGAGGCGGATCACGACTGAGGTTGGCCCGCCTGGTATCATGACATTTGTAGAATATATTCGTGGATCGATCAACCAACAATACGGAATGCTCTTTTATTCATTGAGCCTCGCTCCTGGATATTTAATTGTATCTTGAGCGTAGACTGTGTGACTGTATGAGGTACTTCATTTATTGCTGGTTGTATAATTCGCCGAACATGAACCGGGCGAGGGACTTCAGCCTTGTCTCGAGACGTTCGGAAGCCCCATCATTTCTATTAAGTTACGTCGCATCTTCCTCAAATGTATCATCAGCCATGACCTTCTTCAGCTCGAATCGCTTCTTGTTAACTGTCCTCGTTGTAGGTCTGGGAACAGCATGCTTTGCAGTCCCCATTCTTCTCGGACGAGTCAAAGATGCAGCCAGAGCGCCGCCGCCAGACCCGCCACCCCCGGCCAAGCGCCTCCAAAAGGACTCGGAGAACTCACTGAAGCTGGAGACGCTGCGCACGCTCGCAGACGGGTATAGCTATGATCTACGCACGTCAGCCATCAAGATCGTGGCGAGTCGCACGGTCAGAACCCGAACGAGGGATTTGTTATTGCACGATCTGGCCAGCGAAGATGACGGCCGGCGCGAGAATGCTATTAATGCTCTACACATGCTTCTCACCCATTCGGCACTAAATGAAACAGTCTGCAACCACTTTCGAGATCCAAAGGCCATCAAGGCCATTGTTCATGGCTTGATCAATGTGCTGCCGCAGCATGAAATCAATGTTGACCTGGAAGCTGGTAACAACGACCAGTCCCACGTCTCGGCGGGAGGGAAGAAATCGCCGCCGCCATCGCCTATCCGCCCTGCTCACCGCCCCGCACAAGAAGCACAGTTGCTCGATATCTTCACCATCGTGGTTCACGGTCTGTCGCGGCGCGACATTAAGTATCCGCCCGTCATGGACGCCGCCTTGGACGCAGGGCTGGTCACCAAGTGGCTAGCAAACTACCCCTTTCCCTGTGCTTTACCGGAGAACTCCGAATTCAATTTCAAGCGAGACGATGTGGCGAGGTTGTTTGACCGTATGGCTTGGCTTTCCGACGATCCTGTCATGGGAGACGTTATCCTTGTGGTGATGCAGTATGCTCGCGCCAGGAGACAGATGCGTGAAGTTGGGTTGAGCGCCAGCAGTTACAAAGAAAACATGTCCACAGGCACAGGCCGCAGCGATTCGCAGGCATGGAATCAGGGTTGGGGATATGCGGGCCAGTGGCAGGACGAGGACGAAGATGCCGACGAAGACAACGACGTGAGAATGGTCAATGGCGAGGACACTGCAGGGCTACTTGTTCCCGGGAACCCGGCGGTTGCTTCTCAAGACAACATCACTCTTTGGGACGACGAGCCTACTGCACGATCGGCAAACACTACGAGGGCCGCCACGAGACTAAGGTCGGCCGAGAGGAGTCAGGAAGAGGAGCATTTGAGAAGGCGGCATCGGGAAGCGATCGTCGTCGCCGAGCGAGGCACGCCTTTGAGCAGGGAGAACATCTTGCAGAGAGCTAACAGCGAGATTCTGCAACCCATGAACGGCGTCAGCGAGGTTGAAGGCGAACTGAACGGTCTCTTGAACCTGTCCGAAACTTCTACGGAACCTCAACAGGAGGAAGAGGCTTCTGATCTACCTACCGCTGCCGACACAGCCGACATCGTTGAACGAGATTCTCCCTCCGAGGATCAAGTGTTAAAGGAGGAGCAGGAAACGATGGTGGAAGACACGGCGGAGGAGGACGAGGACGGGGACGAGGAGGAGATGAATCGCGCTCAAAGACGGCACCGTGAGATTGAACAACTGATCGAGGAAGACCCAGAGATACAGGGCACGAGCGAAATGAGGTCCCGGCCCGATGATTCGAGCGCGGAAGTCGTCGAAGACGTGATCCCAGCCACTACTGCTATCTCTATGGTGGACGACGATGGTGGCGCGGAGGAGCAGGAAGACTCGTCTTGACAGGGGTCCTCAGAAAGGCGGACCTAGGTCATGCAAGATTGTACCATTATAGACACACTGTACCTGCTTGATATCCACATAGCGAGGGCGTTCAAGGAGGTGGGCGGATTGGTCAGAGGAAAGGTCAAGCGAAAAGCGATGACACAGTGCGAGGGAGCACATTATGCATCCTGTTCCAAATACGGCATCACCTTCCTCTTCAGAAGGTTCATGTCAAGAGCCGTTGCTTTCATTTTTGGCAGCTTTTGACTATTGGGATCCATGCAAAAGACGCGCTTTGAGCCATGGTCATCCCCGCAGTCCCCTTTGGTTCATTCAGCATCCTGTCTACCATTGATCCCATGCAATTTCGGATGAAAACAAATCCATCACGACTCCCCCACCATTTTCAGGCGTCTGAAAACATCTCCATCTCCATAGAATTCTCCCTCTCCCTCTCCCAAGCGTTCGTCGCCTACTTCAACGGGATGAACCGCGACGAGTGCGTAGCACCGATACCGGGTCTACCGTGCTTGACGGGCTTGTAACTGATGGAGAACTCGCCCAGGTAGTGGCCGACCATCTCGGGCTTGATTTCGACCTGGTTGAACTCCTTGCCGCTGTAGATGCCGATGACGCTGCCGATCATCTCGGGCACGATGATCATGTCCCGCAGATGCGTCTTGACCAGGTCGGGCTTCTCGTTGGGTTTGGCGTTCTGCTTGGCCTTGCGCAGTTTCTTGATCAGGCCCATCGGGCGGCGCTTGAGGCCGCGGTTGAATCGACGACGGGCGCGGGCATGGAGGATTGTGAGGAGCTCGTTGGAAGGGATGTCGAGCAGTCTGTGTCAAGCGAGAAATTTTTATGTCCGGTTAGCCTTTCTCGTTCGTTCTCTTGTCTTGAAACACCTTGAATGATGGCGGAATTGATGTGTTCATGTATGTCCGCGAAAGGGAAAACGTACTGGTCGAGATCAATGCCTCTGTAGGAAAACTTTCGGAACGTTCTCTTCTTCTTGAGCTCGGCGGCCTCCTCGGCATTCTGTACAATTAGATCAATTAGACAACCATCTCAACATCTTCCAAGTGGATCATTCACAGAACGACGAGGAGACGTACGTATTCGGTGTCAGCCATGATTGCGGTCGAAAGGCTGCGCGTTCACTTTTCGATCGGATTGTCGAAAAGCGAAGAGGAGTTTGTTGCAGTTGGCAATGATATTACAGAGTCGATTGCAGCCAAGAGTCCCGGGTGCGAAGTTGGGAAGGGTCCCGCAAAAATTTAGGGCAATGTGCACCACGTGACCTGAATTCTTGGCATCAATTTGTGGCATGCGCTCAGGCTTTTACAAGGTCTACGGCACTATCACATTTACAAAGGACATAATGCTTTGACAGGAGTTGCAGGAAATTATGTGGACACTCGAATGATGACGGGTCGATTGGATTGATTATTGAACGTTGCCTCCTTCTACACCTAGTCGGGAACCATGTGAAGGGTGCGAGGTAGCGATGTCCCATTTTCGCATTGCTCGCCGGTGTGGCATTGACTGACTGGGCCTCGGGCAGATAGGTCGTGCGTCCAGAGATGGTACGACAACGAAAACGCTGTCCGCAAGCGCCATAGTCATCCTCCTCCGACCACGTATTCCTCGTAATTCGACAGTAGATTGAGCGTAGTCAATTCCCATGTTCTCGCTTGCATTTGTCGCTTAGTCGAACAGACCAAAGCCCATATCCTCGTCGGACTCTTCCTTCTCCTCTTCCTTCTCGGCAGGCTTCTCTTCCTCGGCAGCAGCAGCACCGCCAGCCGCAGCACCACCGGCAGCAGGAGCAGCACCGCCACCACCAGAGCCGCCAGTTGGGACAGACGCAAGTTTCGTTGAACCCTCGGCGATTAACTAAAGCACTGTCAGTATCCTCTGCAGCTTCCTGTAGAAACAATCCGGTGTTACCTCATTGATGTCCTTGCCCTTCAACTCTTCGATCAACTTGGAAAGACGGTCCTCATCGGCATCAATCCCGACGGAAGAGAGAACACCCTTGATGTCGTCCTCAGAGGGGTCGGTGTTGCCGGCGAGGCCAAGAAGGAGGTATGCTGCAAGGTGCTTCATTTTGAATTTATTTCTTCACGCAAAATGTTAGTCCTCGGCGGGCTTGGAGACAAGAGTCAACTTACGGCGGATGGAGGGTTGGCGAACAGGAGAGACAATCGATTTAACCGCTGAATTGAGCGGAGACTGGCACTTCGAGTCCTGGTAGATGTTCGGTTCGTAGAAAGTCGCAGGGAAATCGTCTATTGCCTGGTGGGTTGTGCGACTGGCGAAATTCAAGAGGAAAAATATATTGGGAAGGTTAGCCGGGCACCGGGTGCGGACCAGTCGCGTGCGGCGTGGTCTCGGCGATGCATCAAAGAAACAGCAACTGGGAAGTGGCCACTTGGAGGCGGGGACTCTGGACGGCTTCACCTATTTATTACCACTTCTTCCTTTCTTCCTCTCCCCTCCTCCTTGTCACTCATCGACTGCACCATCTTGCGAGCTTGTATCTGGTATTACCTTCTTTCACCTGTCTGGACCACTTTGCACAGTGATTGCGCCGGCCGGCAGCGGGCGAACACGAGAAACATGCATGAAATCCAGGTCTCAAATCTTCTGACTTGACCACCTTCACATTCCTCTAACTCTCCGCTCTGCACTTTCATCATGAGCCTCTTCAGCGATATCGTGAACTCAATTGGTAGCGACAAATCTCCAGCACCACCAAAGCCGCCAGCAAGACCACTCAGTGCAAATGCGCACCGACCGAACCTCGACGTCAGCAAGCCTGGTTCCCGGCCCGGATTGCCGGCGGCCCCCTCGCCTCTGAATGGCATAAAGCGGAAGGCCGACGATAGCTCTGCAAAACCGCCTGAGAAGCTCATCAAACCGAATCCTATACCTGGCTTGACCAGCACTATTGCTCCAAAGCGTCCTGCCGCACCTCCCCTTAACGCTCCCAAACCTACCAATGGAAGCGAAGGGAAAACTCTTCCTACGCCCAGACCGAGACTTGATGCTCAGGTGACTTCAGCGAAACCTGGCTCTGCGCCGTCCACCCCTACCACCGCGTCAGCCAAAGGTCCAGCGAAGGGTTCCTACGCAGAGTTGATAGCTCGAGCCAAACAAGCGCAGGTGGAGAAAGCTCAACAAAGCCAAGTTGGCTTGATCAAGCACCAGGCAACGAATCGAGAAAAGCCATCGAGGTTGGCTGAGAGGAGACGTCAAGAAGAGGAAAAGGCAAAGGGTGCAAAGGAGAAATCCAGTGGCGGCCGTCTGGCAAATGGTGGTAAACGGCAGGATAAGTCTCGAAGCGCTAGCCCCGCAAAGAAGACGGATCAGCCCAAAGTACCTAAAGCCCCCCGACCGCCATTACATGCCCCTCCTTCGTCCTCCTACAAAGGCACCATGGGTACTACTTCTGGTCGGACCAAACCTCCGCCCAAGCGTGCCAGATATGATGAATACCTCGGCACCGACGAAGAAGACGTTTCGGATGACATGGGCGGGTATGGAGAGGACGAGGAAGATTATGGGTCTGAGGGTTCATCTGATATGGAAGCTGGAGCGTTCGATGTGTACGAAGAGGAGCAGAAAGCCCTTCGGGCTGCGAGGGAAGAAGATGCCCGAGAACTGGCTTTGGAAAACCAATTGAAGCGAGAGAAAGAGGAACGACGGAAGAGGCTTATGAGTCTTGCAGGGAGGAAGAAGTGAAGCGGAGACAAGAAGAACTATGTGATATTTGACTTGCGACATGACATTGGAACTCATTTTGCCTTATTGATAAGTTAGCATTGGTGTTGGTGGAGTTTTGCATTACAGGAAGACACTCGCGTGGCTCGCTGCATACTTTATTTGATGGATGTTACATGTTTATGCAAGTATCAACAGCGGGCGTTCTCACCAGCAGCTCCTCTGGATCCCACATTCTATTTTCTGCCAGGAGCGACGCAAGGCCGATAGTGGACTTTATCCGATACTTTTGAGCCAAAAACAAGGACCTGCCTCCAGCAAAGCTCTTAATGATACCGTCTCGTGACTAGAAATCGACTAGATGTATATATTCCAGGTTTCCTAAGTGCAGTACACGATGAGCGCATCCCGTCTACCTGTCCAAAAAGGAGCCGCTCATTTAGTCAGACACCAAGCTCTCAACGTCGACCCCTTCGACACGATAAAAGCCAAGTGACTTCAACATGGGCTTATCGTGGAACCTGTAGAGGTACACTGGCTCTGACCCTTCAGCAGCGGTGTGCTGGTACTTGTTCCAGGAGGGCACGCAGAACGTGTCACCCTGCTTCCAGTGGAACTTTTGCCCGTTGATGTCGCTGGATCCCTGGCCCTGCACCACGTGGTAGACGGACGACGCGGTCTCTCTCACGGCGGGTGATGTGCAGCCGGCATTTAGACGTTCGGCGGAGCCGCCGAGGATTTTGGAGACTGTTGTCAACGATGTTAGTTTGCTGGGGTGGTCTTCTGCGTGTGGCTGGGGATTTCAAAAGGGGGGAGAGGAACATGGACTCTTTCCTTACCTGGTCTGCCGTCCCCCTTCAAATAATCCTCCTCGGCCCAGTCGCCCTTCTTCTCGTCGAGCTTCTTCTGCATCGCCGTCCACGGATACACAATCGGGCTCGTGTTCGAGTCCACATCCTCGGCCGGGTATCTCGGCTGGTTGAAATGCTCGACGAAATGCACAGGGAAGTGGATGAAGTTTGGCAGATCCAGCCCGTCGAGCCAGATCATGGGGCCCGACCCGTCCTTACCGTGGTCGTGCCAGTTCCAGGTCGGCGTGAGGATGACGTCGCCGCGCTGCATGGTGATGCGTTTGCCGTGCACCGCGGTAAAGCCGCCCTGGCCCTCGATGATGAAGCGCATGGCGAACGCCGTGTGTCGATGCGCGCGGGCAGTTTCATTGGGCATTACTAGCTGCAGACCCGCGTACAGTGTATCTGTGGTGTAAGGGGCATCTGTGAGGAGCGGGATGAAGTCAGCACAAACATTTCATTGTTTTGCTCTTTCTTTCCCCTCAATAACACATGCTTCAGCAGGACAAAAGGCCATACCTCTGGCGGGATTTACCAACATCAGCACCCGTCTCTCAGCTTGCTGCTCCGTGACTATCTCTCCGGCCCTGAGGAGACTCGGCCTGACCTCGTCGTATCGCCAAATGAACGGCACACACTTGGGGTTGGGCTCTGGAGGGTTCAACCGCGCCATCTGCGTCCAGAGTGGCTTGGTGTTGACCTTGAGAGCATTCTCGACCAACTCTTCGGCCGGGTCTGCCTTCTGTCCCCAAATGGGAGGAAGAGCTCCCGTCACGGTTTCAGTTGTGGTGGCCATTTTAGTTTTAGGAGAGGGGGTCGTAGAGGTATGTATGTCGATGTATATATGTCTCTTCTGTGGGTGACGGCTGGACGAAGTAGACTGGAGTTTACTGGCAATGCTTTTTGGATGATGAAACTTACTGGCGACGTTTGTCGTTCATAAGATATTATAACAGGCTAACCAACTTCTTAATAACGGGTAAGCATCAAAAAATGGCCGGGACCGAATCACCGCGCGTCAGTCATTCACCGACCGGACATGGTTGAGGACCTCGAGGAGGAGTTGATGGATGTGGTGGAGATGGTGGAGAGGCTTCGTACAATGAGCCACCAGGGCTGCCGCTTCCCGATACACACCCGGACGGAATCTCCTCCGCCACCTGCCTCGCTCTGGCCTCCCATCGGCCTTAACCATCCATGAAGATCAAAGAAGACGGATGTTGACTTAAGCTTCCCGCCTGTTGCGGTACGATCACGGTGGGCTAATATCGGTAGTGGCTCAGGCGCTGTCTCACTCGAAGCCGACCAGCTCGGCACAACTCTCAGGGTGGGACGCGATTTGTACAAAGTCCCAAAGTGTCTTTGGATCATCTGTCCTTCCGTTAACTAAAGCACCTCGACTGGCGCCCCGGGGGATCAAATCAACAAAGACAAGTCCATTCTCCCCGTTATTTACTACTCACGCCAACCACACCCAAATCATTTCAAAATGGTCGAGATACTTTCCGGTGTAATGGTCAATGGCGAGACCAAGCCAGTCAACGGGGTTACACCAGTGAAGGAAGAGTTCATCAAAATCCCAGACGTGAGTAAACTATTCATGTCCCTTCTCAGTGAAGAATTAGGGGTACGGGCCCTCACACTTTGGACAGGTGGCTTCTTATCCCACAGGAAGTCTTGACTTTCTCGCCAAGCTGCAAAAGGAAGAGCAGAAGCGGCAGAAGGCTATGAGGACTTCCAACTTGCTTAACCCGGAAGAATTTTCCCGAGTTCGGCTGAACACCATCATCGTTGGTGCCGGACTCGGTGGGTTGGCCGCTGCCATCAGTCTTGCTAGAAAGGGTCATAAGGTCACTGTCTTTGAACAGGCTCCGGAGCTTGGCGAGGTATGATTGCATCCCTGAATGACATTTTTCTGTCTTTCGAGGCTGAACGATTGCTCTAGGTCGGTGCTGGCATCCAGATCCCGTCCAATTCAAGCCGGTTGCTTCTTAAATGGGGTCTGCAACCATTTCTGGCGTCCAGGATCGTGGAGCCAGAGGACATCAAGTTCCGGCGATGGGAGAACGGCACCGTCATTGGACTCACTAAGCTGGTCCCCGAGTTTCAGGACAACTTTGATGCTCCATACTATGTCGTGCACCGTGCACACTTCCACGACGCCCTGTATCAATTGGCCTTGCAACTTGGCGTCGAGGTGCGAATCAACTCCAAGGTCATCGACTATGACGAAGATGCGCCCTCAATAACCACAGAACATGGGGAGTCGTTCACGGCGGACCTCGTCATCTGCTCAGACGGCGTGAAGTCGATTGGACGAACTAAAGTGCTGGGTGGCAAGGACCAGCCGCCCTTGAGAACCGGATTCGCGGCTTATCGAGCGACGGTGGATGTGGAGGAGATGAAAGTGCACCCGGAGCTTGTTGAGCTGTTGGCAAAGCCAGGTTTGAATTTGTGGATTGGAGATATGAGGCACGTCATGACCTACACGATTGCTGGAGGTAAATCCTTCAACATGGTCCTGTCGCATCCCGACCGCACAGACCCGGCTGCCTGGAACCAGCAAAGCGCCGACAAGATCTTGTCCGACATGCAAGCTCACTTTGACGGATGGGACCCGCGACTGACCAAGATCATCAGCATGATCCGGTCCACCCTCAAGTGGCCACTCGTCAGCGGGTCGGCGCTCAGTCGCTGGGTTGCGCCTTCCAACAAGCTCGCCATCATGGGAGACGCTGCGCATGCCATGGTCCCCTATATGTCTGAAGGGGCCGCCATGGCCGTCGAAGACGCTGCAGCACTGGCCGAGGCAATTGACCTGGTCGGCAGTACCAAGGAACTACCGGAGGCTCTGCAGGTGTGGGAAGCCGTCCGCATCCAACGCACGAGCCAAATGCAGGAAGCCAGTCTGATCAACGGCAAACTGTGGCACTTTGCCGATGGTCCGCTGCAGAAGGCTCGAGACGAGGCAATGCGGCCCGAAGTCGAGGGGAAACAGTTCGTGTCCAGCCCGAACCAGTGGAGCGATCCCACCACGCAGCGATGGTGCTATGGTTACGACGCCGAATGGGAAGTCAGGAAGGCCTGGGATACCAGGACCACCAAAGCCAAGCTGGTCAATGGTGATACGAAGGGGCTTTAGAAAAGAGTTTGACGAGGGATTTTCTTCTGACGGGGGGTACACATTATTACTGGGACCCAGTTTCTCTTACGATGCTTCTAGACCTTTTGCAGTGGCATCGGGACTTACCGTGGCGTTTGGGGGAAGAATCAAGATGCATGCCTAAGATACGAGTACAAGGCGCAAGGGAACAAAACCCACCCCTTGCGTGCTGTTAGCGAGATTGTCTTGTGTAACTAATGCTCAGGGGGTCAAAGACTCAAAGCTGAGTTTCGTCGTCCTTGGCTCAGGCTCTTGGGCCCATGTGATTGGTCCACGACATGTCAGCCTCATTGCGGTCAAGGCTAGATCGAGGCGCTTCCTGGATACGAGGTACCTTGTACACGAGCCCCTGAGCGAGACTCGCCTACCTACTTGCAGGGTATGACTTGGCAGCCGTTACCAAGAAAAGACTGTCACCGAAATCCATTGCTACAACGAGTACGAGGTACAGTCCCAAAAGCCTCATTGCCAGTTGCTTATGCAGATTTCGTGTTCTCATCATCTCTATATCCCATGGCGAGAGCATCTTACGCAGCCCCCGAGGTCGCCGGCAACGTCGAGGAGGCCAGGGACCTCGATTCGACCGGTCTCTGCCTCCTGTCCCTCGATGGCGGCGGGGTCAGAGGGCTGTCGAGCCTGTACATCCTCAAAGGCCTCATGACGAGGCTGAACTTTGAGCGACAGGCGGTTGGACTCAAAAGAGTGAAGCCTTACGAAATTTTCGATCTGATAGGAGGTACCAGCACCGGAGGGTAAGAGTTTGGGTTCACCGAGATCCCATGAGGCCTTTGGGAAACCCCTCCCCATCCAGCAGAACTAACTCGGGTGGTCACAGAATCATTGCCATAATGTTGGGTCGGCTGGAGATGGACGTGGACGAATGTATCAAGGAGTACAAGGTGATGATGAAGAAGGTGTTCAAGAACAAGAGGAGTGCTTTTTTCGTGTCCGTCACGGGCAACGTCAAGGCCAGGTTCTCGTCCCGGACGCTCGAGACGGCCATCAAGGAAGTTCTCAAGAGCAAAGGGTTCAAGGAAGACGACCTGCTCTTGGACGAAGCAAATCCGGAAGCGGCTGGAAAGTGCAAAGTGTGAGTATATCCCCAGTTGTATATGGGTTTCTTTTTTTTCCAAGTCCGAAACTTCCCCAGTCTCAAAATACTAAAGATTGGTTTGATTATCAGCTTCGTCTGTGCCAAATCCCAGGAAGGTAATCACATCAGACGGCTGAAGAGCTACAACGTGCAAGGAAGGCAGGAGGAAGACAACCCGCGGATCTGGGAGGCGGCGCTTGCCACGTCGGCGGCGCCGTCCTTCTTCGACCCCGTCCAGATCGGGGCGTGCAGCTACGTCGACGGCGCCATCGGCGCCAACAACCCGGTCAACCAGGTGGAGGAGGAGGCGGCGGACATCTGGTGCGAAGAGACCGGCCGAGTCCAGCCGCTCGTCAAATGCTTCATATCGGTCGGCACGGGCCACGCCGACTTCACCACGATCAAGAACAGCTCGTTGAGGTCCGTGGCCCACAGCATCGAGAAGGTCGCCACCGAGACCAAGAAGACGGACAACGAGTTCACCGGCAGGTGGAGGGAGCATCTGGACACCCGCTATTTCCGGTTCAACGTCGAGGAAGGCCTGCACAGCGTCCGCCTGGCCGAGTACAAGCAAGAGGCCGTCATCGACGCCGGCACCCGACTCTACCTGGACGGTCACGGCGTGAAGCGCAAGGTGAGGGCGTGCGTGCAGAATCTGAGACAGAAAAGATGTACGTGCGTGGCCCGTTTCGGAGACATTTGCGGGCAGTGGAGTTGATCTTTTTTTTCTTTACCCCCCCTTAGATGAGCCCGATCGCGCCTTTTGTCTAGAGCAGACACAGCTGCAGGAACTGCGGGAGAAGAGCGAGCAGCGAGACCGAGAGCGTCCCCAGATGTTGGGCACCACGAGTGAAATCTGTCTGTCATCACCCTTCCCCACCCTTGTCGAGTAGAGACTGACCAGATTACAGCCGAACTCGTTGGGAGAGGCGACGCCAACCGACGAAAATCCCCCAGCACAGTCAACAAGGAGGATCTGCTCAGTGCGCAAGAAGACTTCACCCGCGCTCTCCGGGGCATGAACTCGCAGCACCCGCTCCCCAAGGCCAAGGAGTTTGCCCGCATCTACCAGAAGCTGATGTCGACGTCCCTGAGACTCAGCCATCTGCTGGCGTTCACCGAGACGGAGCGCATGGCGTACGTGCGCGAGGCCGAGAAGCACGGCACGTACGCCATGGAGCACGCGATTCGGTCGCACAATGACCAGCGCGTCACGCAGATGCGCTTCTACATGTCCTGTGTGCACGCCAGGGAGGCCTGCTTGATGGCCGAAATGGGCATGCTGCAGGGCGATGAGCTGGCTTCGAGACGCGATCGGGCACTGGAAGACATCTCGGTCTCCCTGAGCGAACTCCAGAGCTTTGAAGATATGGATATGGCTGTGTACGAGGTCATGGCAAGGGAATATAGCCAGGCTTTGTCCCGTGGAGGGCGGCGGCCGTGAGGGTGCTGGGGCATGCATCGCGGAAAGCTCCTTCTTTTCATTGTTTCTTCCATTTACTCGCCGGAATCTTTGTACTCATGATCAGTAGCATGTACGCAGTATGTCAAATGAATGCCAACAGCTGCAAAGGCAGTGTCAGCCAACACCACCTACACGATCCCACCACATTTCTGCACCTTCTTCTGCCCACAAGCCTCTTCCTTACATACCAGCGCCCCATCATATAGAGTCCTCTCGCATATCAAAAAGCGGCTTTGTAAGGCCCCCCAAGTCCTAAACCAATAATCCCAAAGACCAAAAAGAAGAACAGAACAGATCTCGTCTTCGTCATTTCCTCATACTGCCGACCCACATCGGGTCCTTTCCTTTTCTTTGGGTGCTTTTTTTTGGGGGGTCTCTATCAACGCATCTGCGTCGAAACCAAACTCGGCTCCATTGGGTGCGGATACGCGGGCGCCACGTGGATGGTCGAGACCGAGTCGTCCGGATATATATCGTCCTGTCTGTTGTACAAGGGGTGGCTGGACACCTGTGAGCCGGCACCGCCGCCCATGACACCGTTGTTGTAGCCGTAGGGGAGCGGTGGCGGGGGCGCGCCGTAGCGGAACTGCGCCTGCTGGGCCTGTGTGCGCCTCAGCCTGCGGTATTTCCGGAACCATACACCGGCGAGCGTGAGGAGGATCAGGGCGAAGCCGCCCATCACGCCGAGAACGATATATGTCGTCGTGTTTGAGGAGGAGGAGGAAGATGGCGAGGAGCCCGAGGTGGAGCCTGAAGAGGAGGAGCCGGAGCCGCTGTTGCTTGTAGGGCTAGTGGCGAAAATGTCCACCGTGGACGATGCAGCGCCGTTGTTGTTGTTGTTCGAGCCCGTCGACGTCGGGTTGCTGTCTGACGCCGTGGTCTCGGCGACATTGTCCGCCGGCAGAGCCGTGTACCCCAGCGACGTGCAGTAGCCGCCGTAGATGGACACGGCGGCGGCGATGTTCAGCGACGTGTCGCCCACGGTGCACGACTCCTGGATGCAGCTCGTCAGGTAGCTCTCGGCCGCGAACTGCAGGTCGCCGCGGCAGTAGCAGCTGTCCAGGGCCCCGAAGCCCGTCGACGTGCCGAAAGCGCACGAGTCGATCGAGCACCCGATCGCCGAGCCCACCAGGTCTGTCGTGCACCCGTAGCCGTACGTGAAGCACGACTGCACGCAGATTTGCTGCTCTTGGAACGCCGTGAGTGTGAAAATCGATTGCGGTTTGGGGTTGCTCGTTTGCGCCGCGCCGGGCTGGGAAAGTAATGCGCACAGACATAACCATGCCAAATGGTAGAGGACGGAGAGATCCATTGAAGAATGGGGTCAACCAGAAAAGAAACGTTGAAGCCAACTAACTACTGTGACTTTCTTGGGCCACGGTAACGTGTACAAAGTCAGCTTCTCACCACCCGTTGCGACTTACAGCTGAGGCATTGATAGAGGAATATGGGAAAATGACCGGCCGGCCCAGTCCAGCCCAGCAGCAAGCAGTAGTAAGAGTCATTTCACTCGCACGGCCGGGGGGAGGCTCAACAACGGCACCAACGGGCCTTGCTAGGCAGAGAGTTCTGGACTTCTGGACCCCATCTCCTCCTGCTCTCGCCATGATGCAGAATCAGGGGGCTCCATGCTGTTTGAAGCGAAGGGCGTCCTGGTCTGGGCGGCATCTGACAGCGAAACACTTGGGCTGGAAGCTCGTGTAGGCCACCAGCTGTGACAAGGGAGAGAGCTTGGCTGACACATGGATGCAAGAAGTTGTAGGACACTAGACTAGCGTAGACGAGATCAAAAGATGTGATGCTGCTGTATCCAGGGGTAAAGACAGAATGGGGGACGAGGCTAGGCCAGAAGAGGATCAAGGAAAGGCCCTGCACCAACCACCAGCCAGGGGGGCTCGTATTGCTTGAACGACAAGCGCCGGGCTTGTTGCGTTGGGTGTTTGTTCTGCCAAAAGTGCCTGTCTCGGGCGCAAAGTCTAAGTAAGATCGAGTCTGGTCAGCTCATTCGAGCATCGCGGACCTGTTAGTGTCACCATGACTGGCAGTTGTGTGACTATGAGGCGCTCGCATATTGATTTTCCCAGCCTTGGCGGCGCTCAGCCTTGCGCCAGATTTTCCCAGAACAACATAAAGTATGACCCTTGGCGGAGTGAACTCTACCAGCTCCCACAAATCTTCTACGAAATTGTCAAGAGAGCAAAAACAAAAAGAAAGGGTCAGGTTGGACATTGCACAAAAACGCAAAAACTCAACTTTGTTGAGAAACTCGCCCTTGCGGGTTGGTTTTTTGTCAACTCGTATCCCGAGCTTTGCAGCCCAATCTCCCCTTTCGACGGGGACCCGTCACCCCTCCTGCTCGTCCTCCTCCTCTTTCTTCCTCCTCTGAGCGCTCAATCCCAATATTTACCCTCCCCCATCTCTCGCTTCTGAGGCCTTTTTTGGTTGGTGGTTGGTTATGGTTCGAGGTCCTGCTGCGGCTCACCCGTTATTGTGAGTTCGACCTGACAGGACCTGGATTGTATGGTGTGTTGCAATCGTGGTTTGACTTGGTCTTCGCCCTTGTCGGGTTAAGGGGGTCTTGGTGTTGACAGAAATTTAGAAAGAATAAAATATACACAGATGATTTTATTTTTCTGTACCAGACCTCTTCACCTGCCCCCGCAAGAGTCGAGGGTCATGTGCTTTTGATATCAACGAGGCCTGCTTGGCGCCCTGCTTCACTCCGGGAGTCTCAGGACGACTCTTCCTCCGATCTCGAACCTCGCAAGCTTCTCCATGATATTGTTAATCTCGTCGAATTCGAACACGGAGATCTCAGGCTTCACATCTCCCTTGACGGCCATCTCAAGTAGTTCATCCATCTCCTTGGCAGTTCCCACTGACGATCCCACTATGCTAAGACCTGGGCCATGAGTTAGACGACTTGTCACGACACAAGGCTTTGGCTTCAAGAACGCCAGGTCCGAACTTACTTCTTACGCACATCATGAACGGCGAGATCGGCAAGCCCAGTCCCGACTTGGGCAGTCCGATACACACCAGGGTTCCAAGGTTTCGTAGCAGCTTCAGTGCTTGATCATATGCAGTGTCGCTCCCGACTGTGACAATGGTGGCATGGGCTCCGAATCCGTTGGTGAGACGCATCACTTCCTCCTCGATCTGTCGATGGGATGAGTACATTGCTCTGGGACGTGTGGAGGGCTATATTTACCGAATTCGTCTTGAAATCGAGGAAAACAGCTGCTCCGAGCTTTATGCACATTTCCCTCTTGGACTCTCCGGTGTCGATGGCAATCACTTTATACCCGCGTTTGGCGGCGATCTGGACGCCACTGCAGAGGGTTACTCGTGGTGTCTAGATCGGATCCTGCGACCAGACTCACAGATGCCCTAAACCTCCTCCTGCACCCGGTATTACGACCCAGTCTCCTGGCCGCAGTCTCGCTTTCGCAAGGGCAGAATACATGGTCAATCCCGCTTTATCATTGCAAGTCAGACATGATAGCTTGGAAATGCTGCTGAAACGTACCACAAAGCAAAGGAGCAGCGATTTCAGACTTCAGTCCCGGCGGGATCCTGGTGGCATGCTTCACAGGAGTGACAATGTACTCTTTCCTCGGTCAGCCGGTAGCCCCCCTTGAAAGCGTTAGATGATGCGTACGTTGGAAAGTGCCTCTTGTGTTCTACAAGCAAGCCAAATCAGCATCGCCAGTACCCTTCAGCGTGAATCTTTGTGGAGGTAAAAGACTTACCCGTCCCGAGTTGATCTGGTTCGGGCAAGCCGTGGGATTAACAGCGCAAATCTCGCACGTGTCGCATGTGCTGTACTGCCACCTTTGCACGGGCGATTTCTAATTGTCAGCTTGAGTCTCGCCGCATCGAATTGACAAAGAAGCGTGAGATGGACTGACTTAACTCCCAGCCTGGCATTCATCATCTCTGCCGGGACGTTGGACCCAACTGCGAATGGTCAACATCGATGACCAAGCAGGCTTTGAGAGGTGCCTACGCTCAACCACACGTCCTACACCTTCATGACCAGCGATGTCGGTGCTCATCGGCGTTTCGCCATATATGCTGTGCACATCTGAATGACTGTACAAAAGCAAGAGTCAGTCTTCCGTGGGCAGAGGCGACACGGGCCCTACTCACCAGAAGCCGGTATATTCCAATTTCACGAGCACTTCGCCTTCTTTGGGAGATGGAACCTCGATATCGCTCCTGAGTTTCAGCCGCGCGCCTGGCTCAGGTTTCTCGAGCCATGCCGCGATCTGCGTCCTGGGTATTGTTGATGCCATTGTGTAGGTCCCACAATTTTCTCTTTGTTCTCCCAGCCTTCTCTGTCGGTGTGTGTCTTAGGATACAAAGGTAACGAAGCGTTATGCACCAGAGATATACGCCGGAGTTATAACATTGGCCCGCGCCCTCAACTCTCCTACGGTACCTTCAACGGGCGTTAGAAGGACCCGCCAGGACGACTCGCCGAAGTGCTTCCTGCCGTCAATCAGCCTTGCCCTTGTGCCAAGACGAGATGGGGGCACCTGGTGGGCAACTTTTTGTGGGCTGTGGGGGAGGAATTGAAAATGGTGGGCGGCCGCTCAACGTCGTCCGACGCTTACCCGTCATCACCGCCCGTTGTTCCTGTCTCCACCCCTGTCCGATATTTATCTCCAGAATTCGGGCGGGCTCACGGGCGTTGCGGAGAAACCAGTTACCCGTTTTGGATTCGAAGATATGCACGTTAAGAGACAGGATGTGTTTGTATCGGGCAGAGCAAGAAAAAGACGAAGGAGGGCAGAACACGAATTGCTTCAGAAAGTGCGGCGAGAATGTGTTTGTCATTCGAAATCCATTTTTGTCAGATCTTGTGGTTTCTGAACCCACGAGGTGGCTTCGTTCTGGGTCATTTGAACTGTCTGACAACGCGGCATATACCCCGCCAACTCTCCCCAGGGGCGCCACCTAAAGTGCGCCCCAGTTGGCATCATCAGGCTGACCTCCTTAATGCCCTCTTCCAAATGGCAGCCTTGTGGGGATTTGAGGAGGGTACATATGGGGCGACATCTGTATGCTTGCACTGCACAATACCAACAAGCAAAGCTCCTCCCCAGAATCCTTTCTCTCATGGTGCTACGCGCTACCCTTGTGGAAGTACGGTATCATCCTCTGTCCGCTCAGAACGCGTCCCCATGATGTGTTGTCCTTGCCGACTCGAAACGCTGGGCACTCCACTTCCTCATCGCTTCCCCCTTGAAGTAGACCGCAGCCATGAGCAGATGCGCAACGAGCAGAATCACGGCCATCACAACAAAGGGAACTGTATAGCCAGCACTTGTATTCCACGGCACAATGGCGTAGCTGATGCCAAATGCTGCCAGATTCTTCATTCCGTTGTCGATGACCATGACGGTGTCCATTTTCGCTTCGTATACATCGAGGAGATACGCGAATGAAATGCTGAGGGAGGAGATGAAGCAGAAGCAGACTGCAAGAAGACAATCGTCAGCGTTCAGATTCCGTCTCGGGGGTAAAGAGACGGTACATACCAAAGCATGATCCGAATAAAGGCGCAATCCAGTGGCATTTCTGCTGAGTGCAAATCCCGAAAAGAAGTGAGCCACCAATACCAACCACACCGGTCACTATCAGGAGAGGCAAACGGCGCTCGGGCTTGGGCTTCCGTCCTTCTTTCTTCGTCAACCGAATAAACATTCGATCTGCCAGCACACCACAGAACAGCATCGCCGCCCAGGTACCAATCAAAGGCGCAATGAAGGTCAGGCCGGAATTCCCAATCGAGAAGTGATAGACGGTCAGATAGGTGATGGATTGTGTAGTCTATATGTTGTCAGTGATGCAGGACCTTGTTGAAGGGAGAAGATAAGCACCAAGGTGTAGCTATTGACCAGCAGCGTCATAGAAAAGAACGCCGTATTAAGAATGATGACCGGATGTCCAAAATATGGAAGTATCGTTGCGAGTCCATGGAGGACACTGGGATGGAGTCAGCTCATACGCCATTTACTTCAGGCTCTGAATTTTGCCAGACCTATGCTCCTTCGGTCTCCCTCCTCCGCTCACGGGCGAAAATCGCAATTCATCTTTCCATGACCTTGTCAGCGTTGCCGATTCTTCCGCGTGTCTCGTATATTGGGTTTCTGGTAGGAGGAGGATCATCAATGCTGCGGCACCGAATGTAATAATGGCTAAGATCCATTCGATCCAGCGCCAGCCAAGGGTTCTGTTACTCTGCTTTAGTGAACGTCCAGGCGAGCGAAGTCAATAAACTGACTGGTCTTGAATGATAAAAGCTCCGATCAAAGGCGCACCAGAGAAGCCACTGGCCTGCAAGATGCCTACCCATGTCATCGCTTTTGCTCTGTCCTTGAAATGGAAGACATCGCCAACCAGCTGAGGTGCCAGTGTTTCTGGAGGCGCGTAGAACATCGAGGCTAGAGTCCTGGCAGCGACAAGGCTGCCAAACGAGGTTGCCTTGGCAGCCCAACAATCCATGCAGGCGGCAGCCAGAGAACTGAGGACAAAGACGAGTCTGATGCCATATCTGTTACCCAGGGGCACCCAGAGGAAGGATGAAATGCCGTAGGCCAAGAGCGGACCGCCGACGAGGTAAGTCGAAGTGTTAAAGGAAGACTGAAACTCCACTGGGATGATTTGGAGTGCCGGAGCAATGATGATCATGTTTGAAGTCCCCAGCAGAATCCACAAGCCGACAACAAGGAGGATGGTAAGTTTCCGCAGAACGCTCCAGGATAGAGGATCGTGGGGATCATGGTTCTCGACCAAAGCATCCTGTCCTAACTCCTGGTTCTTGTTTTCCACCTCCGCTATGCTGTTCTCGATATGCATGTCGACGGATTTAATGGCAGACAGCATCATGGATTATCAGAAGATACCTTGTACGCAGGAATTCGCGCGTTTCCAAAGATCCGCGGGCGTTCCTTGATGCCAGGTGGTCTATGATGGAAAGGACTCAAAGGAAGTTGTGGTCCGTCAAGCCTTTGCTGCGAAGAGGATATAGCCATCACTTGCAAATAATTCTTCTCCCAACACAGGGGCAATCTCGGACGAGTTTGCACATCCTTGTATGTATACATACATCGTTCCCCGACCTAGTGTCGAAAACCCCATCGGGCGGAGATAGGAGCTCGGGGCCCAAGGCTGGGGTTATACGAGGCGGCCGATTGTCCGCTCAAAGGCGCGTGTGACCTGACGAATGAACCACAACATTGTGTGAGGGAACTGGCTGTTGGCCATTCAGAACTCGCGTCCACGAAACCTTTCAAAAGACGGAAGCAAAATTAGGAGCTGAATGTAGCCTTGACTCAGGAAGAACCAAGTCACTCATTGTCTGCAAAGCTGGGCTATCTTTCAGATTTTCAAGACTCTCTTTGCGTTGCCGGAGTAGATCTCACGGACTACCCTCTCGTCGAACAAGTTGTTCAGTTCCTCGTCCATTCGCGTAGACATCCCTGTCAATGCTGAAGCCGGAGTATAGGGGTAGTCACTGCCATACAGTAACCGGGACGCATCTGTCATGCGCAGGAGCCCGTGAATCTGGTCTGGAAATGGAAAACCAGCCAGGTCGAAGTAGAACCTCGATTTGAACAATTCCTTCACCTGCGATGAATCCAAAGCTTGATCACCACCTAAAACTCTCGTTGCAAACGATGAGAATCTCTCAACCAAGGGCGGCAGTGCGCCACCACAATGTGAAACCAAAAATGTAATATCCGGGTAGCGCGCGACAGTGCCAGACAGAATCAAATTGACAACTGCTCGTGTGGTGTCGAAGAAGAATTCTAGCATTGGTGCAGGATAGTGGGAGAGTGGCCTTTCGGCGTCCGGCTGCTTGTGCGAGTGGCATGAAGTTGGGTGCATGAATACAGTTGCCTTCCTCTCATTTAACTTCGCAAAGACCTTCTCGAGATGGGCATCGCCCAAATAATATCCGTGTGCATTGGTCATGAGCGCAAATCCCACCGCCCCCAAGCTATCTAGAGCACGGTCAATTTCTGCGACGGAGCCAGCGACATCTGGGAGCGGTAAAGATGCGAAAAAGGCGAACCTGTCGGGGTGCAGTCGACAGATACGGGCTATCTCATCGTTCGACTCCCGAGTAATAGTCCGACCCAATTCGTCATCATCTGGTTTCAGATGTGTCCCAGGGGATGTGATGCTGAGTATAGATTTGGAGATGCCCAATTTGTCCATCAAGTCAATGTGAGCCTGGGGTGTCCAAGTCTTGAACGAGAATAAGCTTAGGTATCTTGCACGAAGAGCAGCGTACCTACAGGAATTGCAGGCATACCGTCTGGTCGATCAAACCCATACTTGCAAGAGAAATCGCGCCACACCTCAGGCACAACGTGGGCGTGGGTATCGATTCGCTCCATTTCGTGAGTGGTGTGGAGAAGAGAGAAAGTCGAGATATAGGCATAGATCAAAGCGGACTTGGTCAGTGCCCAAGAGAGTATGAGAAGTCTTGCGCAGACTTGACACAGGACATATCAAGGACTCTCCGACTCAACAGCTTTTCGGTTTTACCAACAGACTATGAATGTTGACTTCTGTCAGAGAACAACTCTTGCAAGCCATTAGGGGGTGTGCATCGGATGTGGAGAATTCAGGCGCGTCCTAAAGCCGAAGGGGAGCGGACTCGGCACGCTTAGCCTCGGACTTGAGGAGTTGCCAGTAATGCTAGTTGCACTTGATTATCAAACTTCCCCCACAATGATCGTGAATAGATATGAGGGATCTCGAATGTCCATTTCAGTGGAACCAAGAGCAGACATTGGCACAGTTTGATAACCTGATTGCTTGAAATGGCCGCGCCTCTGACAGTGGACGTATATGTCCTTCCAACTGGATACCTTTGGCTCCCAGACCGCTGGATCTTTGCTGATGGAGACTTGCAAGTCCGCCATCTGTCCCCAGACTATAGTTTCCTCATTCGACATCCTTCTGGCCAGAATGTGTTGTTTGACCTCGGCATGCGCAAGGTCAGTCGTTTTCCAAGATCCCATAATTAAAGGTCTTCTGTGAACGCGATGACATGGATGATTGCAGGACCTAGACAATAACCCCAGGGTGATCAGAGAGGATTATAGTGCCATTGAGCCCTACGTTCCCAAAGATGCACACGACTTGCTCGCAGATGGGCCAGTAAAGCCAGAGCTCATTGATATGGTGGTGTTGAGTCATATGCATTTCGACCACAGTGGGGATGTTGGGCGCTTCCCTCAATCTAAGATAATCGTCGGACCGGGAACGCGAGACTGTATCCATCCAGGATACCCGGCCAGTGATGGTTCGCCCTTTGACGGCTCAGTGCTCGCTCACCAGGGATTCACCGAGCTGGAAAGATCGCAATACAGCCCACTAAAAGGAGCTTCTGTACCCCCTTCATTCACCTTCGACGAAGGGGTAGATATATTTGGCGATGGATCTTTCTTTGTACTTGATGCACCGGGCCATATGCCTGGTCATCAGATGGCGCTAGCACGGACTGGTGAGGATGAATGGGTTGCTATGGGAGGCGACTGTTGTCACCATAGGGATTTGCTGGAACATCCATCCCGCGACATCAGCGTCGATGTGGGACCAAACGGCCAGCCTGGATTTCACAAAGATCCTGTCAGCGCAAGAGAAACAATCCATAGAACCCAGGCGTTGCACTCAAATCCGAGCGTCTTTGTGGTGCTCGCCCATGATGCTCAGATTGATGGCATAGTTCCAGTGTATCCACAGAAGCTGAACGGATGGCGACAAAAGGCCATGAAGACAATGGTTCGGCAGCAAGCCTTGACGCTTGAGGAGATCAAAGCGAGATACAAGTAGCAATCCTGATGCAATATCAAGTTCTTGCCACCACAGCTGTCGCTGATGGTGTTCAGAGTCATTATCCGGTGACTTTCGCATTGTGCCAAATCCTCCACGAGCGCATTGCTTGCCCAACAGGAGTGCCATAGCGCCCAAGCGTTGTTTTTGTGTCCAAGGTACCTCCCTCGCAGGAGGAAAGGGTCTGCCCAAACATCTCATAGACGAGTGGGAGAGCACAGAACAGCGTGGCACGTACAGCACCCGCCAATCACTGGAACACAGTGTCAGCGAAAGTCGCAGAGAGCGACGAAGAACGTGAAGTTGAAGCCCGCATGAAGGGTTTGAAACTCGGCTGTCAGACACGCAGTAAATGAGATATTAAGGTAGTTAGGCCCATGGCTGGTGCTGTCAGACAGAGACATTTATTCGCCTACAGCACCGGGTGTAAATCGGAGACGCAGCCTTGGCATCAACAAAGTCGTTGCATCTCCTCATCGCCAGAGTCGCAGAGAAGCGGAAGACAGCGGCTATTCGATCAACGCACGAAAAGGGGTTCTCTGAATTTTCAATTGCCTATGTCGAAAGACGCAGTGTTGTAGACTGGACCTGTGGGCAGGGAAAAGGCAGGTGTAAGCCATCGAAGCCAGCCTTGCCGCCATCAAATCCCCACAAACATACAAAAGACAGCTTCTTCCCCGATATACCCCTTCTGTTGGCCCTCCTGCGCCCCAGATATGCTTTCTCCTCTGGCGATGCTCCTGAAACACACGTGACGAGTCATACCACACTTGTCTTGACAAAGAAACCTCAGGGACGTGGGACGCCATGTCGGATGCCCAAGCCCGGAAGAGCTCCCAGGGCGAATTACAGGATCAGGACCAAACAACACCACCTCCATCGTACAAACGGCGGCGTATAGCGCTAGCTTGCACATCCTGCAGGAATCGCAAATCACGTTGCAATGGCGCTAGGCCTTCTTGCAGTCTCTGTGTCGAGCTCGGCTTCGAGTGCATATATCAACAACCTGCCGCGGGTAATGTCAGGCCGCCTCAGTTACAGCCAGGCTATGATGAGAGGTTGCGGGCTATCGAGGACACGCTCAGGCTGCTTGTGAATCGAAACCACCCTCCGTCAGATGGCTCTGAGCAATTGAACCCATCAAGCCACGAGCCCAACCGGCCCAGTCAAGAAGCGACTACCACCATTCAAGAGCCACGACAAGTGCACAACGATGACGAAGACGTTGCAATCCTCGACGAGGATGACTCTCTACAACAGAATGCCGAGGACTCTGTGGATGGCATGGCCGCCATCACCGATCCGGAAGAGACGGAATCCAGGTTTTTCGGTCCGTCCTCGAACATTGCGTTGCTCCGCCATATATCGGATGCGACTTCAGCCACGCTGAAGGCAATTGGGCAGTCTCGACACTCGGAAAGTGGAATTAATCAGCCCATCGTCTCTAGGGTAGCCTCACCAGTCACTACAACTTTCTCAGAGACCAGCCCCATCGCTCGACACCACATCAACATCCGGTCGCTCCCTCCGGAAGAGCGCGCCCTGCACCTCATCAGGCTATTCTTCTCTGATACAGGGATGCTGTTTCCCTACATCCACGAGCAAGATATTCTCCGTACATACTCCGCTGCTCGGAGGAACCGCTTTACTGCAGTGAGCCGTTCTTGGCTATGCCTCATAAACGCCATATTTGCGTTTGCAACCTATATCAGCGCTAAACCTGATCAGTCTGCTGAAAAGAATGCGGCCGAGTCAGAGATATTCATAGAAAGGGCACAAGCTTTGTCGGCTGAGATCGAGATGAAATCAGCCAGCTTAGAGACCGGTGAGTATTTGTCAAGACAAGTTCTGCGTTGGCCGAGGCGGTTGCAGCCAAAATACGTTTGCGAGATACGCACTTCGGATGATATCACTAACTGGGAGCAGTCCAATGCTTGCTCTTAATGGCGCAGTATCGCCAAGGCACTCAACGGTCTGATCAGGCCTGGAACCTGCATGGCCTCGCAGTCCGTGCAGCGATCCAACTAGGATTACACTCGCAGACGGCTTCTTCAGGACTGAACTTGGTGGAAGCCGAGATACGCAAGCGGACATGGTTTGGGTGTATGATCTTAGACAGGTGAGAATACGAGCATCAAACAGCACCAGGAGCAAACGTCTCACTGGCTCTAGGACACTAAGCATGACCTTTGGTCGCCCTTGCATGATGCCCAACTCGATAATAAAACTAGATCTTCCGCTGAATCAGAACTTGGAACGACTGTCAATGCTGGGACATTCTGCAACTTCGATGAGCACCTTGGATCCGCCAGACACAGTTTGCCTTTTTACTGCGACAATGTGAGCTTCCCCTGCGCCTTCGAATGAGCTGTTGGTTGACGACTGGCAGACAACTATACTACATCTTAGGAGACATAATTTCCGAGCTCTATGGGGGGAACGTGGACGTTGATACAGGGCTGACCGTTCCAACAATGCTGGAAAGGACTGTCGTTCTTGAACAGAAACTAGCAGCCTGGAAACATAACCTGTTCCCGCCCCTGCAACGGAGGCCATGGGATACTCTTGATCCTGATACGATCTCACTCTCCGCTTGGGATCCTGTTTTCGACCGACTGAGCGTCATCATCACGCTCAGATATCTCAATACGCGGATTTTACTGCACAGACCTATCCTAAGTGCCTTTCTACGTCAAAGGGCTCGGGTGAAAGTACCCGGCGAACCCCTCGAACAGGAAGATCAATTTTTCAATGATCTCGGAGAACGAAGCGTCAAGATTTGCCAGCAAGCAGCCATGGAAATCGTCGAGATTGTCCACAAGACGAGTAAGCCACCTGCCTTACTTGGGGCATGGTGGTTCACTGCCTATTACAGTAAGCACTCTACTTTGAGCACTGACCCGGGTACAAATGCTGACCATATCTGTAAAGCATTCAATGCGGCCCTGGTGATATTCAGTTGCGTTTTGCTAGAAATCACGCCCTCGAACGTGCGGACTGTGAACAGTCCACCGATAACCACCACCGACTCCTTAGACTCTGCCAAAATTGTCGAAATGATTACGCGACTCCGGCGGGCGATGGAGACTCTTAAGCGGTTCGGCGAGGGCACCAAATCCGCAAAGAGAATCAGAAAGACACTCGTGAAGCTCATCCAGATATGCATGACACTAGTGCAGCTCAATCCCGAACATGGTCCAGCCATATTGTCTGCTTTGGCCTCTGGTCAGTCGGGCGAGGCGGGACAGACAAGTAACCAGAACGGCCTCTCTTTGCAGCCTCAAGGAGCCATGGATGGTACTATGGCAACGAATGGCATCCTACCGACCCTAGGTCAAGACGACCCTTTCGCAGCTTTTGACATGAGCATGCACCAGTATTGGACAGACAACAGTCTCGATCTGTTTGCTGACCTTGTGGGTGTTGAGCCAGGTTTGACTGCTATGATGGCTGGCTAGGCAGGAGACCAAGCTCCCCCAAGCTGTAGCTGGGGAATGGGGGACAATCAGGTAGCCATTAGATTGAATAATTAACCGCCTCTCTCGATGAGATCTCGAGTACTTGACTTCTAGAGCAAGCATCGCACTTTGTACCGAGAAGCTCCGTCTCATTGTCGTGCATTTTCGCAAGGAGAAATCAGCTTGGGCACGCCATTCCGTTCTTTCCCCGTACATCCCTTCCACTTACCTCCGACCAACGAACCCCACATGGCTATCTCGTGGATAATATCAACGACCATTAAACTCGACACCATTCTCGCCCGTTAACCAGACCAACAACTTCAACAGCATCCTTTCAAGACACTGTTCAAGATGAAGGTACCCTGGACTAGACTTATTCGATTCGTCGCCACCGACGGCCGAGTCCTACGCGGCGAGCCAATCTTGCCCAGCGAGGATTTCGACCTGGGCAATGTCACAGAATCCGATCAGCTGAAGGCCAAAGTCATCGTGGGAGACGACATCTTTGACACGACTGGCAAGACGAAGGTGACGGATGAGGTCGTTACGGTGAAGAAGCTCCTTGGGCCATTGGCTCGAGAGGAGGTGCCGATTCTGAGGTGTGTCGGGTTGAATTATGCAAAGCATAGTACGTTTTGACCTCTCGTACCATCCGGGCCTTGCTCTGTATGCTATCGGACGACCTTCAATGGGCCTTCTGCAAAGCATTCCAGGGAATTGAAGTGATGTTGACTGGCAGGCGCGTACAGTCAAGGAAGCGGGACGACAACCTCCACCATTTCCTTTCATTTTCTTCAAGCCGAACACTACAGTACAGGACCACGACGCTCCAGTGGTGATACCGAAGCTCGCTCAGGACGACCAGGCGGATTACGAAGGAGAACTGGTAAGACCACCGCCGCATTGGCTTTCTGGAGGGTCGTCTCTTAACAGTGCTTTCCCATTTCAGTGTCTCGTCATCGGCCGCGATGCGAAAGACGTCTCCGTCGAGCAAGCCTTGGATTACGTGGGCGGCTATACAGCCGGCAACGACGTCTCGTCGCGAAAACTCCAACGAGACCCTGAATTCGCGGGTCGAGTGCCTCAATGGGGCTTCTCCAAGGGTTTCGACACCTTTGCTCCACTGGGACCGTGTCTTGTGGCCCCCGACCTCATCGGCAACCCCGCAGACCTGCACTTGAAGACCATCATCGACGGCGAAACCCGACAGAGCGAGAGCGTGTCTGACCTGCTCTTCGATTGCCCGTACATCATCTCCTATCTGAGCCAAGGCACGACTCTACAACAGGGCAGTGTCATTATGACCGGGACGCCAGGAGGTCAGTCAAACTTGCGCTTCTCACTCCGCCGCCCCAAGCGGAATTGTTCTGGACATGATGCTGACCTTGTTCATGTTCGTTGTTGTACAGGTGTCGGTTCCGGTATGAAACCTCCGAAATATCTTGTGCCGGGCACGAAGATGGAGGTGCAGATATCCAAGATCGGGACGCTGCGTAATCCCGTTGAGTTTGCCTGAGTTTTCCGGTAAACCCAGTGCCCCAGTGTCGTCGCGGGTTGGCTTGTATGGAGCAAAATGGGCCATCCAACAGGGAGGAAAAGCATAAGCTATTAGAACTGCATGCATAGACAGAAGGTCTGACTTGGTTGGGCTAGCATTTGAAAACCGAATATTATAGCTAGGAGACCTCTTCCGTGTTCGTCTTTCTCTGCGCCTCATCCGCCCTTTCTCTGTCCAAGTGTGCTCTTTGCGAGAACTCGCTACGAGTACTGTGGCAGCTCTGCAGCCTCCCGATGACCTGAATTCTGCACTGTCGCCCTCTGACTGGGCTTCAGGGCCTTCCTCATCTTGACACTCTCCAACCGAACTGTCAGCTCCTTCTTCTCTTCTTCGCTGATTCCGTCGACACCCATTGCCGTCTCGATCTCCCCCAGTCCCTGCCCCAGCAGTCTCCATCGAATAGTTTCTTCCTCCCAGAAAAGAGCATGCCGACGACTTTGCGCTGGACCGCGACGCTGACGAAGGCCAGCTGGTGAGCGAACTTCGGTGTGATTCTCGTGGTGTCAATGCCGAGCGGGGCGCTGGGGTCGATGACGCCGTTCTTGACCAGTTCCTTGTGGATGCGCGCCGAGACTTTGGCGTGTGCTAGATTTGATTTGGTTTTGGTTAGTCGTGAACATCATCCCATTGTTCTGCATGGTCACTTCTTCTTCTCAGACCGATTTGTATTTGCATTCATTGGTGCCGGCGAGCCTTACGAGTAATGCCTGCTTTTAGTGCGCTCTCAGCGTCCAATGTCATGGGTGATCTTTGCGCGGTCTGTGCCCCTGAGACTTGGTGCGTCCAGAATGCATCCTTCTCATTCAGGGTGAGATCAGCATCCCGCTCAGGGTCGTCGCTTGCGAAGTTTGGGACTGCATTGGTCATGAAACGATTGAAGGAGAAGCCAATGCCGCCGGATGCCTTGCGATACATCTAAAACTTTGAGTACGACTTGATCGGATTGAAGAGCAATAAGATGGGGAACGGCGCGCGATCAATTACAAAGGAGAGGGACGGATAGGCAGCGTTTGTGCCATGCTACTTAATCATTCCAGACCGCGCCCCGGCCCTCGATGCTGTCCAAAGGCACGAGGATCAGGTGGTTCGATTGCTGCTCGCTGCTGGTAGTGGCCGTTGCACTGCCCCTTTCTAGGCGTGACACAGCCCTGCTTTCGCTTGCAGAGGGATACGAGTAGTCGCAACTCGAAGCGGCCAACAAATGGTACCATTAATTAGCAGTCCAGGAGGCATCGATCATTTGCTGGTCAAGTTGACACCAAGGCGAGAACTCGGTAAAAAGCAGGTGATTGTTTAACTGGGAGCCCAAATAAGGTGAGGCTGTACTCGGCGAGTCGGTAAGGGCTGCCCTTCTCCCGGAACATAGTTAATCCAGTCTCCATCTTTCATCTCCTGTCACGTGCTAGTCTCATGCTCTTCCACTGCGGCATCCGCCGCCCTCGGCATTTGTGCCAATCCTTCAACCACCCCAAAGTGCCTCAACGACACAAGGAGCCATCGTTATCTATCGGCATTAGAACGTCAAAGATCATCAGATGGCGCCCTTCAGATTCTGTCCCACCGTGATGTCAAACCTCACAAGAAGGAAAGCGAGAGGATGCCGGACCAGGCTCGGCCTTCCAATCACTCTCTTCCATGCTGCTGCAGCAGCTGCTCCTCTGCTCTACATCCCACTCTATCCACTCTGAATTTGACGTCACATGCAAGATGATAGGTTCGAAGATCTCCCCCGTGCTAAGCGAGGGCATTTTCATTGTTCACTTGGGCAAAATGTACAAAGAGGGAAACTGCTCACGCGACACCTCGCAGCAAATATTACAGCACAATATCCTGCGCTGAGCCAAATATTTTGCTTGCACATACCTCAACTGACAATATAGATGTATATTTTTTCTTCTTTACGCCTTTTTTTTTTTTTTTTTTTGAAAATCCACATGTGAACTGACGTGCCAGACTCACGACTTTCCTCTCCAGCGACAGCGAGCAATGTGGTCCCTAGTGCAATACCGACGGATCAGAAAGCAGGTCGAGCGCGAATGGCAAGAGAAGGTACAGGAACAAGACCACACCCAAAAAACGAGTGTTTTTCGAGATGTCGAAGCCAGCTCCGAAAGAGGAATATTGAAACGAGACAATGGTATCATTGAAGAGGACTCTTCTGGGGAACGGACGGAGTCAGAGGGTGGCAGCCCCAGCGGCAATGACAAGATCGTGGTCGACCTCGCAGGAGACAATGACCCTATAGACCCTCACAATTGGCCGCTCTCCTCAAGGTGCAAGAATATCGCCGTCCTGTGTCTGCTTATATTCTCCCAGGGGTGGGCGAGCGCAGCCGACTCCATGGCAAACTCGCGGATCAGTCAAGATTACGGTGTGAGCAAGGTGACAGCGAATCTCTCTCAAGCCTTGTACCTGTTAGGGATTGGATCCGGGTGCCTCTTCTGCGGTCCTCTTTCCGAGACAATCGGAAGAAACCCCACATACCTTGGAGCGACCGTCTGTTATCTATGCTTTGTGCTAGGTACGGCGCTGACTTCGAACCTGGGGGGACGCATTGTGTGCCGATATTTCGTGGGCGTCTTTGCCAGCGCCACCCTAGGCATCAATGGCGCCAGTGTGAGCGATCAATTTCGCCCAGTCAAGCGAGCGTTCGCTTTCCCGGTCATTGCGTGGGCAAATGTTGCCGGTAAGAAATTCTTTCTTTTCATATACCTATTCAGTTGTCTGCTAACGCAAGTTCGCAGCTCCTATGCTCGCGCCAGTCGTTGGTGGGTGGCTGGTTCAAGATCGTGGCCGCGATTGGCATTGGGTTGACTGGGTCACACTTATCATTTCCGGCTTCGCCTTCATTATTGCTTTCCTCTTCCTTCCCGAGACATACCTACCGGTTCTGCTGGACTGGAAAGCCACACATCTTCGCCGCGTGTCTGGATCTTCCAGGTACGTATCCGAGCACGCTGAAAAAGCGTCGTTTCTCAAGCGTTTGCGCGAGGTTCTCCCAATGCCGGTCGTCTATTTCTCAAGCGAGCCCGTTGTTGCGGTCCTGGGCGGTTACCTAATACTCGTCTATGTCCTCATGTTCTCTTTCTTATCTGGATTCGACTACATCTTCAAAAAGACATACGGGCTGTCCGACGGGCTGACGGGTTCGTGTTTCGCATCCATCGCGGCCGGTTCCACCTTTTTTACTCTATCTGCGCCTGTCCTCTTCCGCTTATCACGAATCCACACGGACTTCGTGAGGCAGGCCTGGATCAAGCCAGAGTACAGACTGTGGCCGGCCATCGTCACGGCACCATTGATGCCTATATCCTTGTTCTGGCTAGGTTGGACCAATTACCCCAGTATATCACTGTGGTCCGGTCTTGCAGCTTGTTTTTGCTTTGGCATCGTGGCGACCGCAGTGTATGTGAGCAGCTACGAGTACATTGTCGACAGCTACACGAAACACAGCGCTGTAGCGCTGGCCAGCATCACAATGGCGCGGTATCTCGTTGCCGGGACGATGGTTATGGCAGCAAGGCCCATGTATACAGGGATTGGAGTGCACTGGACAATGACTCTACTGGGGTGTATTGGCGTGCTGCTGGCACCTGCGCCGTTGTTTTTCAGGTTGTATGGGAAGAGGTTGAGGGCAAAGAGTGTTTATGCAGAATCATAATCTATCATCTGTGCTACCACAGACTTTTAATTTTTCCAGAGCAGGGGTAATATGATCTTTTGGAGGTATGTCCCGGTCGATCAATCAGCTAAGCCTTTAACACACAGCTTCGAGCATACATACCTAGGTAGCGAGTCTAGAGAGCGGAGATATAGCAAGTCTGAATGTGGTAGGGGCACAATCTCCTCTAAACTAGGCCATTCCAATAGGGACTGGGAGACTTTGAAAACCAATAACGGAACAATGCGTAAGATAATTTAGTTCTTGTATATTGTTGTGAACTAGTACTAGCTACTCTGCTTGACCTCAGGCTGCTGAAGTATCCAGTTGTGTTGTTGTTACAGATCCAATACTTTTCGTCCGTGACCATCACGTCCGCACACGAGCATCAATGCTTCCCGCGTCGCGTTCGGCTGCGTCCGGTTGCTGTGTAGGATCTAGGACGAAGATCCGCCCTTGCGACCGGCCTCGACGGCCTTCTCGCTACCCTTCTCGAAGGAACCGCCCGACGCCTGACCGCCCTGGGAGGCAATATCTCGCTGTGGAAAACCCGGTGTTAGCTGGATGATCCTCTTACTCCTCAAGTCGCAAGAAACATGCGGCCCATGTGACCACACCATACTCCGCGTTTGGGATGGACTGCTGATGGATTGAGAAAAGGAGACTTACCTGCTTGTCGGGATCCATGCTGGCGAAGCCGCCGCTGTGGCTGGCCTGGCCGCCCTTGGAGGCAATCTCCTGGACCTCTTCCTTGGGGCGGTTGGCGAAGTTTCCGGGGTTCTGGTTGTCGGCCATTTTGGATGTTTATTGACGATTTGCTTTTATTATTTCGTAGTAATCTTGTGAAGTTTGCTTGCGGTGATAGATGCAGAAGCTGCGCAACCTGGGGAAAAGGTGGCCCACTTTATAGAGTCGCTTCACCGGCCTGATGCTGCCTTGCTCAATCTTGACGTCATGACTTTGAGACCCTCTATGTCACTGGTACGCCTTGCACCTGTGTATGTTCATCATTCATCATTGAACTCGCTGGGGCTAGGCTGTCGAAGGGACCGGGGAAAGATTGGACCCGTCTCAACATCAGGGTCAGGCTGCGGAACGTTTTTCCGACCGTTCTCCTTGTTTTTGAGGATGGAACTTGCCGGGCGAGAGGGCCTTCACGGCCCCTTGTGAAATCAAGAGTGAGTTCTTGTGGTGCTGTCGAGGGACTTTTGACGTCAAGAGTCTCCAGATGTCGAAAATGGAAGAAAGATATTGGAAAAAGGGGGTGTGGGAAAGGCATCATCAACATGTCAGATCCGAGCTTTGTCTTCTCGCTTCTCATCCAGTCGGAAGATTCCCCATCTCAACTAGGGGCATTGCAGCCAATCACTTACGCGGTTACTTGGTACCCCTGACGCTTCGCAGCCTGGCGCAGGTACCGGGCTGTATGCAGGACGTCCCCCGCCGCCCTTGTTGGCTTGGCCTGTGGGACGAGACCACCGCTGGGCCATGTATCCCCAACGTATGAGAGGGAAATTGGGCAGTGCAATACCGGGGACTCAGACAAGGCGCCCAATTGTGTCTCAGAATCAAACTTGCATCTCAGCCGGAAAGACAATCCGGAAGATGTTTCTCGTGACGTCTCGTTGGCATTAGATGACACTGATTGGGACCCAATGCATCTGGACCCAGGTGGAAATAACACTTCCATCGGTTTCCTCGCTCCACGGTCTGGTGTCTGATCATATCGGTAGCGAGTCGAAGCAAGCTTGGAAGGTACCTACGTATCTCTACAGAGTAGGATACCTGGAGACTAGGGGACCCCGGGATGATCAACACCCTGTGACATCATTCCCACCTACAGTATCACCGGTACGTCAACGACTTCACCACCACTCGGACCTCACAACGAACGACCTCGACAAAAACGTCAGATCGTTTCGGCCAGAGGACGATGGTGACCACTCGGTCAAAGGGTAAAGCGGAAGGCGAAGAGATTGCAGCGGGCGATGGAGAGAAAACAGGTACCAAAAGATCCCGCGATGAGGCTCCCAGGGTGAAATCCAACGGCCCGAAGACAAAACAACAAAAGAAGGATCAAGGTGGGAAAGCGGACGAAGCTACCTCCAAGGACGTCGGCGACGACGGTGGGAAAGATCACAAAAAGTCAACCCCAAGGTCGAAGGGAGACCAAAAGAAGCACGCCCGGCCACATGGCCAGAAAATCGACAAGCTTCTCCAGCATTTCGGCAGCCTTCCTCTCTCCGATACCGACCTGGAACAGCCGAACAAGGCAACTCCCGAAACCATATTGGCACTGCTCTTGAATGCGATTTTATCTTCCACTCGAGTGTCGCATAGCATTGCGGCGAAAACCACTGCTCTTGTCATCAAGGCTGGGTATCACAAGCTTGATGTCTTGAAGAAAAGTACCTGGGAGGAGAGGACTGAGGTGCTCACGGAGGGAGGCTACACCCATTATCGGTAAGCAGTAGAGTCTGTTGCTCAATCTCCGCACTGATCATCAAACCTGATTTGAGTGATGGCGTAGGGAAAAGACAGCAACTTTTATGGGACAGCTGGCGGAGCTGATTGAGGAGAAATACGGTATGCTTGAGACATTCTGCGGTGCAGGTTGAACCTTTTTGGCCGCCTGGACTAATGCTCGAGCAGAGGGTGATCTCAACAATGTCTTGAAAACCGCATCCCAAGACCGAAGCAATATCCGAGCAGAGCTCCAGAAGATCAAGGGCATCGGAGATGTCGGGATCGACATCTTCTTCACCACTGCACAGCATGTGTGGACTTGTCTCGCTCCGTGGATCGACCCGAGGAGTCTGAAGACCGCCGAGCACATTGGCCTCGGCAACGATGTGCAGGCCCTGTGGGAGGAGGTAGACCACAAGCCCGAGTTGATGTGTCGGTTGGCATGCGCTCTGATGGACGTGAGGCTGGAAAAGAAGGAATCGGAGTGGGCGTGAGGCTGAAGGAAGAACAGTGGTCGGTATGAGGAGTGCGAATGCACTATATGTATCAGAAATATCTAACTCGAATACGGAGTATTTCAGGAGAAGTCATGTATATTGCCGGCCGCGCGGACATGACCATTTTTAACCTTCTTGCACCGTTGTCGTAGCGGCGCGCAAAGCCCCGACATGTGGCGGTGAGGTTCGCTTAGCGAGCGGGTCTGGCACGAAACCACGTATGAAACATTAAAGTACTCCTCGTACTTTACCTCTCAACGTTACGAGGCCGACCCAGCGACACAAGAAGACACGAAATCAATTGCTGGCGTTGTAAGGTTCGAAAGCCTCACAAAACAGAGTCCTGTCAGTTTCAGAGGGTCAAGCCAGCATTCCAGGAATCATGGCTGAGAAGACTTTCTACTACGAGCAGCGACGCCTGGAGAATGATCTCGTCGCACTCGTGCCATTTGAGGTATGTAACACCCCTCAACTTTGCGGGCTGGGAAGGGGAAAAAAGCGATGGCAAAGATCTATATGTCATAAGTGTAGAGCCTGACTCGGCTCGCAGCCCAGTGTCCATGTCGCGCCCTTTGTTGCGACACTCACTACGTGCCCGGAAATGCTCACATACATTCCCTTCCCAGTCATCAACAACGAGGAGGACTTTATGAGAGAGGTCTACGAGGGCATCCGCACATCGCCTGCAAACTGTCTGTTCGCAGTTATGGACAAGGTTGCTTCTTCTCCTCCTGGAGCAGGGGTGGAGACGGAGACGAGCGCAAAGTTCGCGGGCGTCATGTCCCTGACAGCCACGAACCCAGACAACGCCGTCACCGAGATCGGGGCCATGATCTTCCCGGCATTCCAACGCACCCACTTGGCCACGAATGCCATCGGCCTCCTCCTCTTCTGGACGCTCGATCCGCCCTCCGCCGGCGGTCTGGGGCTGCGGCGCGTCGTGTGGCAGACCCACACGGGGAACGCCGCGTCTCGAAGAACTGCCTTGCGGATAGGGTTCGAGTTCGAAGGCGTCGCGCGATGGGACCGCGTGTTTCCGCGCGGCATCGTCGCGCTCTCCGCAGAAGCTCTTAGAGTGAGAAACGGCACGCGCGAAGAACAGCCAGGGAGGCATACCGCTGTTTACTCGATCGTGTGGGACGAGTGGGAGGACAAGCGACCGCGGATCGCAGCACTGATGGAAAGGAAACAGTGAGGCTCTCAGCTCTCAAATCCCCCGAGGGCCTTCAACGAGCCCACAAATGGGCCCCAGAATGATGGTGACTTGGACCATCGCTGGGGGGTTACTACGATTCGAAGAGACTCTACTCTGTTTCCCGTGCAGAGATCGAAGGAGAGATAGAGCAGGCTCGAGCACAGTCCTGCAGTCCCTTATACGACCCGTTTGGTCATGAGTAAAGGCAGGAAAGTGATAGAAATAGCTAACCTAGATAGTGTGGCAGATTCGATGCTCCCCATTATCCCCCCCCCCCCAGGATCTTCCAAGATGTGTGAAAATCTCCTGCTTCGGTGTAAGGTTTACGCCGCCCCTGTTGCTCCACCGTGTCCAACCCCCTACTCGCGAGAGCCGGGTGAGACGGGCACCCCACAACTTGACGAATCCATCAATACTGCGGGTTGCCGAGTAGTTATTATAGCTCCAATAAGCCTAAAAGATCCAAAAAGCCATAGTATATCCGTTGGCGCTTATCATTAGGCGAATGTGATAAGCCAGGAACAATAAGGGACTCGGGGCCAGAAATGGGGGATCCGAATACAGTAAATGTAAAAGGACTGGCAAAATGGGGGATGCTGGGGGTTTGCTGAATTGTTGATTCATTTGGTGATTCCCTGTGACGCCTACTTGTTGAATACTGTGGTTTCACATTTGAGGAACACGAGGTCAAGCCGGACGACCATCCCCTCCCTCCCTCTTTTCCTCCCTAAACACCCGCCCCATACGAGGTACAGAACGATGGATGTTCGGAAAGCCCATCTCCAAATGCTCAATTTTGTTTTGGTGGTCGTCGGGCTCTTCTGGCAAGCTCCTGGGATATAGCTTGTTACCCGACTTGTCTTGGTCCCTGCGCCTCATACTGAAAGTGGTGTCCCCTGCGCCGGTGCTCCCTGAGTCGGTCTTCCCTGAGTCGGTGTCTCTTGAGTCGGTGTACCTTGCGTCAATCCTCCCTGCGCCGATGGTCGTTGAGCCCCCTTCTTTTGAGTCCCAGGTATGCTCGGGAAAGTAAATGTCGTGACTGACCCTTGCATCACGACAACTTTCATGGCGACTTTTCCACCCGCAGGCTTGGTGGATCGCGTTTGCTGAGGATTTCCGGATGGTGGGGGTGGTGCTGATGAACCTCCTGTGGTAGAGGGAGCCATCTTCCTCAACGTTGCAGGATTCGGTAATTGGGCTGGTCTCGTGCCTGCCATCGTCGTGATTCAAGCGACAGCGTGAATTTTATGCAGGTCGAGAGGAAGAGTTCGCAATGGAGGTAGAAAGTGTATGCACGCCAAATGAAATGGAGAGAAATACCCGCCCCGGAGTCCGCAGACTGGTGATGTAAGCTGGTTGGATAGATGTGATCAGACGGGCAAAATCAGTAGAAGTGAAGCTGGTAACAAGCCTTTTCAACTATATGCACTCTATCCATACACTCAAGTCTGGAGGTATGCAAAGGGCGTCTGTGGGAAACCCCTCAGTTAAAGGTCAGCTTACACAGAGACTCTGACCCGTTCCCACCCCGTCCTCCTTGTCTCGGTGGTGCAGTGTGGGTTCGATGCCTTCCAAAACAGTTCACCACGATACATGACAGGGTCACAGGGTATGCACATGTTCATAGATATATATGGAAGGCCCGGATCTTACCGACGGATCTTGGTCAGCTGCCGTTGTACTACGACCGCCATATTGAGGACATAGAGATGCTGCTTCGCCTTCTGTATAGCGTGGCAAGGAGTCTCCCGGATCGAGTCTTACCTTATCAAGCTAGTGTAATCTAAGGAGGTGATACTAATACACTAATCAATTCCACATCCAATTACATGATGTTGTTCCCCGCACTAAGAATCCACTACTAGCTGAAAGCGGTCAGTATACCACCCACTCAAGATAAGCGTAGGAATCGAATAGGAATCGATTCCTCCAGGTGGTGACATTGTTGTACGGATTCCTGGTAACGCTGCGCCCACACACCGTTTCGAGTACCCTTATTCCTATCTCTGTCTGACATCCGGCCTTAACTAGACTTCCTTGAACCGCAAACTCACCTCACGTAAAGCTATTCATAAGACAGAAGGCAAAAATCCCTCCTGGCTAAAAATCCTAATCGCTGACGGAAGGCTTGAGAGAGGAATGAACTGACAACGTTACACTATTGTCCTTTCAAAATTTGTTGTATCTGAGCCACTCGGCCGCGGGCTAGGCTTCGCTGAGATATCTGATATAAAACCGAAGGAGTCCATCAAAAACGACCAGGAATCTGAAAGCAAAACCATTCGCAAGCGAGTACCATCGATAGCTCGGACCCGCATTGAGAAGCCGAAAGCCACAGAATATGTCTCAACAACGATCTCCATCTGTTGCTTCGGATGCAGACGACGGTGGATCCGACATCCTCGATGCAGACGCGCCATTTGAAGACGAAGATGAACTTGGCGAACTCGATCCAGACCCCGTGATCCAAGAGCTCAATGAGGCCATGCAACTAATTGAGCAATCCGAGACCTGGCGCGACTTCGTGACATACCTGCAGCAAGCCTTCGAGATACAGACAAAAGCCCGAGGCCGTGTCAACAATGCCATCATGTTGGGAGGCGCTCCCGTGGCTCAGAGATCGAGCGCCCACCCTGAACACATGAGAGAACGGTCGGTGTGGCAGTTTGCTTTCTTCTACATGGTTTCGAGGCAGTTGGGTAAGTGACTTGACTCATCCCCTTTCCCCCTTACCAGGTAGATCTATGCTCCTCACTGTTCTCCGTCAGCTTGGAGTAAGATGCCCTTCTAACTCTATTCAGAACATTGGAGCGGGGCCGGTGATCTTCAGACCAGCGTCTCAGACCCACTATATCAAGCAGCAGACAAGCAAGTATTTGATCATTTTGGCGTACGGGTGATCCAAAGTACTCTGCCAGATCTTCGGGATACCTTTCTCTACATGCCATTCCTGAACCTCAATGTCAAGCACGAACAATTAAGGAAGATGCCTGGTATTGTGTTCACGGATGATGATGAGGCGGACCCGGATCCGGCGACGACGCAGTGGCAGCAGCAGTTGCCTGTAGAAGAGTATTTCAAGGCGAGTGGTTTACTAGCCGGATTTCAGAAGGGGGAGACGTTCTTGAATCATGTAGTCATGGTTTGATATGTATATCCATTGATCCTAGAGGGTTATTATGGGGTGATACAACTCAGGAGCGGGCCCATCATTTTTCTCTCCCAGTACATTCTAATTCTGTATCTCTGATTCTTGACCCTTTAGCTTGGTCCTTCCCATGAAGGGGCTGCATCCGTGCCCGTCAAGACCCAGGTCAAAGTAGGACCAAAGTTCACCAAAATGAATTTGATGGGAGTAGCGAGGTTCGTTTGGCCTCCCTCGATGTCAACAGTGACCCAGCATGCTGCCCCTTCTTGAAACCCCATTTTAGCGAGGTCATCAAAGCTCCACGCGACGCTGCTCCCTGCAATGAGGGAAACGGATGGAGATTCAACCTGAATGGACACGACCCGCACCCTGCATCCGAATGCTGATTCATCGACAATCCGCAGTCCGTTGGATGTAGGAGGGCTGGACATTTTTGTACTGAGCTTTCGAGATTTTCAAGTAGGTATCAATATTGTTGCGTAGTTCCTGTCAATCAAATCAGATCGTATGACGTAGGATTGATTTTGTATCAGGAGGATGAGATTATCTGGCTTTAAGGGAAAAGGTAATAACTCACAGAAATGATCAATGTTAATTGAAGAAAGTACGGAGCTTATAAAGACTTCAAAAATCCTTTGTATCAACCGCTGAAGAGAGAGATCTCTTTCTAAATATTCCTAGAATGTGTTCCAGCTTTGACAGCTTAGGCCTCGTGTATGGCTTTTTCCAAAAAAGAGCATCGGAACTGTGCAGTGACGTCTCATGTAATATTGATAACTCGCCTTCAATATCGCATTAACCAATGACAGATCAACTAATTGTCACACTCTATATATCTGCTGCACTCAACAGCGTCCATCGGCTTCGTTAGCAAATACCGTGGCATGTCCACGTCTGTGGTCTTCAGTGACATTCTAAAAATATTGGACTAGTTTCCTCGCGTGACGCTGTTTGCCAAAGCAGTAAAGCTAAGAGGTAGCTTCAGCTGAGTTCACGCAACGCGAAAGTTCTTCGGTCGCGATGCGTGAAGGTCTCAGGGAACTTTTGCGGCTGAGGCCTAGACCACCTCAGATGTCCGTGCTTGTGGCCATCAGCTGAAGCATCACGACTGGCAGCATATGTGAGTGACTAAAAAAGATGTGTCTGCGCTATGGCTGGCCGCATGAGAACTCTGAAATAGTTCATAACAGGGAAGTGATTATGCAGCCGGACCCTTCGAGGAACACTACCGTTTCAATATTTTCGAGACCCTTTGTCAATGATCGTCATGTTCACTAATGATGGAGTGTTCCGTGAGTATCAGCGCACCTCACGGGGTGTTTGAGCACACTTGCTGACAATAGTTCCTCTCTTTTTGACTCGAAAGGCCCAGGGTCATCGGACGCCGAATTTTATCCTTCCCACTGGGGCGGTCTCGGGAAAATCAAACAGTTGCCTCTTTTGGCACCGACATGCTCTCGGAGTCTCGACTTGCTGCAGAATACGAGGTTCAATACGAGGCAGGTAAAGCTTGGCGTGAGCTTGATCCAATGAGTTGACATTGCTAGCGACGTCATGTGTAAGAAAGCGCTTGCGCATTCTCAGCTCAAGAAAACAATACGAATCAGATGCGACACTGGGAGGACGTGGCTGGCTGGTAAATCCCTTCGTTTCCACAATGAAGGTGGAACTGATTGGCTTTCAACGGAGGAACCCCGGACATTAGGACGATGGTAATCAGCTTCAATCACGACGCGGGGTGAGCTGAATGGAGGCGACGTCGACTTCAACCTTGCTTCGAGGTTCGTGTCTTCACTGACACGCATGAGAACGTTAGACTAGCAAAAAGTTATTGGGTTAAATATGTGCGATTCTCCTGAAACTACTTCAGCCGCACCACTTCAGCTCCGAGGCCGCCATCGAGATTCGTGTCCTTCAAGCTTCACCACATGAAGTGAAACCGGCAGTATATATAAAGGGCCAATGCATCCCGAGGAAGAGAGAACATCTTGCTCATCAGCAGAAGCGTACTCCTTTACTGAAAAATCTTGAACACCCCAATTGAACTGTCGTCGATCGTTTCCAATTTGTAAGAAGGTCTTGTCTTTTGAAGCTGCACTGTTGCCATCCACTAACATAAAAACAGACAGACCTCTGCCGCTCAGTGATCAACATGTCTGGGGGACCCAACTCTGGCGGAATTTCAATCGATATGTGGTCTGCCGAGTCCGGCACATTCCGCGTCAAGACCCGCAACATACAGACTGACTCGAGTAATACGATAAATGCTGGCGGAAGCACATACTGGAGCTACGACGACCTGATCAACGTCGGCTTCAAAGAAGGCGACTCATGCTGGGTGTCAGTCGATATCGATGGTGGGGAAACCAACCACGAATCCGGGAACAATTTCACTCTTGCCCAAAATTGGCCCATTTTGACCTATGGTCTAAGGGGTGGCCTCTGGAATCCGTCGTGGGACGGGCCACAGTGAGGGAGCTGCAGAAACGGCAGAGCCCCATCATCAGGCAATGACTGGATCAGTCCAGGGACGTTCTCCAAGTAGCAGCCACGAACAGTGAATGAACAAACGCTCTTTGGCCAAGATTAAGAGTCTCCTTGATGGTCTCCTGCCTTAGATCGAAGACACTGTCTCAGAAGTAATGCTGCGTCTAGACGTTGCGGTCAAGGAAATCTTGAGATGTCGACGCCATCTTTCCTGATCATGAGTGATCCCGAGCATTATCGGAGGCTCGAAGTTTAGACAGCACCGGCCGACCCACCACGTCTGCAGATTGGATCGATCGTTTCTGTCGCGCCTCCCTCCATATTCGTGAAGGAGGACAGCATGTTGAAATACTATGCCAATGATCTCTTCCACTAATTGCCCGGCTCGTGTAATACCTTCGCTTCACCATTTCCGCTACCTCGCAGATGCGGTCGGGCAAGCTGAACGTTAACCTGCCTGGAAGTTGTATGAGGTCAGAATTTCACTCTGTGACCGTTCGCTAGCAAGAAGAGGACTTACCTTGTGAGTCTTTTGTCCACGTCTGCGACAAACAGCGCGCCAATAATTGCAAGCCCTAGCACAGGAGTTAGAGTTCTTCTTGGGAGGACCGATAAAGCATGCTCACCTCCAAAGGCCACGGTGACACAGTAGACCAACTTGAATGCGTCGCTGTAGACACTCTTCTGGGCTCCCAATGCTGCTGCGACAATTCTCGGAGTGACTCCTGGCACACCTTCAAAGTTTCCCAGTGGTAGAGCCTCTGTCAGATGTGAGCAGTCGCTGAAAAACAAGATAGCACAACATCAAACTCACGAAGAAATGATGCCAGGGAAGCAGCAGGCAACCCAGCCTGGATCAGCGCTCTGCCGATGTCTCTTGCCCATCTGCTGTTCACCCGGTTTGCAAGCAAGCTTGAATAGATGGCTACGCCAATCGCGCCCCCAGTGGATCGCGTGGAGTTGACCAGGCCGGTGGCGAGTCCAATGTCCTCATCGCGTGCCCCAAGCTGCACAATTAGTATACTCATGCAATTGGTAGCGCCAATCATGGCAGAAGCGAAAGCAACCAACACAATCGCGCGAGCCGGAGTGTGCTCGTTGCTCGTTGCGTTCAAGCCCAGGAACACTGTCATCATCACGACGACAAATATATACTGATACCTGGTCTTCGGGATTGTCGAGAAGGTCTGGCCGGCCAGGATGAGACCCGCTTTGAACTAGAGTATTAGCCACGCTCTTGCAGACACTGCGACCGACGCTTTCTTACCAGTTGAGGCGGCATTGGTAGCCATGCCATACCAACCTACAGCTCTTGGGACTGTAGTCAATAAGCGTTGTACTTGCTGTGGCCACAAGATACCCGTGCTGATTAAGGCCATGCCACCGGCAAAGCTCACTCCTAGCGGGACGACGACGGCTCTCACATCTTGCAACAATCGAGGTGGACACAGCTTTGCAATGCTGTCAGGACTGTAAACCTCCCAGAGAGGAAAGGCTACGAAGACGGAGATGCCACCGATGATGGTCGGAGCCAGGACGACGGCATTGGTCCACGGATATGGATTGCCTCCAAACCCGACGCCGACGAGGAACACGGTCAAACCGCCGCCAAAGAGGAGCAAGCCGACGAAATCTAGCTCGAGGAACTGTTGGCGTCGCGTCTTGCCGTCTGGATGTAGCCCGAGAAAATCGGGTGGCCAGTAGAAGACTGATATGAGAAGGAGAGCCACGACGTTGACGATCAGAGACACGTAGTAAGCCCACCTCCACGAGCTTTGGGAGACGAGCTGATAAGCTGTGAGAGAAGACGTGTCAGTCGTCGAGCGATATAGAACCTGGCCTATATTCGAACATTGCTTACCTATCGGAGCTCCAAAGGATGATCCTGGTATCGACACAATACTCATAAAAGCCAAAGTCTGCCCACGATTCTTCTTCGGTACGATCTCATTTGCCGCTGCAAATGCGAGTTGTTGAAGCCCTGCCGAAAGGCCCTCAAGGGAATATCAGCCAAGGCATGACCATAAAGGTCACCTCAAGCTTACCAGGAATGAGCTTCCGAGTATGATCAATGATGTGTTTGTTGCCCTGTGTTGGTCAGTTGATTGTATCAGTGAGAACTTGGCTTTGTTTTTCCCGGGGAGACAAACCTGCAAGCAATTGCGCAACCAGTGGCACCCAAGAGGTTCCCTATAAGGAAGAAATTCCTGCGTCCAAAGATGTCGCTACATCTACCGGCGATTGTCATCACGACCGCGCTGGCAAGTGCCCATGAGGTAGCTGCCCATGTGAAGTTGGTCGACGGCCCGACATCCTCGTTGATGGTGAGGAGAATTGCAGAAGGCAGAGCGAACGAGAACAGGCACGCTTCATAGGTAACAGCGAGAGCCTAAATCTGATTCAGCCAAACAATGGTCGAAACTGTGGGGAGTACTACCAGTAAGCCCAGAATTGTTCGTAAGTCGATCGACCGAGACTCATAGTCCTGGATGCTGTTGTAAGGACCATCATTAACTTGACAAACGACCTCAATCTTCTCCTCATGCGTCAGTGAGATATCTGGCTGCGCAGCTGTCTGCTTCGTTGTAACGGCCATAATGAGGTGTCTGTCACATGGGACATAGCATAGAGGGTACGCGCAGAAGGGCAAGAACTTCCTTTTATAAAAATGTCCTGCCCTGTGCGTAGCCCCGGGATCCGAACCTCGTAAACCACAAAATACCCCATGGGGAAGGGAGAAGTCTCAGGAGCTCAACCCATGACTAATGCACCTGTATTTCCTCGGTGAAGCAAGAGCACATTGAGACTGCCTGGGCGAAGGCCTTCGGCTTTGAACGCCAGAATCGTATGCACTCAAGTCTCGGACTGATCGGTCAAAAGCAGATCAGGCTACCGATACCGAAACTTTGTAAGGGAAGTTCATGGTCCACAAACTTCGGACTTGCCTATCTCGGACCTGCTGCCGAGAGCGTCGTTCTCACCCTTTATGCCCATGTAGAGCGCAATACTTCTTCTGTTTTCACAAGGATTCAGATAGGCCAGGATGCCTTGTCAAAAAAAGCCCCGTAGCCGCACCCGCTGGGCATAAATCTGAGGAATGATCCTCAGCGCTTCTCGTCCCATATCCCCTCCCACCGATATCTGAGCGATGGCCTCGAAACCTGTCATCCTCCTGATTCCCGGATCTTTCACCATTTCAGCCATGTATTTCCCTCTTCAGGACATCCTGGTCGAAAGGGGGTACGAAGTGTACGTGAACAACCTACCGTCGGCGAGTCGGAATGGTCCAGAAGCTCCGGCAAGTTTGAGTGACGATGCAAAATTTTTCAGCAACATCATCGGAATGATCGCGGACCAGGGAAAGGATATTGTTGTCCTTGGTCATTCATACGGTGGCCTAGTTGCCTCTGAATCTGCCAAAGGCCATAACAAGGCGGAGCGGTGCGTCAGAGGTCTGAATGGCGGTATCATCAGGATAATCTTCCTAGCTGCCATTGTCCTGCAAGAAGGACAATCATTACTAGGCCATCAAGGGCAACTTCCGCCATCGATCATAAAGACAGATGAGGTTTGAGCCAGTGCTTCTATCGCTGAATCTCAGGAAGCTAAGTCTCGCAGTACGGATTCATGAGACTTGTCGATCCCGCCTTGTCCGGCTCCCGCATGTATGATGTTTGGCCAGAAGAACGCGCGATTGCCTGGGCAAGAGCTGCGCCAAAGCAATCCGCTCTCAGCTTTGCTAGTCCGGTTACTTATACGGCTTTCAAGGATATACCTTCTTCATACATCTTTTGCGAGAAAGACCAGATTGTGCCTCCAGCTTGGCAAGAACAATACATCGAAAACATTGAGATTGTGGCTGGCAGGGCGGTGGATCTACATAAGCTGGACTCGAATCATGTGCCGAACCTGACTTCGACTGAGACTCTAGCGGAGCTCCTTCTGAAGATAGTCGCAGCTTCATAGTTGCTACATTAGCAATGCAGAACGCGAAAGCGCCGATCAATATGCTCTGATGTGCGCCGGTTGTAGTTTTCATGGCTCAAGTCTCCGTACTTCCGACAGAATGCCAGTCCCTCTTTGCCCAGTCAATGTTGTTGGCATCAAATGGCGCCGACAGTAGCAACTCGGAAATAGCGTCAAGATTTGATGATCGAATGTAGGGTATATTGAAGTCCTCCTCGCTCCCCAACGAGCTTCCAAACATATCCATGGGATGATATCTGGCGTCACTTTGCAACCTCACATAGGGGCTTTGTGCAACAAGTGGATCGGTAGTGCTGTGCACGTCTGTCTGTGCCATGGTGATGGCGTTCGGTTCCCCGCCCGTGCTCACCATTGGATGTTCATCATCATCAGACCCACGAGGATTAGCTCGAACCTCCCACTCGAAAGTCCGATAAGGGAGTTTGCCGCTCCTGACACGCTCAATGAAACCGATTGCACAATCCGCGGAATTGTACTTTGGGCTTAATGCTGCGAATGCTTGGAGAGTTTGCCTGAGGTACAGGTCTCCAGTGCCTCGAAGCTCTGCTTCAGTGGATAGAGCATCTTTCAGGTGTTGAATAGATGCCACGATAAGGGCTCCCACGGCCAGCGGTGGCATAACTTGTAGGAGGTGGCTCTCTTCCAATTGTCTCGCTATCTCCGAGATTCGACGTGCGGCAGATCGAAGAGTCTGCCGGGAGAAGCTTTGCAATGCTTCAGCAGCAGAGCCTTTAGGTTGATCGAGGAGGAGCAGCGGTCGATGGACGGTGCAAAGCGCAGTCAGATACAATAATTCAAGGGTTGCAGAATGCAAGCCTAGCAGGCTTCCGTTCTGGCCATGATCTTGGCCCAAGGCTGCCGCTTTGATAGAAGCCGTCTCTGTGTACCATGTGTGAAGCTCTTGGTCCCGAGCAGCCGCCTCGGTGCTGAGCACTTTCGTTTTTGGTATCAAGACCATGAAGGGGTCGCTTGAATACACAAGCCTTATGCCACTCAATTCATATTGAGAATCAAGGATACGTCCAATGATGAGGCATAATTTGACCTTTTGGGCGCATAGTCGACCCAGGCTCCTCGTTTCGATCCCGTGCTCAGGCAGATAGTATTTGTCCAATGCCTGATCAAAAGCCGCATCCTCGAAGTCAGCTGTGTCAACGCCATCAAGGTTCTCGCTGTGGCAACAGTGAGCATTTTGCCGCCGTTCCGTTATGGATAGAAGCTTGTCCCTCATTAGGCAGCAATACCACAACTTTCGCCGCATTCGCTGCCGGACTGACCGGTCTGGAAACTGATGCTGCCTGTCCAAGCCAATATCAGTAGCCAAAGAAAAGGCGGTTCGTAGCCAGTAGAATCGACCCTTCGTATCATTCTGCTGACCATACCAATATGTCATGAGAAGCAGTATCTGTATCATCGTCGTAGGGTTTGACTCGACATCCATTTCGTACAGGAGCTTTACCCGGTCGAAGAAGACTTTCCGGGCGTCATTATAACTTCGAAACCCTTCTTGTTGCAAATGAGACAGGTTTGTAAAGGCGACTCCTGCAAACATTACAGCTTGAAACAACACCAGACTGATCCTGTCGTCGTTTGTGCCGTTCACTGCACCAAGGAAATTGGCCAAATCCAATACTGGTAGTAAAGGATATACGTGACAGACAAATACTCTCAGTAATTCGTCAGTCATCGTTCTGCTGGGGACTCTAAGTGCTCCCCGGCGCATTAGTAGCTGCAGTACATCATGGTCAAGCTCCGCAGGGAGACGTGCGATGTAGCTCGGAAGCCCCAATTGATCTGGTACCAGAGACGTATTTGCTATTTCGCCATCATTGCAGCATTCTGCCGTGGTAGCATTGTCAAAAAGACACGGCAAAGGGGGTTGTCCACCGGCGGTCGTTTCAATAGAGACACTTCTATCCCTATTTCTGTTGTATTCCAAAGATTCGCCAATCTTGAATGTATAAATATTGGCCTGGGGAAGATTCATCTTGCCGGGACGCTGCATCGGCCTTTCTTTTCCTCGGTCGTCGACGGAGCAGACAACGGAGGTTCTCGAGCAATTCGAACATGGAGTGCCTTTCCTCGAGACATCGCATCGTACTTTGCGGTTGTGGCAAGTTATGCACGCTCTAGGCGCCCTTCTTCTCAGCATAGCAACTGCGATTCTGTGAAGCCGGAGGACTGGGCCTTTGAATGGACAGTCTGTGTCGACCTCGGCCGGAAGTTCACAAGAACGTCGAACTCTTAGCCAAATAGAGTCACGTTTGCCGAGCTGTGTGGCCTCCGCCTCTTCTGGACTCAGCCGAACTACATGGCAAGCGCTGGAGCATTGTGGCCGCTAAACACCTCGCTCAATACTCCCGTTTTCGTCAAGGTTCAGGCTGCGGCATCTTGGTCCAGAAAGAAGCCCTGCGAGCGCGTCAAGTATAGCCGAGCGGCGGGCCGGATTGGGGCATTGGAGAACCTTGGGGCTCAGTTGTGGGAACCTTGGACTTTGGAGAGGTCAACGATCACCGCTGGGTATGTGAAAACAGTAGGGAGTAGGAAGACTGTAGCGCGGTAGAGTAGAGAGTGTTGATGAAAGCGACACGCTCGGGGGCGGAGTCGCTGGTGAGCTCCGAGCTGTTTTTTACTATTTGGTTGCCAAGACAGGCACCCACAGGCGCCACTTCCATTTCCGCTTCCGCCTATATCGATGCTTTTGAAGGGTTTGCTTCGTCGTTCCAGGGGTTCAATGTACTAGAGTCCAGGGAATCAAAATAACCAAACATCTTCAGATGCAGCGCCATGTCTTTCTCATTCGGCTTTAGCGGCGACGATATCGAGGGCGAGGGAGATGCCACAGAGCATGAGGCTCTCACTAGCCAAATCTCCCAGTATACGTTATCCGACTCTGTCAAGTCCCCAGCACATATTGCTGTCCAACCAGAGAGACATTCGCTGGGAGAATTGGTGAGTTCCGTCTCTCTCGCTTGCGAGGTATAAGCCTGCGTTGAAAAACCAGTCTCTGCGTTTCCGTAAACAAACCAAGCCAGTCTCATAACCATTGCCCTTTTTCCCAGCTAGCGTCACTGCCATCCCAGATATCATACAGCAAGCTGCATATACCCAGTCCCGAAGACCATGGCCTCACCAACAACCAATCCAACAACAACAACAATAATAATGGAGTCCAGACCACGCTCTACCGTCGCTCGGTGTTTGACATCCGCGCTCAACTCATGGCCGAGGCGAACCCGTCCGCCGCCGAAGAAGAGGATACCGCCAAAACGCTCCTCTCGGGCCTAGAAAGTGGTGACCTCGCCTCAGGCGTCTATGAAGGAGGTTTCAAGACGTGGGAATGTGCGCTTGACCTGGCCTCCCTCGTCGCCTCCGAATCAGATTTCGTCCTTCATCACCGGAATCATCCTGGTCAGGAGGAGGAGGATTGGGAGGTTGTCGAGCTCGGCGCGGGCAGCGCTGTGCCGACTCTGGCGCTCATTACAAAGTTCCTAGAGCGGAGGAAAGGGCAATCACCACAAAGTGGGAGTCTCAAAGTGACGTTATGCGACTACAATGTGGACGTTCTACGACTGGCCACGGCGCCCAACGTGCTCCTGAATTACCTGTTCGCTTCGGCGAAAGTGTCCCCGTCCCTCGATGATGAGGGTAGCTGGGACGGAGGAGATCTCGACCTGGAAGAACTAGGAGGCGACTCCTTTGTGAACAGCACCCTCCAGGACATCGCTTCCAAGAACATATCATTCGATTTCATATCGGGAGGATGGGGCCCAGAATTCCTCGACCTCATCAATCGACCGCCGTCACCGTCAGCGCGCGACTCACAAGAAACGGACCAGAACCGCCGACCACCCACGAACCTACTCATCCTCGCCTCCGAAACAATCTACTCGCCCTCGTCTCTCAAATCATTTTCAGAAACCGTCCTCAGCCTTCTCCTCCGGACTTCTTCCCATTCCCATAGATCTGGAACCGGCACCGGGAAGGGAGAGGCCATTCCGGAGCCCAAGGCCTGGGTCGCCGCAAAAAGAGTCTACTTCGGCGTTGGGGGCGGTGTGGATGAGTTCGTCAGGGAAATGGACAGGCTCGGCGCGACGAGTCGCGTGGTTATGGACATCAAGGACGCTGGGGTCGGGAGGGTCGTGTTGGAGGTCACGCTCTCGGCGCCTGCTTCGGAGGATATTACTGCTTCTACATAACATCCCGTAGGAGACGGAAAGGAGAAAGGGTTGGAATTATGTAGGAAAGAAGGAAGGGCGATCGAAGGGCGAGAGATTGGACAGCGAATAATAACACATGAGCATAAAAGGCAAAAGGAATGGTTTTCCCTAGTTATTGCTATGGGAATTGGGCCTTGCGCCTCCGTCTTGATTTGCGCCGGTAATACAACTATGTGGCCTTATCAATTTGGATGCAAAGGACTTAACTCAGTGCCCGGAGACCTAAATTACACGTACCTAACTTTTTAGGCAAGAATGAACACACCGCCACTTATCTCCACGTCCTCATTCTTCCCTAGCTGCCTCGGACAATGCTTTGTCCAACCTCTCCTGACTCTCACTGCTGGCGATTGCGCATACTCGGAGGCACGTACCTTCCAGGCGCTCCTCCCGATGCGGGCTTTCGCGGCGCTGTTTCATCACCGCTGCCCTGTGCTGGAGAACCGGAGCCTTCTCTTGACAAGCTGCGCCCTCCATCTCTCATGTGAGCCGGCACATAACGTCCACTCGGCGCACCGTTAGCGGGCGAAGCGGACTCATGGCGCGGAGGTGGATGATGATCGCGAGCAGGCGGGTGGTGATAGTCACGAGCAGGTGGATGATCCGCTCCAGATCGAGCAGACCCGCTTTCACGAAGATGAGGTGGAACATACCCGCCTGGGCGGCGGGCTGGCGGCTCTCGGGCTGGTGGCTCTTGGACTGAAGGCGCAGCCTGAGATGGGGCCGGAGCCTCAGCAGGGACTGGTCCCTGTCCAGCAGCTTCCTTTGCGGCTTGTCGTTCGCGCCAGCCACCGCCCGCTTTTCCAGCCAGTTGAAGACGAGGTGCAATTCGCGGGCCTTCCTGAGAATCGGTACGGGCTTCCATAGGAGGCGCTTCTCTTGGTCCGCCGCGAGAGAACGGCGCGGGCGCTGGTGCTTGATGTTCCGCTTTTCGAGCCGCTCTCCTCGCTGCGGCTTCTTCCTCGCGTTGCATCTGTTTCCTCGCAGCCTCTTCGCGTTCGAGTCGAGCTGCCTCGGCCTGCGCTCGTCGCTCGGCGGCAACCCGTTTCTTTTCTTCCTCGGCTTTCGCCTTCTCCTCTTCCTCGCGCTGTCTACGCTCTTCTTCTTCGCGGATACGACGCTCTTCGGCTTCTTGCGCTGCACGCTGTCTGGCCTTCTCCTCGTGATAAGCCTTGATCCGCTTGCGCTTCTCCTCCTCGAATTCGCGCTCGGCTTTCTTGCGAAGCCTCTCAAACTCGGCACCACGACGCTCTGTGATCTGGCCCTTGAAACCGTCATACTCCTTGACGAGTCTGCTGAGACGATGCTTTAGAGCTAGGCCTTCCTTATGCTTTTCTTGTGCTTCCTTCAACATGAGCTGTTTGTTTTGCTCGTAGATCTTCAAGTCTTCCTCGCGCTGCTTCTCGTAATCCTGTTGTTGGTACTTGAGCTCCTCCCGGCGGAATGCACGCTCCAGGTGATCAAGACGCTTGGCCGTGATGCGGATGCGTTCGTCCTTTTCTTTCTTGTCCTTCTCAAGTTGTGACAACTTGAGGTAACGAATTTGGTTGGAGTCAAGTTCGTCAATGTTCACATCTTGAAGATCGATCTTCATGCCACTTTGAAGTTCAGCTAGTTGTTTCTCTATCTCCTGGCGTCGAATGCGGGCCTGTTCATCCTTCACGCGCTTGAGCTCACGAGCCCTTGTCTCATCGCGCAGACGTTGAGACTCAGCCTCTGCCTGTTGTTGCGCACGAATGCGGCGGCGAGTTTCTTCCTCTCTCTGTCGCTTTTGGAAAGCCTCGGAAGCCGCTTCCTTTTTCTTCTCGATGACAACACGCCTCTCGAGGGTTTCCTGGTGCTCCTGTTCAGCACCGGCCTCAGCGCGAGCGAGAGCGGTTTCTCTGGCTGCAAGTCGAGCCTGATTGTACGATGGGTCGACATACATGCATGTCACATGAAGAGTCTTTGCCAATCTTGTCAGCTGCGATCGAGCTATCTCGGCTGGAGTATTCTGAAGTCTTTGGACTGAACCGACTTCGCTCTCTGCCGATCCTGCGGCGCTGCCCGGATGGAGAGCCTTAGCAGAGGAGAAGACGTCGGAGTCGAAGGCCAAGATACCAGAAATGTGGTCAAGTCTGATTGATAGATCGCCTTTTTTGCAGCCGTTCATGATGAACTTCTCAATCATGGCAGGAGTCACCTCAAATGGCGCAGGGAATTGAGCGAGCCGGGTCACAAAGCTTAACTCCACGGATTCGTAGACTTGTGAGAGTTGTTGAAAGAGACGGGTGAGAATGACTTGCTGTAGGGGAAGAACATATTTCTCCATTTCGGGGTCAGCACCAATTTGTGCCAGAATGGGCGAAATCTTCTTGCAAATCGAGAGAGGATGGAAATCGACTTCGAGGATATTGTAGAGATCTCGAATCTCTGGTCGAACACGCTTGAGCAAGCCCTTGCTGAGTGCGTCCTTGAAGAGTCCTGCCCTTGTGGGCGCAAATGGCATGCTGAGAAGGTTGGTCAAGCGATTGTTCTTGTTCTTCCGCGCCTCATCGACATCAACCAGCGCACCTCGTGAACGAGACGTGCTGATGACAGGAATTGCTAGCGCAGAAAGCAATACAAAAGAGGCGGCTTTGGTCAAAGAATCCTCGGTAACAGTTGGGTTGTCGCGTTTTGGAAACTGACCAGATGCGACGGCAGCCGCGGACTGTCGCAGCAAGTTGTAGTACTTGTTCCAAGCAGCTGCATGGAACAAAAAGTTGTCGCTGACGAGGAAGATCTTCGTGAGTTTCTCGTAGTAGTTGGCCATCATAACGTTCTTCGCTGGCCTCTTGGAGAGCGTAAGAAGCATGTGGATATCTTCGACACTACGGAAAGCCTCCTGCCACAATTCAAGCTCATCTGCCACATTCAACTGCCGAAAACGTGTTTCGAGGTGACGCTGCAAGGTGTCGGGCTCGTTGAGATTGATAGCGTGCATCTGGGAGGAGTACTTGGCAGCATTCTGCACATGGTTTCGCAGCAGTTCACACAACCGACGAAACTCAGTCTTTCGCGTGTACTTGAGACAGAAATCGAATGCTTGATGAGCAGTACTCTGATACATGACCTCCAGCCGAGCGTTGTTCTTCAGAATTTCCAGGACCGTGCGGTACGTCTCCCAGAGAAACTTGAGCCATGGTGTGACAATCGCTCGATCCGTTCGGTCTTTGGATTGTTCACCAGAGACAGTGGCAAGCAGGATAGTCTCGGGGGTTTCGGTAGCCTCAAGATCTTCGACATTCAGGGCTGTGGCACTCGCCGCTGTTTCAAGCGACGATTGAACCTGGTCGGCCTTGGCTTGAGCCTCCTGGACCTTTTGTTCGGCGAGCTCAATGAATTTTTTCAAGACCAACTGCGACCAGTCAGCACACGTATTAGACAACAGAAAGCGCCGTGTTTCCAAAACTTCATACCTCGATCGTTCCCACGTTCGTATTTTGCGCGATGTTCTTGTACTGGTAGAGTCCATCTTTTGCGGATTTGCCTTTTCTTAGATCGACACACAATTCAACAAAGAGGAGCATAACCGGCTCCAGGGAGGAGATGGGGCTATTCCGGGAACGCTTGGAGGTAACATGCTCATGGAGGACATTGAGAGCCGCTTGGGTTTGATCGACGGCGATGAGCTCTTGCGCTCGCTGCAGGTTTTCTGTCAGTGATTGTGCGCGACAGGATGGAATTGAAGGGATTTTCGCCTTACTCTGAGCACATTCTCAGGCCTGATATGGGGTGGTGGAGGCATGTTGATGGTCGTCTGATGGAGTCACAAGAGAGATATGAAGAGATGATCAAATGAATGATATCTCTCAAGACTCTACCCAGATGGCCGATGAGTCTGTCCTAGAGATGAACTTGTGACTGTGACTGACTGATTGCCTACGGGCGCCTTTGGTGACGATGTCAAAAGTGGCCGAAATCACACTGCCCTGTGTTGTGCAGACTTGGCGCGGATTCTGCCGGACCAATATTTTTCCGCGACTATAAAAGTGCCTTTCAATGCGCCACCGTACTCTTCTATCACGTGAACTCACACAAACTCACACTTCGCAAACTGATCGTTTGAACCACCGAAACCATTGCGCTTGCCCTAAAACAAGATGGCGTCTCCTATTCCAGAAGGTAGTAATTGAGTTCCCCCTGCTAATCAATCCCTATTAATTCCACCTACTCGCAGGGATCAAGAGACTTGTCCGTTACAGCTCCCATCCTGCCCAAGTTCGCCTTGATCGCGCCTTTTATTATCACCATCGCCAACGCAAGGAGATCCGGGCCATCGACAACTTGCAAGCTCAGTGGGCTGAACACTTCGACGCCGAAGAAGCAAAGGAGAAGGCGGGAAAGCAGGAAGCCCCACGCCCACCACTTCGTCGAGTCACTCGACGTCTCACTGTCAAGAACGAGAACACGGCCGCGCTCCTCGCCAAATACCTTGCCTTTGTCAACGACAACCCTTCTGATCTCCCTGCCGTTGCCGACGATAATTACTCTGACAGTCCTGCCACCGCCAACGACGACTGCCCTCACCAGCCCGCCCTCGTCAACAACGACTGTACTGATCGCTTCAGCTCCTCTGACCGCTCCTGCTATTCTGAGTATTCTGACCGCCCTGCCCTTGACAGCGAGTTCGGAGTCGCCTGCGTCCTCGACTACCACGCCTTTCTCTTCGAGCGCTACGAACTCTTTTCTTGCAAGAACCCAACATGCCAGCTGCATATGCGGTGCGGGATGGGGGCGATGCCAAGTCCAAGAAACAAAGCATGGCAGATCTTAAACTTAGGCGGCTTCAAGAACTGAACTCGCGTCTCAAGGAAGATCTCGAAAGACCTCGTGTCAAAGTGGCTGAGGCATCCATGAGGTACGTTGCACAATATTCTGCGTGGTCCGATCAACGCGCTCTGTCCACTAACCATCTCTGCCGCGTAGCCTGATCAACTACTGCAACCAAACACGAGACTACATGGTACCTTCAGTCTGGGGGCAGGTGGACAGGAAAGAAGATCCATACAACCCACAAAGTGGAGGCAGTGAAGGTTGTTGCATCGTCATGTAATCGAGTTCTGTTGAAGCTGTTCGGATCGGGGCACAAAAGGACACAATGGAGCACGCAAAGAGGCGTGTGCGGTACGATATTGCTCGAGTTCAAAAAGCATCCGGCGCAAAGAGGCGTTCACACAATTGTCAGAGTCACGCAACAATGGCAACAGGTTTTCATGTCAACCATGAATGGGAGAGGCAGCACGGGGTAATGTACGTTGCGCTGCGGCTTGTACGTGGTTACAGATTCAGCTTCGCTTCATCCTGTCGAGATTTCGACAATGATTTCTCTTGTGAGGATTGTGTAGGAGGCTACCTGATTGCAATTCAATCCAATTGACTTCCATAGCCACGCTTTTACTGTGTACACGTCTCTTCTGGCACCACGACTCCCGAATTACACAGGTAGGCATGAGCCCGATTCCTGCCTTTGAATCTACCATGGTCAATCAGTGCCTAGATCGCTTTCCAATGCCCTTTTACACGACACTGCGGATAACAATGGCCTCCTTTAACACGGCTCAATCACGTCTACCTAGGTAATGGGCAATAATGCGCGGCCATCCAATTCCACTTTGTGCGGACATGATTGGGGAATTTCCCGGTCTGCCCTGGGATCCCTTGCACCCTAGCAGACTAGCAGCAGGGCACACCGCCGCGCCCAAACAAAGTGCCGCAGTGATAAACCCTTACCTCGGAGTTGCAAGCGACCTTCCCTTTTCTTCTTCGCTTAGGGACCAAGGCCCGATAACGTGTCTACCGGTAAGAGCCACAACAAGACGGATGTCCCGCAATTTCTGAACCCGGGGCTGCAACCGAGCTTCTGGGCACTGGGAGCGTATCGGGTGAAGGGGCGAGGAGAGTTCCGGTTGGGCCTGAACAAGCAAACATTTGGGGCATTGACGGCCTCTGAAATTGTATGGCAGCCCCTGATCGTATGAGAACGACGGAGCAGTTCGGTACTCTGTCAACAGTTCCTGGGGGATTTCCCCCCATAATCCGGGGTGTACGCTACTTCTACGAGGCACAGTCACCCAACAGTACCTAGGTAGGAGTGGTAGATACCTAGTAGGTAGGCGGTGATAGTCATTATTCTACGTACTCGGTACAGTAACTGTCGTCAGTGTCAGCTCCGCCTATTACGTCGCTCTGTGGATTTTCCCTCCATACATCAGAAAATCCTGCCTTCACAATCATCCAGCGAAGCCGGCACGAACTATTCCCGTACTTCGACTTTCTGTACCAGCAAGCCGTCAACCGCATATCCTGCGTTCAGTGATATCTTAAAGGCGGGCTCTAAACAGAACTGGGGTGTCTCCCGGACAAACCTGAGTCCCAGCCCCTGATTTCTGCATAAATTTCATCCCCTTGAAACAGGGTCAGAATCCCGCTGCAAAGTCCCGACGCAGGTCCAGCTGCGCTCCCCGCCAACGCCAAAATATGGCAAGCGAGACTTCGTCAGTGGTCAAAGTACCGCGTATCGCGATTGCGTTTTGTACGCAATGTAAATGGAACTTGAGGGCTGCCTATGTGAGTATATCGATCCTGTGCTGCTGTGACTCTGCTTTGCCACTAAGATGGGACCTTCGTGTAGCACGACATGCTCTTTTAGTTTTGCTCTATGCCTACTGACAATGCATATGTAGTACGCCCAAGAATTGCTTCAGACTTTCGGCACTAGCATCGGCGAGATTGCTTTGATTCCATCAACCGGAGGATTATTTACAGTCACAGTCACAACAGCCCATGTCGTCAATAGGTCTCCGAACGGAATTGCTGCTTTAGGAGGATCAGCGGAGCAAGCATTGCAGGCCATCGATACTGTGGTATGGGACCGCAAGACAGAGGGTGGCTTTCCAGAGACCAAAGAACTGAAGAGCCGAGTTCGCAATATTATCGAGCCTGGCAGAGACCTTGGGCATATTGACCGGAGCCTGAAAAAGGGGACCTCCCAGCAAGCCCAAGCAGAGACCAGCAAAGCTGAGCCTAAGCTAGACGCCAATGTCAACCCGGACCAGCAAGGGACGAAAGAAGAATGCGAGGACTGCAAGTAATTTGTTAGGCCTGACGGCCTTGACGGGCATCATATGTCGTTGCAACTCCTTCTCCCAAAGACCGACTTCATGGGTTCGTCTATGGTCGCCAAACCTTGGATTACGCATCTTGGACTTCAAAGGCCTTGGACCAGTGGCCGCAATGCACGAGATGATCTAAACAGGCCGCATAGTGTGGTAATCCAGACACTCCATTTTGTTACATGTCGTGAATGTAAGTGGAGTGTTGGGAAATTCGGGTCGTTACCGCAACATGACTGTATAAAGAACCTGGCAAGACAGTCCCCGGACCATTTCCTCCCGTGGACAGCTTAAGGAGGACAAAACCGCCATTCACCGAGGGCTTTGCAACTGAGCGCCGCTCAAATGACAGACGGATAGTTACACGGCCATCTTTCTACCTTTTCAGAATCTGAAAGCAGAATTCTCATCGTCCGCTTAGTCCTGGATTTTCAAGCTCATACTTCCGAAACAATGTGGCTCGCCGCAGCGTGTGAACACCGTTGTTGGCCGCCCCATCCCCGCCTCATCAGCTCACGTCCAGCATCTCTTGAGCTGTAGCAGACAGTTGTATCAAATGCTCCGGACGAACACAGATTACCAGGCCAGCCGACGACGACTTGTGGATGGCAAACTTGAGGGTTTTCTGACTCGAGGGCTTCTTCGACTAAGATGTCCACTGCGGCCATCATCTGACCTCGACAACCAGACCCATAGGCACTCCGGCCACGGAGGTTTTTTGTCAACGTGGCATCCTTCTTTTGAAAACCGGCAGGTTGACAATGAAGACGAACCGTCAGTCATGGATACGCGGTGCTTGACTTGCCTGGTTCTAAGAATACCTGTCTTGTTATGTTAAAGGACGTCACTAGCATGAAAAGATGTTTCCTAAGATATGGTCACCGATCCGGGTTATAATGCATTGTTTGTTGAATGGTTTACTATTTTGGGTTTTTACTAACCCACACATTTGATTGCTTGACTCCCCAGAAGAAAACCCAACGTGCACAAAATCCAGGACAACAACCCCATCAAACCTCAAGAAGGCGGCACTAGTTTCGTCCCATCCACGCCAAAATCTTTGGGAAACTCGGGGCCCCAGACGGACACGGGGCCGGCAACTTCCCTTCTGGTCGGAGTATCTTGATTCACGACATCCCCGTCGGCGTAGTGCTCGATCTTGAACCCGCTGGGGTCCTGCCAGTAGTCGAAGATCTGGCTGCCCAGTATATGGCGGCCGACGCCCCAGACGCTCTTCCATTGTTTCTTGGCCAGCCACTGGTGGCCGAGCAGCTGGGTGTCGAAGTCGGCGACCTCGTACGAGCTGTGGTGAATGTACGTCTCCGCGACCTCGGGAGGGGCGCGCTGCATGAACATGATGTGGTGGTCGACCCATTCGCTCCCAAGGTCCAGGTGCATGAAGGTCAGGACGTCGATGTTGGAGAACTGCGGGTGCCACAGAATGTCGCTATGCACGAAATTGAAGTTGGACGTGTAAAAGTCGAGTTCTTGGTCAAACTCCTTGCACACGTAGCCAAAGTGACCCAGCTTGTGGACGAGCGCGGGACCCTCGTGGTACCGCTGGAACTGGCCCAGGCGTCTCTTCTCAAAGGGCGTGTTGAACGGGCCCTGCGAGTCGTGCGTCGCCGTCGGTACGCCCTTGTTCTCGTCGACCGGCCGCTCCTGTTGGCCGTACACAACGTGCATGAACGTGCCATTCGGCCGCGCGATAGTGACCTGTCGGCCGCCTCCGGGGGCTCCAGCTTCTTCGAGACTCATGACCGTCGCACCGGGCAATTTGGTGGCCTTTTCAAACTCCCTCTCGTCCCTAGCGACAAAAGCCGGGCCCATGAACCTGGCCCGTCCGCGTCCCGATCCCGACGACTTCGCCTTGGTCGCGACATAGACGTACGGATCTCGACCATATCCGCGGAAATAGATTCTGTCATCATCCTTCTTCTCCTCGACAAAGCCAAAGTCCTTGGCGAACTTTGCAAACTTGTCGAGGTCCGGGTGCTCAAAGTAGACGTGGCCCAGGCGCACCAGCTGGACCTTGGACGGGTCGTTCTTGACCTCGGCGATCGGCATGTTTGGGATGATGCGCTCACGGAGGAATCGGGGAAGGTAAGAAAGCACGTCGAGAGCGTTGACCATGCTTTATTAAACCTCTGACTCTGATTTAAATGGGCGTCGTGCACACCCAGGAGACGTGGAAAGCGGAGTGCCGTTCTGGGTATGCATTTCTTTCTCGCTTCACACGCCTCCTCCCCTCAATATCTATTTACCCTTCCTCACCGTATTCAGCCATGGTTCCCCTCCCCAGCTGACGTACATCCGCTCACATCGCTCGGCCGCCATGCTGAGACGGTCGGGACGAGCAGTACAAACGCCGTGCTCTGGGCCTCGATGTACCTCCTGGGTCTTACCGGTACGGCATTTTGGGAAACACGGGGAAGTTTTGTGCCGGTCCCGCACTCCGCCCCGCACTTTTGACAATGCTTGGACTTGGTCGCCGGAACAACACTCTCCAGAAGCGCAGGAGGGGAATCTGTGCACAATCACAATTCTCACCATCGACGTCGGAATGATGTTCCCCCGCAAACAAGTTGGATATTCGCGTGAACGAAGAGTTGTCAAAGAGCCTCGGTAGAGCGCCCCACCGAATCATAGAGCACGCAAGGCTGTCCGCTACCTGCAAGGCTGAGAAAACTACGGGGCATATCGACCACACACCCACGCACAGAGCAGCGAAGTTCGCGAAGGGTGCAACTTCCAGGGCCTGAACAACATCAAACATGTCTTGTCTACAATCTAGGCACAGATTCAGGCTAACTCTGTCATCTACTCTATCTCCATTTCCTCCCCGTGAAATGCCAACGATTTCCCCCCTGGAGCGCCTCAATCCCTCAACGTCCGCGAAGCGCATGTCCCCGTTACCAGAGAGTCTGCCCCTCTCACAAAAACCTGCTCAGTGAATGATAGACCATCGAGATCAGAACGCGTAGGAATGTCAGCCTGGGGGGACACCAAATGGGGCCGGACTGATCAGCAAACATGTCTCGGCTAGCCCTTAGCAGATTTTTGGGAGAAAGGAGTTTCGTGGTTATCTCACATTGACTAAACTCACAATGCGGCTTGCTTTCCCTCTGGGAAGAGAATTCTATTTCTCAGCACTCCGATGCCGGTGATTTGGATATCTACCACGTCGGCGTGGCTCAAGAACCGTCTCGGTGCTTTGAACGCGCCGACACCTGCGGGGGTACCGGTCATGACTGCCGTGAATGCTGGAATGGTCGTACCTGCGGGTTGAGATGTGAATTATTTCGCTGCAACTAGATACTTGCCGAAAGGTACAAAAAGATGTTGGCCAAAAAAGGAGGATGGGGTTTTTCGGATTGGCCTGGGGCAGTGCACTCACTCTGGCTCATGAAGCTCAAAACCTGCGCGGGCGAGAACACCATGTCCTTCTTGACGTCCGCATCCTGCATAACCTCCCCATTGACCTTGGTGACAATCTTGACCTCCTGACTCTGTTGGAAGATCTCGGGACTGACGAGAACGGGACCGATGGGCGCGAACTTGTCAAACGCCTTTGCGTAGAAAAACTGGCCGCCGTTCTGCGCGGGGAGTTGAAACACTCGACACGAGAGATCGTTGCCGATGGTGTAGCCGAGAATATAAGATTCTGCTTCTTTGGGAGACACGTCGCGGCATTCTTTGGACGTGACGAAGACCAATTCTCCCTGCAGGTTCCCACAATGTCAAAAAAACCTCGGGTCAACCACTCACTCTTTGATGACGAGACTCAGGGGAGCTTACTTACCTCCCAATCGGGGAAATTGGAAGCACAATATCTGCTCATGGGGATATCCTCCTCTGGAGCGGCGAGCGCTGCTGCAGGCTTTGTCCACAACGGTGGGTTGGCAGGGATGTTGAGCTGCAATGTAGACAACCTCCGAGTCAGCCCACTGACTGCCCTTTTCCTCCCGAGTCCAACCATCTGGCGTCCATTCATACCTTTGCCTCCTTCGCATGGCTTCTGTAGTTCAATCCCACAGAGTATATAGGCAGGTCGGTGCGGGGAAGTGGTGCAAGAAGCTAACATATCCCGTCCAGCTGGTTAGCGTAGTTACAGGTCCATAGGAGGATCTATGTAGACCTACCTTGCCCACTATCGCAGTCACTTTGTCTTTTCCCGCAAGGAGGTCGTCGAACGAGGAGTAGGCCTCTATGGAAGTTCCCGGCTCTGGGATCACGGAGGCCTCGTTGACGCCCAAGTCTGCAAAATACTTTGCTTTCCCGTGCTGCTGCGATTCAAAGCAGATCAGTCTCGAAAATGGCGGCATCATGATTCATTGAACTCTAAGGGTTCTGAGGTGGCAGAGAGGTGCTTCAGATCACGGTGCCCATACAAGTATCAGTGACGGAGGCGCTGGGAGCATGAAGGATCCATGCTTCTGTAACGCAGCCCTGCATCCCACACCGAGGCTGTAGACCACGCAAGCATCAGACTATGGTCGGCATATCAGAGAACGACCGTGCCGCTTATGTGGCCCCGTATTTTCCTCAGCCTCGCCTCCTAACCCCCCACGCCTCATACCGCTGTTGCCGGTCGGGCTCGGCCCAGCCAGCTCCAGCCAGCGGCCTCAAGTTGAACGCTTTCGAAAAGGGAGACATGGCCGCGCATGCACCTTCGAGCGTCATGCTTCTGATGCCTCGGCCGACAGATCAAAACAATGAACGGTGTACCTTTTCAGGGTTTCTGGACGCGCCCAGCCTTGTCCCGCATTGTCCCACACTGCCAAGCTCAGGCGCCAAGATCACCCCAACTGCGAAGAGAGGAGATAGCATTCTCTCTCTCTCTCTATCAGCCTGGATCTAGATCGAGAGCAAAAAGGGATATTGCATTGAGGAGGCGAGAGGGTCTGAGGAACAGAAAGAATGGGAATTTGCGTGGCCGCGGAGTGAGAGGCACACCGTGATCAAGGATGCGCAAAAGTTGAGGGATTCGGGAACATCGGGGCAAATGGGAATCAGGGCGGCAAAATCGGGGGAGCGGAAAATGATAATTTGAGTCCCAAGAGGCGCTTTTGAATCAAACGATAATACCGCTTGACGACGCCGCTAGAAGGCTATGGGGATTGTTTCGTTATTATGCTATGGTAGTGGCAGCGCATGTAGCCTTCTCAGAACACCAGGGAAACAACATTAAAGACCAGACCTCTAGACCATTTCACGAACCTTGTTTTACAGCCACTCGATTACTGGTACAGCTCCATATGGGCCATATATTCTCCATATGGACTCCAATTTGGCGGCTGTCTTCCCTGTAGACCACAGAGCGAAACGGTCAACAACCCGTGCAAGACTGGCGCAGGACGTGGATGAGGCGGCAAGTCCATCTCGACATGGTACGTCCACAATAGTATCCATTCTGCTCCAGATCCCCGGGGCCTATCGATTCAGGCAAAGGTCTGTGAGTGAGAGAGAGAGAGAGATGTGATCGGTGTGCGGCCAGATAAAGGCGCTACCAGGGTTGAGAGCCGACGGACATTGTCCGGGCTTGGCTGTCCCATGTGCTCCAATCCTGAGACACAGTACAGGATATCGATGTATGAGGTTCGTCCGCGGCTCCAGCCATTGTATTGATCTCACTTCGATTGCATATGCGCAACCGCTGGCCGGAATGACCTAACTCGATGTCGTGTTTTCGTCTTTTGCTTGGGAGAGAGTACCCGAGTTCCGTTAGGTGAAGCATCAGGCTGCTGATGATCCTGTGCATCGAGTTTCAAGTCCCAGCTGACGTACGGCTGAAGCGGTGTGAACGGATAACTGGCCACCTTCCCGGGGCCGTTGCTCCTCTCACGCAGCGTAGGAGCGTCACTTCTTCAACAGCTTCTTCTCGACGTATTTCTGAATGCGCCTATCGCTCATGATGAAACCCGTGACGGCCACGCCCAGGAACAGTTTGGAGGCGGCCGCTGCTCTGCTGGGATCTGTCTTGTCTGAATGCGTCGTCGAAGGCTTTGTCGATTTGGTGGCAAAGCCGAGTTCCGCGTAGGCGGGAGGGGGCTCTGATGGGGGAACACCACTCGAGGATGCCGGCGGCAGAGACTTGGAGGACTCCGCTGTTTCTGCCTTGCTCTTCTTTCTCTTCTCCTCCTCCCCTGCAGCAGATCTTTCACGTTCGTCTTCCTTCTCGATCCATTCTTTGACCACCTCCTCCCCTGGAAACATCCTCCGCCTCATCGCGATCCAAATCGGGACGAGCAGCTTATGCAGCTGTTCCTCTTCCTTCCTCACCCGCTCGTCGATCTTAGCCCCCGACGTCCCGGACCAGCTGGCTGCACGCCAGCCCTTGCCGAAATCGCTCTGCACTCGACACCACGGGTGTGCGAACCGCGACCCGACAAAATTCTTCGAGACCGCGCGGTAGTTCTCGGAAGTGCCCGGCGCCAGGAGATAGATTATGATGGCCTGCTCGCGAAACTGCTTCAAATCAACGAAGAACTGCTCGTGGGACTGCTGCGGGATGAGCAGGGCGGAGAAGAAGCGCGCGTAGTTGGTATGTGAATCCGGAAGGCCGTGGATGTACCGCTGCAGGGAGGGGTGGATGATGGGGTCATCGTCTTCTGTTTCAGGTGGCTGTATGAATGGTCCTAGAGAAGACATGGTCGATGTGTGACGTAGATGACAGCCTATGGTTCTCTCACAGCTGTTTCGACACCGGCAGATCCTCTTCGGGAAAGTTTGGGTTTTCGATGGGAGTTGTATGAAGCAATCTGTCGTATGAAGTTGACGGGATCTCCCGAGGTCTCAGGTACATTCCGGCATTAAGAAAGGTCTGGCGCCTGGTGAGATGTGTGAAGAGATTGAAAAGACACGGATGTTGTATGTCTGGGCTGGTTGGGTCAGCAAGTCCGCCGTTGTAAGAAGTAGTCGTGCAAAGGTCCTCAAGGCCAAGGCTCCACGACAGCCTCGTCTACGCGGCCGTCGATCGAACCCCGTGCCAAGCCCGCGCTATAGAATTGTAGGCATCTTGGACTGTGATCTGCATCAGTCTCAATGCTTGGTAGCCCCTGTTACGGGAAGAGATTTCAAGATCAATCTCAACGCAAAGCAGGGCCATATTTAAGAGATGACGACGCTCTCAGTCCGAGGCGAGGCCAAGCTGATCGGATAGGGACGGGAGGAAAGACCGGAACGATCCAAAAAGAGGCCTCTTTAAAAATCCTTCCCACAGCTCCACTGAGGCTTCCAATACATGGCTCTTGAATACGGAAATCCCTTCTGTATCTGGGAGGCACTGCTGCAATCACCATAGGACATGGTTGGCAGCTGTGGACGAGAGGTGAAGGGGGGCAAGATTTGAGCGCCAAGGACCCTTTTTGATATTCGGCGTCCATATTATCCATCTTATCAGATTGAGTTGGCTTTTTGGATCTAGCTTCTAACCAGGCACATTGTCGCCACCGAGCTCCTTGCCGGCTGGTGCTGGGACTTGATGCCTCCTTCACGTTTTATCGACAGCCGATCTTTTCGGATCCTACTTAGAATCTATACACAGCCAAGAACTGGGGAAGGAAACCACCCCTGATGCGCCGCCGGAGTACTTTAGCCCGGGCCCGAAGGCCTTGGAGTGTGGACATGGGGGAGCATGGAATTCTCAGAAAGCTTGGGATCCAGGAGAAAGTGCGGTGAGATGGCAGAACGCCTCATGTGATACAACCCCTTGACGCACTGTGAACTACACTTGACAGAAGTAGCATGTAGGTTTGCTCGGTTCATCTGCTATGGTTTCTTAGCAGTGAACCGCTCGTTTCGCAAACACCCGCCTGCATGCGGCGAGCCGTGATCTCGTGAGCATGACCATACGAACTCTCACTTAATCTTTCCAATGAGCGACAGTAGGTGAGCGTCAGGATTCAAAAAAATGATTGGCGTCCATGATTCGGCTGCCAAGGTGCACGGGATACTGGCGAGGGTGCAGGATGACAGTCGGTCAAGGTTCCAAAAAGAAAAGGCGAGATACGATACTTAATGGCGGACGCACGCTTTGACCTTTTGATGCCACTTTACGTTCTTGCTGGTGAATGAAGTCGAGGCACAGGTTACTCAATCCGGAGCTCAACATGCCAAAAGCGGAACTCGCTTTCTATTAGCAGGCGTTAAGCGCCAGTCTCCAGACTTGTGGACAAGCTACAACAACCTCATCTGGACGGCGTACAGTTGAGCCAATGGTACATCGGTCTATCGATAGCCACTCGAAAGCGCAACCACTCAGCTCGCGTCGCCAAGCCTGCATATCGCAAAGAACCACAAACATGAGTCGCTGTTAGTTTTCTTCTTCGCACAAACGACTCGAATTGTGTGCAGAGGGGTAAGGGAACGCAACCTCGGTCGATGAGTGGCGGACGTGGTGGTCACTGGTCAGTGGTCACAGGTTGCGGTCTGCTCTTCGCTCAAAGCGGTTGTTGCATTAGCCTTCGTTTAGTCTCCATTTAGACCCGATTAGGCCTTTACTCCCATTGGCTTCTCGAAAATGCCTCATAGTAAAAAGTCCGTGCGTCCGTGCGTCTGCGGGGCTGTGGGCTGGACCCACCGTGTGCCCCACGGTCCGTGCGCTGCCATCTCCGCCATACATTTTCTACCTATGCTTGAGATCCAGAACCCGCCCAGGCCACTGACAATTTGCATTTGGTACTCTGAATTGTTGCGATATCCCACGACGCTCTTGCATCTGTACCTAGTCGCGGGATTCTTCACCGGGTTCTCGTCGACCTCGTTTACCGATTTCATAGTGTGGAGGATATTCGCTTGGCCATGCAGCTAGTGTGTTCCCTCCACAATGTCGATGAATAAACCCACTGCATAGCTGCAGATAGCTTTGTAGAGCTCTTTGAGGAGACCAAGCTACGAGACCGAATGTCCCCTTGATGAGAATGCATGCATTGCCAACTGTCAGAAGACTTGTGGTCAGCCAGGGTCGCCAAGGTTGCCCTGTGCTTCAGCTGACTTATCCTCGGTGTCCCCGGGCGTATGCTTCTAGAATCGTTCTTGTCAGTAACAAAGTAGCACAGACCGCCTGTTCAAGGTCGGACAGCGCAGAAGGGTCCCTGGTTTCATGCGGCTGTGGATGTGTGTGTGCATCAGGTGAAGAGATCTCTGCATATAATCCATTAGGGCAAGCTGCCGAGGGTAGCACACGGCCACCGCCTGTATTTGACTGGCTCTACAGTCCGAACTTCTCCATCCCACCTATGCAGCTTCCCCTGGTGACTCTGAGCTGTGGGGGAAAGAATCAGCAATACCTATGCCAGATGCAGCAGTGCATTGTCAGAGTATCATGTCAGGTTTGGAGCTCTCGCGGGACTACGAGATTGGAGGAATACGCTGTGGCGCTTGGTGGACTGTATTCCTGTTTGTGACGGCAAGACCTCCTCGAGCCGTGCGGCCCGCACAATGGACACAAGAAAACGAGGTTCCCCCTGTGAGCATGCCAGGGTAATCTTCAGAGTAATGATTCAACATGCCGTAGGATTTTTCTCGGTGTCTACAAGTACAAACACCAGGATCGTATTTGGGAGGCTTGGAGGTTGACGTCATGTCAGCTGACGGGAGAGGGCGGCCTTCAGCCTGGGCGGAAGGGAGAAATTAGGATCAAAATGCAGATGCAGGGGAGGGCAAAAGATGACGCGCGTTGAAACGCTAGGTTACTGTTGGCGCAATACCAGGGACAAAATTCGATGTCGTATGAAGAAACCGAACCGGTCTTGACTTGTATACCCAGTAATGCTTGGTTTCGAAATACTTTCTAGATCCGTCAGATCGCCCGTCGTCCATCATGAGCAAGACCGAGTAATATTAGACAATAGGCGAGATACTGAGCCAACATCTGCTTTGCCAGTGAATTCATTAATCGACAGGCCAAGTGTGTGGGCAGTAATGCAGACGACGTGAAGCAGTCCACAGCAAGCCTTCGATGATGTAGCACGTCCAAGAACCTGATTTCGGGAGGGCTGGCGCCGTTTTGACCCACAGCGGTTCGTGGAGTGCGAAAAGGTTTGATCACAGTACCAAACAAATAATGGCCAGGAAATGACAATGCGTTCCCGTTGGATAAGTATTCAGATGACGCGCCCAAATTTGAGATACATTCTGTCATATTGCGTCAAGACAGCGAAAAATCCCGGTCATGATGCTTGCAAGACCTAGGAACAGGTCACGAACCCTAAGGGTCCACGGCAGCCTCCCCATCGCACAGGCACAACCGGAAATGGCCCCCTTGGCAATATTGCCTTTTGTTCCTGTCTTGAATGTCACTGCAAAGATGATCAGAACGTGGCGAGAGATGAGCCTGCCGATCGACGTGACACCAGGGCTTCGTTTCTTGTTTCTGACTCGCGAGATGCACCATATCCCAGGACACCGGCTGTCCATGTGGTGAGATCAACACGGACTATGAGGTCCCTCGTAGACACAGCGTATAAATTTAGCACATTGTCTTTGGAGCTCGTAGAGGAAACAAAGGTGTCTCGCTTGCACAAGGCGGTGTATCAGGATGGGTTCGTCAATCTCACGCCATGAGGAACAAATTTTGGTCAAGTACCATGCAGTGACAGTTTTAATCACGGTTTCCCTCTCTTGCTCTTTGCATTAGTATTGCATTGAAAACGTTCGATACGCATTTTGTGGAGGGGCGCAATTTCACCAGGGCACACGGCAGCAGGGACCACCAGGTGGATAGTTCGGGAGGCGAAAAGCCAAATAGAAAGAAGATCCCGTCTGAAAGTGAGGTCAAGTGGGCGGTTTCGAGAGCAGGATGCTGGCGACTGAGAGCGCAGGCTAGCTTGGGGCGCCTTTGCCGCTGGGGGGATTGATCAACATAGGTAGGTAGACGCCCCAAGTCCGAGATCTCGACGAGTTGCCGTTTGAGAATTAGCGGTGCGGTGGTCGGTATATGATGGCCGGTGGGCGGCGGGCACTGGGTACTGGGCACTGGACAGTGTTGGGTGGGATTTTTGTTGGCTTTTTTTTCGCTCAAGGCCTGAGAGCAGCTGGCTAGTGAACGGCCTTTTCAGTTTGGGAGCCACATGCCCACAGCCCAGAGCGTCTGCGTTAGTACTTGGAGGGAACGCAGAGAGAGTTAATACCGGTAAGGAGGAACAAGTTAAATTTGCAGCCCAGGGGGGGCTCCTTACCTACCTGGACTTAGGTGCGTAGGCATGAGCACTGGCACCTAGCGGGGTGACCTGGATGCCTAGGGCAAACCCAACAATAATGGCACATTGCACAGGCCAACTAGAATCCGTCCGAACAACACACCTAAAAGTTGAAATCCGTTGACTGTTGACTGGCTGGGCTGCCCCCCAGTGGCGCCCCTCTTCTTTTTTGGTTCCCTTCTGGGTCTCGTCTGGCCTGGCATCGTCTGGCTGGTCTTTTGTTGTTTGTGTGTGTGTCTCCGTCTAATGGAGTATTTCTCTCGGTGCATCTGCTCACCAATCTTTTTTCCTTCTTTTCTCCAAATTTCTCGCTCTCGCGAGTTGCCATCAACCCATCCCATCCGGGTACCATTCCTGCCATAATTGGTGCCCATCCCTCCATCGCCATCTCTCACCCTCTCTCGCCCTCTCTCTCGCTTGCTGCTTTTCCGGCTGCCCGCATTTTTTCCCTCATCTTTCACCCATTTCCTCTTCACCGTCGTCCTTTGTCAGTCTTCCTCTCCAAATTTTCTTCCACTCTCCACTCCCGAGTCCCGACTGCTCCCTGCAGACTGCGCATCCAAGCACACCACCTGCGATTACTACTGCCCACTACCACTTTCCGCCCTCGCCATCCTACATCCGTCTTCTTCCTACTGCTCCTCTCATCCAGCATCTTCGGTCTCTTGACCAACCTCTTGTAAGCAATCTACTCTCATTTGGAATTCATATACCCTTATCTTACTCACGCGCTTTCCAGATCCTCATTTCTCGACTTCCCGTTCTCGCAACACCCCCAGACGCAGCAGTCACCGTAGGACGCCACCTACCGCGCCGCAGCCCTCACCACTACCTACCCTCGAGGAGGCTTCTGTTTCGCTCTACCACTCTGCTAGTGTTCAGAGGAACCGACTTGTCATAAATCATAAAATGTCAAAGTCCAATTTATAACAGCGGCGGTCCCTGTGGGCCAAAATAATATCACTTCCCTTGCCAACGAAACAGTGCCAGTCGGCTACTGGTGTTGGTAGCGTTCTTGCCTGATCTCGATCGCCATCTTTGTCAGGCCGTGGGAAATAGTTTCTGCATTCTTCTCCCTCTTCATCACCTGCCTTGGTCTGTCCTGGCTTCACTCCTGATGGCACATCACCAGAAACACCAGATGGACGGTACCCGAAGAAATACAGCCATGCAGAGTCTGCTCAAGATGTTTAATTTATCAAACGCCCCCACAGTTCCTCTCGGTGACGACGAGCTCAGTGCGGACGCCGACGAACCGCCGGACGATCAAGTATCCCCTCTGACCATCGTCTCCACGCGAGAAGCCCTCTACCACCGCTCTAACGCTCCCCCGAACCCTCGCCGCGAATCTCTCTTGACTCGTGCCATTCTGGCGGAGTCCAAGCACGAAGATGACCACGTGGCGTTGGCCGCCCGTGGGCTGTCGACAACGTCCTCTCACAGCACAGCCAGCATGCCTTCGACCGCCGAGTTGACCAGTGACGGAGACACCAGCCAGTCACGGTCAGCGACCCCAAGTCCGCCACCTCCTTCAGCACGTTTCTCTCCCCTGCTTAACTTCAAGAAACCCGGTCCCAAAGTGGTCATTGCGCCGATAACAAAGGATGAAGGGGAAGCAGCGGTTGAGAAGACATTGGGTCGTAAACGCTGCATCATGTTTGCCTGCGGAGCCACGGATTCTGAGAAAAGCAAAGACAGTGTGACACTAAACAAGCAAAAGCCATCAGCTGAACAACCCGAGGTTCCCAAGCGAAAGTGTGCAATTACCTTTGCTTGTCCCTCGCGAACAAGCGTGAACGAGACCAAAAACCCTCCCGCCAAGCTACGGGTTGAATCAAAGAACACACGTCGCCCGTCTCCCGCTCCCTTCCGGCGCAAGTCCACTTCAGAGTCTGTCGACCTCTCTGGCCACTCTGTCGATACAGCCAGGGTACCTAGTCCCGAGAAAGCGAGACCTGCGCCATCCTCTCCAAAAGCGACCTTTCATGAATTTGCCGCATCTCAGGATGAGACCGACTCATGGGTGGACAAGCCTGATGTTCACAAGGAAAAACTCACCCTCGATGATTGTATGAAAAAGGAAAACCGCATCCGGCAAATCGGTCGCGAAGCCGAAGAGGAGGCAGAAGAAGAAGAACGAGAACAGGAGGAGCTCGGAAACGCATCTGAAGATGAGGACAACGACAACGAAGACGACTTCGCTCCATCCGATGACGGCACCGATGGTGGCAATGAATCGGACGATGAAGGCGGTTTCGCCAGCTCGGATGAAGAAAGCGACGGCGGCTCCGAATATGGATTCTGGGCGCCTTCCAACACCCGCACAGTCACCGGCAGCGAGCATGTCAACATAAGTCATTTTAGCGCCCGTCGACAATCTGACGCCAGTTCTGTCGAGTCGTTGACCCGATCCAGCACTCCGCCTCTCCATTCAATGATGAAGCAGGTTGGAAAACGTCGCAACAATGCTTTCAAAGTCTCGAAGATGAGACCTGGCACACCGGAGTTGCCCGATAGCACGGACTTTGTTTGTGGAACGCTCGACGAGGATCGTCCATTGGAGGCCGCATACATCTCTTGCCGCGAACAAAAGAAGCGAGAGAAGCACATCCCCATCCCACAGGACATTGATCCGAGCTTCCCAACGTCTGATCCCGAAGACGACGGAGAAAACAGTGACGAGGAAGAGCTCAATGAGTCGCACCATAGCTCGGACGGCCCGCGATGGCTTAAGGATGGGTTTGCCGATTTCGACGAGGAGCATCATGGACGCCGCAAGCCGTCGTTCACCATGCCGATCGCTCATTCGCCCTCTCCGCCTCGTACCGCATTTGGCGGAAGAGTCGGTCGCAGCACTCATCGCTCGCCGCCGCCGAAGCATGCAGTTGCACGGTCGCCGCCGGCCCGAAAATTGTTTGGGCATTCTCCCACCAGACTCAGGTCACCCTTTCCGGCAGCCAAGTTGCGTTCGCCGCGTGGCTCTCCGACAAATGTTGGCATCCCGACCAGGATCAATCTAAGGGGACTCGCTCAACGTCCGACAATGGAGCGGACAGCGTCGCTACCAGACACTCCTAATCCATTTTTCAAAAACTTTCATATTGGCAGTCCTTCCATTTCCAATATTGCATCTGGGGCTGTCTCACCCGCTGCTGAGGAGCCTCCACGTCCGGACATGCACGTTCGTGGTCCAGTCGACATCGTCGCCGGGCTTGAAAAGAAACGTCAGAAGCGCAAAGAAAAATACTGGCGTCAGCATTGCCGCAAAGCGGCCAAGGAACAAGCTGAGCGCAAACCGGTCCCGGGTCGTGGAGCGGAAAGAATGAAGGAGCTTGGTCTCGAATGTGCCGAGCGAACAAAAGGCTATGGCATTGGACAGCAGACGCAGCTGGTGCTTTCACTTTGATTTCCCTTCTCAAAGTCCACCCCTTACACATATACTGTTTATTTGTCGCCCTTTTCTACGCGGGCTCGCTTGGGCCTTTTTGAACATATCTCGATGCTGGTTTGCGCTCGAGTATGACGAACTTTATGACGGAACTGGGTGGGGGCGACATAGGTCATTGCACTGCCTGCACCATTTTTCACATACAGCACGGTTGTGGGATCCCAAAGGGCCTTTATGCATAGCACTGGCGTACATCGCAGGAGGCGAATTCTTGCGTTGTAAATATGTGACATGACCATCAGCATGGTCCCCAGAATATCAAAATAGCTCTCTCGAGTGGTAGACTCGATTGCAGAGCGTGATATGCACAAAGCACAAAGCTAAGAAGCATTTCTTGTAGTTGCGTCTTGTCCTTTTTGTTCATCATAAGCTCCAGATCATACTAAAGTCCCTCAAGCCCTTCCTTTGGAGCCGAAGGGGTGGCCCTTGAAAGGTAGGGATCACGTGAATTGCGTCACGTGAAATACCTCAACGGCAGACCAACTCCGAGCATCTGGATTCTTTCTCTTTTAGGAACTTTTCATACGGTGGCACCCCATCACCTCACTACTGCCGTGAGATCTCGCCGAGTGTATCCATCATTGTGCTTGTTCTCGGTGTCCGCCCTCCTCGTCCTTTTTTGTCACTGCATATCCTCAAACGATACCTTCATCTCCTCCACAACTGCAAATATGTGGATCATTAACTGGTGTATGTGCGACTGAATTCCTGTGCTTGTGCAGAGGACAGACTGACCTGATTGCTTTATCCCTCTAGTCTATGACATCCTCGCCTCTCTGGGCCTCCTCAACAAGCATGCCAAACTTCTCTTCCTTGGTCTCGACAATGCAGGAAAGACGACATTATTACACATGTTGAAGGTGAGAGGACATCGAAGCAACGACCCTCTGGGAATTATGTGGTTGCGGACCTGGACAGGAAGAGATCGGAGCACGGCAGGGTATCACGGGCTATGGTCTTGACCTCGATTTCCAGACAGCTACAGTTTTGGATAATATTTGGCCATGCAAGACTCGAGTGCTGACGACTGCGTGCTATTCTACAGAATGACCGGGTCGCAATCCTCCAACCAACATTACATCCCAGTACGTACTTGCCTGAAGTTTGAGCCTCAATCAAGTGTCCCATACTGACGACTCCTGGCACAGCTTCGGAAGAACTCGCCATTGGCAACAACAGATTCACAACCTTTGATCTAGGAGGTCACCAACAAGGTACGTTAAGACGCTCATCTCCCCCAGTTCTTCATGGCAACCGCAGGCGTGCAAGTGGACTGAAACCCTGAGCACAGCACGCCGCCTCTGGCGCGACTACTTCCCCGAAGTATCGGGCATCGTCTTCCTCGTCGACGCAAAGGACCACGAACGTCTGCCCGAAGCCAAAGCCGAACTCGACGCCCTCCTGGCCATGGAAGACCTCGCAAAGACACCCTTTTTGATTCTGGGCAACAAAATCGACCACCCGGACGCCGTGTCCGAGGATGAATTGAGACACCAGCTGGGCCTATATCAGACTACGGGGAAGGGGAAAGTGCCGCTCGAAGGGATCCGGCCGATCGAGGTGTTTATGTGCAGTGTCGTCATGAGGCAGGGTTATGGAGAGGGCATCAGATGGCTGGCGCAATACGTTTGAGAAAAAAGATTGCAGTGCAGTGCAGAAGCAGAGATCATGCATAATGACAAGAAAGGGAGGCAATTCTCGACAGTGCCTCCATCGACCGATTACATTGCATCTGTCGAGCCACAAATCCCCATAGTCCCATGTCAGTCACTCTTGGTCAGGCAGGCAGGCAGGCAGGCAATCAATCAATCAATTCATCAGATCCATCCATGCATGCCGCATCAACCCAATCGAATGCCCCTTGGTATACGAACCCCCAGATCCTCCCAACTTCTCAAGAACTCCCCGAAATCTCCCAGCCCACCTAGATATCGGTTACTATATCAAGCCCAAAAACCCGCGGCCGAGACAAATTCAATAACACCTCCCCCCCTTCCGATTTTTCCCTCTTTTTTTCTTACCCACCGCACCGACACTTTGAGACGGAGCAGCATGGGACGAAGAGAAACATTGGGGTGGTTTCGAAACGCGTAGCAAATGAACCGGGACAGGTTGAGTTTCAAAGAGAGAGAGAAAAGGAAAGGAATTTGAGGTATTGAGAGACTATTAGAACCCACCAGTATCAAATCAAGTAAGTTTCCTTAGATTGAGAGAAAAGAGAAAAAAAAGTCCAGAAGTATGTGAAAATGATCACAAAATTGGAGTGCCAGCATCCATTCCATGTCTACGTTTTATATCCACTCTCTAATCATAATATGCTTCGGTAACTTACAGCTAGGTATTGTGTGTATATATACCTAGGTACCTAAGGTAGGTAGGTAGGTAGGTAGATCAACAACCACCACCCCCAAAGAAAAAAATGCCTCGAGTTCCCAATGGTCTGTATATGTAACCTGGCCGTCTCCGACTTAATATGACCGTTGGGCTCCCCCCTCTTGCAACGAATGCGTCTTCTTGCCTTCTTCGCTCGTCTTTGGGAATTGCGTTCTCCACGTGTCGTCGTGGATTCACCAGTGCGTACGCAGGTTTCAAGCCTGAATCCAAAGCCATGATCAGATACGGGGCGAACATTTCCTCTCGATGAATGCCACTCGATCGGAGCCTTTCATGCCTGCTTGGCTCACCATGCAATCAATGCTCTCCTATCCTGGGTCGACCAGCCTTATTGTACGATAGCGACAAACCAAGGCACCGATAGTATACTACTATTTCAAATCATCTTGATACAGAGGGAGCGGATTCAACTGCTAACTTGATGTGTAACTGCTCTGCGTTGTGTCGCGTGGTATGATCTGCTTGATTCTTGTTCTGCACCGTGCATTCAATCATTCCATGGGCGTTTCTTGTCCATCCTTCGTCACCGCATCGAAAAGGCATGAAAGCAAAACCGTCATCTGCGTGGTACATGTGGAACGGAGAAAGTAGCCTCGCCTTGCGCCCTGCGCTCCAGCAACGTCTCTTTTCCTTCTTTTGCAAAGACAACACGCATCTGCACGTACAGAGCAAACAGGAGGAGGTCAAGTTCTGGGTGGTCAAAAATGCAATCTCCATGTCTCATACACCACAAGCCCATTCCACAACACATAACTATCCGTGATCCCATTCCCATTGTAAGCCCATGAAAAAGTAGCAGATCAGCTCGTCCTTGAACCTCGAATCGACCCGATACATCGCCGCCGCATTGTGGTGATGACTGATTTTGCCACTGCTGATACTGGGGACTGGCGTCCGACCTGGCGGATCGACAAGCCGGAGACTGGTCAACGTATTGATGAAAACGAGTAAGTGTTAAGTCTTTCGCAGGTCCAAAAAGATGAGACGTTCATGGGAGTGTGGGAGATATTAAGTAGTGGCGGCTGGTCGCATGCTTCGGAATCGGGGGGGAAGGACACCGGTCGAGTGCGAGACCAATTCGGAGGGGAAGCCAGAAGGTGACCCTATCTTCTTCCAAACCTGCTATCAATGACATCGAATCAGCCCGGGTCGAAGGGACTAGGTTTTGGATTTGCGAGACGGAGTAGTGGACCCGCTTGCGCTCTTGGAGCCATACACGTACTTTTGTTTCTTCTCGGCAGGTTTGAGAATCTGGTTCAAGTCAAAGTCAGTAAAGCACAAATGAAGGACCAACAAAGGATTTTCCACGTTTTGCGACGTACCTGGAAGGAGCAAAGTAGACTTTCATCTACGCTCATCATGGCACCAGCGTTGTCAAATTCGCCGCAGTAGTTTGGAGCGCTGAATAGGGTCACCAGTTGTCGCTTGGAGAAGAACTCGTAACCATCTTCCACCACTTGATGTGCACGACAGATAAGGTCCATGTCATGTTTTTGCAGGAATCGTGACACGACATCGGGTCCGAAAGTGAAGGAGACGCCACGGTCATTCTCGCTCCAGCCCGTGATGTCCTTGTCGGGATCGGACCAAAGCAAATCGCAAAGGAGGCCGCAATCGGGAATCTATCATGCGTTAGCAGGTTCAATTCAGTACTCATAGCACAAGTGAAGCATAGCCACTTTGCAAGGGGGTGGAGAGACTCACGTCCGTCGGTCGCATGACACGGCGTATTTGCTCCATCGAATTCAGATCCGGACTCAAACCTCCATGCATGGTGAAGATCTTCTCGTCAATGATGGCGGCGATGGGCAAGCAGTTGAAGCAGTCCGTAAATGTCTTCCATAGCTTGATGTTGTATCGACGTTTGCACTCATCGTAGAAGCCGTAGATACGATTGATGGAGGCGCACTCGTGGTTGCCACGCAGAATGAAGAAATTTTCGGGGTATTTGATCTTGTAGGCCAGCAGCAAGCAGATGGTCTCAAGGGATTGCTTGCCTCGATCCACGTAATCGCCGAGGAAGAGGTAGTTGGCTTCGGGAGGGAAACCGCCGTATTCGAACAGGCGGAGAAGGTCATAGTATTGGCCATGAATATCGCCACAAATCTACGACATGATTGTCAATATTACAGTCGCCAGTGGCGGAGACTGTTATCCGCAGGAATCGGGCATCGTACCTTGATGGGGGCTTCCAGCTCGAGCAATATCGGCTGTGAAATGAAGATTTCTCGTGCCTTTGTGCACAGATAGCGAATCTCAGCTTCGAGCAGCTGAACCTGCTTCCCTGGTCTGCTTCCTCTGACCTCTAACAGGCGATCGATGACAGAATCGAGGTCCACCTCATTCTGGTCGGCCATGGTGGGATCGCCGCGGGCGGGGCAAGGGGGTGGAAGGAAGGGCGGGCGGGCGGCGACCAGGTGCGGTCGGATGAGGGAAAATGCAAGGAAATCGATGTGTCTAAGGGTGTGCAGATGGTAATGCTAGTCTGCTAAAGAATAATTTTGGTCAGTTTGGGATGAATTAGTGGTAGGTGGTGAGTGGCAGCTGACGCAAGTGATTAGGAC